ATAATTGTTGAATTGATGTAATAAATTATTTTTGTGAAAAAATAAGATAAATTAATGCAGGTTAAATAAGAAAATATATGATTAATGTTAAACAATTTCAAGTAGTCAATTTAAGTTGAAATGAAAAAAAAAAAATAAATATAAAGAGAAGAACGAAAATAGAAACAAAAAACAAACTAAATTAAACTAAAATAAACTAAAAAATTATAGATAAATGCATTCAGAAATAAAATTAAATTGAAATAAAAAAGAGAAAATTGGAGAAAGGAAGAGAGAGAGAGAGAGAGAGGAGGGGAAGAGAAGGAAGAATAAAAAAGGCTTATTTTTATGTCATCGTCTCAAAAAGTTAATTTCCGGTAAAATGCATCAAAAAAAAAGTCTCTCAAATGTATGATAAAATTGCTATTAGCCTCTAATTTTAAACACAGCAAACTTTACGGAATGATTGGAATTCTCGAACTAATTGATGTTTGAGAAAAGCAAAAAAAAAAAAAAAATGGGAACTGTAAAAGGATTGAATTAAATTGTGTAAAATATAGCAAATGAATTAAATATTGATTTATAGAAGAATTCAATTATTTATACAGTTATTTATATTCAATTATTATTTATCAGTTATTTCAATTATTTATATCATTAGTCATTGTATTATACTATTTTCTTTCTTATTTAATTTTTTTTTTATATTAAGTAAAAATTTTTCATACATATTAATATATGATGTTATAAATATTATCGTTTCTTTTTCTTAATACATGTATTGATATTACCACTTTTTTTTTTTAAAGAATTTCCTTTTATAATTAATTTTAGACTTATAATAATAATAATTTCAATTGATTATGTTTCTCTTAATTTCACTCTTCTTTCAAAGTAGTATTTTCAAATTGCTTTCATTTTACATCACTTTTGGATAAAAATTTTAATGTCAGATACACGTTGCCACATTTGAAATGTATATATAATTTTTTTTTTTGAATATTTTTTATGTTTTCATGTGGTTTTTTTTTTTTTTTTTTATATATTTTTAAAACATATATAACTCTTCTAGAATATTTTACAACTTTTTTTTTCATAAACACAGATTTCATATATTTTAAAGACGTATTTTATATTTTATACATTTTGTATAAATTATTTACTTTAACTTTTTGTGTAATACATTTTCTACACTTTGTATATTAATTAATTATTAGAAAATGAACATAAAATTTGCAATTAATTCAAGAAAGAAATAAAATTAAATAAAAGATTGTTAGTTGGACTGAAAAGCATTGTTATTTGCCATAGATATGGATGAATGGGACGAGAAGGGAAAACACGGCTCTGTCCGTTTCATTTAGTACCACACATACTATTTCTGTTCTTCTTTCTCTTTTCTCGCTCTCTCTTTCCCTCTCTCCTTTCTTCTCTTTCTTCATCTTTCACTTCTCTTAGGCTTTCTCTTTTCTCATCTTGTTTTAAACCTTTTTTAATAGCTTATGTGTGTAAATGATGATGATGGTGAAAAATTCCCCTTTCTTTGCTCTCTTTCATTTTCTCTCCCTCTCCCTTTCCCTTTCCCTTTCTCTTCTCTCTCTCTCTTCATCTACTCCTATATTTGTTAGTAAATAAAAAGCTGAAAAGGTTTCATCTCTGGTACTCTACTAGAGATGAATGATAATGTTTTCTTATCTATTCTCAAGACGTATTTTGAAAGAAAAAGAAAAAAAGTGTCGCACTTACTCCTACTGCTATTACTTATTAATTACTTTTACCTATTAATTTACTTTAACATATCGACAATTAGTAGGTTAATTTCAGGTTCAGTAGCATTACCTACTACTACTATACAATATGAAGGAAAAAAAGGAAAATGGAACCTTTTCAATGAATGGTGAGAATATGGTCGAGCAAGGAAGGAGAGAAAGACGAAGCAATCGAAGAACCATCATTTGGTTGTGTTATTATCTGTCTGTTTGTGTGTATGTCTGTCTGTGTATGTGTGTGTGTGTGTGTGTGAATGTAAGCGGACACTCTGTTAGTATTTAGTGTGGTACCATTGTCTGTTGAAACGAGGTTAGATGGACGGACAAGCGGACGGTTGATGGGAAAGGAGAACGGATGGACGGATTAAGAAGACGGATGATCTGAAGTAGATGAGTGAGTGGGTTAATAGTTGGGTGCGTGGGTGGATGTATAGGGTGTGGTGGTGGTTGATCTATTTCAATCTAACGTTTTAAGCTAAGAGCATTAGCAGTATTACTACTAGTATTACTACAATTACTACTCATTCTTATTTACAATCAGTTGATTTACTTAATTAATTAAATTCATACCTCAGATGATCATCACCTCATGATTATTTTTACTTTTTAAATTTTTATTGTTATATGTTTCAGTCATCACTTTGCTAAATTTTTTTACCTAAAAAATACACTCAAGAATGATATATATATATATGAATAAGGAATTATAAAATTTATTTACTATCAATTTATTTCTTCGCTTTTTCCACTTTAATGATTCAATTGATAGGTGGAGTATTCTTTAGTTGATCTCATTTCAATTGGTTTTTCTTTTTTTTTTTTTTTTTTTTTCAAAAAAAGGTTTGAATTCTTCAAATATTATTGACATAAAAGCTGCCAGGATAACATTCTATAATAATCAGTCTAAAACTTGATTATTATTATTATTATTGTCAACATTATTACTAGTATTGTTATACTATTATCACTATTAGTAATCAACTAATTAATTAATTAGTTGATGATTACTACGTATTTAATTATATACTCTATATTATTATACAGTTATGATTGATGACTTAATGAATGATATGCAATTTTATGTTTCAAAATAGAGATTCGTTGTTGTTTCATTATTTTTCCTTAAATTTAGCTTGATTTAAAAAATTCATGCGTAAACGAAGAGTGAAAGATTAGATTAGAAGAAAAATTAAAATGTATAATATTTCTGGGAGGAAATGAATAAAAAAAAGAGACAATATTTTGATGTAAGTTGAAAAGTTAGTTATGAAATAGAAATAATTATTTTACTAGAATGTGAGAGAATAATATGTAAGCATAAATAAGTTTTATACATCATTAAATCATTAAACTTAATATTGTCACTTTTATTATTATCATTAGTATCATCATTCTTACTTATTATTATTATTCTTATTTGATATTATCATTCTTACATAATCTTATCATAAACTCTATGAATTTATTGATATCTTTGGTTGGAAATTTTAAATCATAATGACCTAAGCATAGTAGATTTGCTTTTATTTATTCGATAAAAGAAATTGGACTGATCTAAGCTTATTACTTTAAGCTGCTAAAAATTTAAGCCTTAAAATACTTTTTGTTTGTTTATTTGTTTTTTTCTTTTTTTGTGATGCGAATATGAACGAATTTGTTTTCATATTTAGCCATTTGTGGTTTGAAAGACTTTTGACTGTGTCGATGGTAAATTTGATTGATTTGTGACCTTGCAAATCGTTGTTCATATTTTAAATGACCAACCAAGGATAGTTTGTTATTTAGCTCATTTCTATTGGTAAATGAGGTGATGAATAATTAATGGTTGCGTTTTTAATTTAAACAAATCACTTTGAGACAAAAAAAAATTTTTTTCTTTTTTTTTTTTCGCAGCTAAAAAGAAAATTTTAAATGTGAAATGTGTAGTTCAAGCAATTTACCTTATCATATTTTAATTGATATAGCAATCAAAGTTAGGTAGAGATATATTAAATCAAAAGTACTTTTGCGCTTTTTGATTGATTTAAATGTCAATATTTATGAAGAATATAGTCGAGTATACTTACTAACTCTCTCTCTCTGTCTTTCTATAAATATATATGTTATAGTTAATCACATAAATTTTATATTTTGAAAGACCTTATTTTAATTTTAAGCTTTCTGGTACCTTTTTTCGGTACCACTTTTTTTGTAATAAGGTGAAAAAAACATAGGAATTTGTTTTAAAAAAAAGAAAGAATGGATAACTTGCTTTGTATATGTGATATGATGATCTCGAGAATCAGGCCATCACATTTGATGTCTGTTTGCGGATATTACATGGTACCTTTAATGTTACTGCACGGTAGTACTATTTAGTGTCTTGTTTGGTACCACATTGTACCATGCAGTGTATTATGAGTAGTACCACACGGTACCATGCCATTTCGTTGATAGTATAACAAATTGGATAATGTAGTAGTGATCATTTATAGAGTTTCATATAAGTACCACATCATAACATAAATTAGTAATCATAGTAATTAAATTAGGTTTATAGCAATATTTATTGCGAAAAATGTTGTTTATTTTACTTCTTTATCTTGTCTTGAAATAATTTTAAATTACAAATAATAATTTCTCATATTATTAATGTATGATATATTTAGATTTAGTACCATACGAAAATTTTCGATTTTGCTAAGCGACGTTGCGTCCTATCTACCCAAGGACAAAGTTAATGGCTATGGTACATACACATACATACATACACACACATACACATATATACATAACATACATACACACATACATACACACACACACACACACATACATACACATATATACATACATACACATGTATGTGCATTTTAATGTAGACAGACAATTCTTTAGAAACAGACAGACAAACAAACAAACATATATACATAGGGCATTTTCAATATGAAATGCACAAGATATTAACTGAATGGAACCGAGACGAAGTACCATTGCATTGATTAAAATATTCGGCAGAGTGGTTTGGTGTGCACGTATTAGTAAGTATGTGTATGTATGTGTGTTGTATGTGTGTAGGTGTAGGTGTGCGTGTACATGGATTAAATTTGAAAAATTTTACCAAAATAAAATAGGTCGACATTATTTGTATTTATTTTGGTTAGCAATGCATTCATAACATAAATTTTAAAGTACCAATAAATGTATTATGATGCTTACAATTTGATAACTAAATTATTGAATTGCAGTTATAGGGTAAATACAGAAGGAAAAATGGTGACAAAAATAGTAAAGCGCGAGGAAGGTACGATAATAATTCGAGATAATTATTGTTTACATATTGTATGCATTTAATTTGTTAATGAGACATTACTTAACAAGTTAGGAAGAATTATGAATTGGTAGAATAGAGGCTAAATAAGTGAGATGTAAATATAAATGTATTCACTTTTTTGATTCTTGAAAAATTGTTCCTGAATAGAGTAAATTGAACAATTATTGATTTTCATTTTTTTTTTTTCTTTTTTTTTTCATTTTTGAAACTTTCCAGGAAATATGAATCCGGTGGATACGCTAAATACGTTGGATTTAGCAAATAATAAGATAGATATTTTGAACGCTTTGAATATAGCAAAAGATTATGGTAAACCGGTTTATGTGGAAGCACATGGTGGTAAGAATCATGTGATAATGTATCGTTCAAGAACCAATCCTGAATTAGCTATTGAATTCTTTTTCCGGTTTGTACCAGTGTTTTGTTATTCATGCATGCCATGAAGATTTAGGTTTCAGGATGAAAAATTATTCGTTTTAATTTTTTTTTTTTTTTTTTTATTTTTGGTCGGGAATAACAATTGAATCATCTGACTTCGATTTAGCTTTTTTGGTTATAATTCTTATAAGTGCTCTTTTTGACGTATAATTCTTATAACTCGATATTCCTTAGTGATAGAATAATCAATTAAAATCTCTTCGTTCATTTGCAAATAAGTTTTTTTCCCCAAACTATTTTTCAATTTAAAAAAAAAAAATTCAATTTTTAGTTCATCTTCTAAAGATGGTCGTTCACGTTATTATCGTTGTACGAAATGTTGGTATAAGTATAAACTGAACCGTGGTACCTGTGCAACGTTGATTGTTCGAGATGGTCGTATTATAACTGATCCAGAAAATCCGGTTGTACCACATCAGTGCGAATTCCGGTCTTTGGAAACTGTGAAAGCAAATCGAGCATGGATTGCAAGTCGGAAACGAACAGCAAAAACTTCAAGTTTGGACGATTTGTATACATCGGATATCTCAATACCTTCGACCAGTGGGTTAGTTATTTTCTTTATCTCCTTAAACTGTTAAGGCTATGTTTATGTTTAATATTTTTAAAATTCTTTACTTCCTTCATTTTTCTTTTTGTCTTTTGAGTTTTTTTTTTTTTTTTCTCCTTAATAATCCATTATATTACATTAATGATGTATGCATAATAAATTAATGATATAATCATACTATTATGTTAATATAATCTGATTATTTTGACACTGCAATAGCAGTAGTATCGTTTAGTATCTCAGTATTCTTAATATTACCTTTTTAAATATAGTGATATTAGATGATATGATAAGATAGTTCAGGTATAACATTATTAGTTTTGCTAAAATATAACACTCTCTATGTATGGCATTATTGTCTGCATTTATTTATTAGTTAGAAATTTTTAAAAATTCCTTATTCTTTGGAATATCTTGATAATATAGAAGTAATTGCCTACACTTATATAATATCATTAAATTATATCAAACAACTGAGTGCTTTGATTACATATATTATTTGTTTACTTATTTATTTATTTTTTCATATCTAAAATATCTTGATATTAGAAATCGATCACAAATAATAGTAATAATATGAATAATTCCCGTTGAGACAATTATTTACTTTGATCTTTTTTTTTCTGTACGTTATGAATTTTTAGTAAAGTTTTAATTTTGAATGAACTTTTGGTTGGAAAGGAATAAAAAAGTCTAGAACTGATTTTAATAAATAAATAACATAAAGAAAAGTGAAAATTACCCGTAAATGACATATTTGCGATATATGGGTTTTTCATAAACCATCCTATCGGAGTTGTATACTTCACGTCATGGTTTACAGCCTATTGCATTTTGGTTTCTTTTTTTTTTAATTTTCTGTGCCATTATGGTCATTTCTAAGTAGTAGCATAGACTTTGATTGTTTACATTGTCAACATTTTTTTTTTAGTCACCATATGTTACGTATGTTGCGTATAAGCATTCTTCACCCCACTATTTTATATATTTTCCATTTTGACATTACTTTGTACGTCTTCCTAGTTAACTTATTTTGCACATTTTATTCATCATTATTATCTTTTATTATCATACCTGGCACTTTTTATCTGTAATATGCTGGTTTGAAATGCATTTAAATACTGTTCATTGTGACAAATTTACTTTCAAATTTGTAATACTTTTCTTATTCTGCCATTGATTCTTCGTTGATTCCTTTTCCAATGATCGAAATGGATCAATTAAGAGCCATCGATATTATCTTCACTATTATTTATTAACTTTTTCTTTACTTTAAAAAAAAAATTGTTGCACAGCCGAATATTGATATTTGCACTGCAATATTGCAAAGTTTACGTTTCTTCTTTTACTATTATTTACGGTTCTTAAATTAAATTAAATAATGGCTAAGTTTCACCGGCTAAGTTTTTATTCCTTTTAGTTTCATACCAGTAATTTAGGCTTAACCTTCGCGAAGTCCTGGAAATTTGGTCTCAATATTCAAATACTGAAATGAGTAACGCTGAGAGTACAGATGAAAAGGTGGAGAGTGGTGGTGAAACTGGTGGTACCAGTACTCCGTCGTCAACATCATCAAAAAATGGCCGAAATCTTGATGGTAATATTTATCTTTTACTTTTTGGGCTTGCATTCTCTCTAGTATAATTTTTTGGTTTTGCAGTTTTCATTATGGTTTTATTCTTGTTTTTCAATGAGTTTTAAGTTTTTTTTCAAGGCATTGATTTCAGATAATCCGGTATGGGCAAGAATACGAGAAAGGATCACAGGAGTCGATAATATTGACTTGGCATGTGAAGGTATAATAACAAAGACTTTAATTTTGGAGAAAACCATTCAAGATTATTAAATTATTCCATTATAATTGCATATAAATTCTTTTACTGTTCACTAACGGTAGTATTTATGGAAATGATTAGTCTCTTAGGTGAAGCGATCAATTATGTTATAAGAGACGCTTAAAATTTTATATTGTTATAAGATTTATGATAACATTTGTTAAAAAAATTTTAGAATCTATGGGTTTATCTTCGCCGTCTGGTTCACCATCACCGAGTTACAAATTTTCAAATATGGACGAGGATACAGCTGGTTCTTCTGCGCGACAGTTTTCTGTTGGTATGCATTGTTTTTCAAGCATTTTTAAAGCGTCATAATTTTTTTTTTTCTTTTTAGTAATGAGACCGGAAATAGCGCGTAGTTTTAGAAGAAATTCTCATCTGTTTTTTTTTTTTTTTTTTAAAAAAACTTTTAATTTTTTGTCTGTTTCTAAATTGCATCTCTTCCATTTATGTTTTATATAAATATCTGTGATTCGTAGATCTTTAATCAAATCTGAGAAATTATAGTTCAACCTTAATCCGTGAATTAGATCACGCTTAACTGTAATGGTGGACTGTCTGATATGTGTTATCTGATGTGATATATGATATGTGTTATCCAGAAATGGATAACATTATAGTGGAATGCGGTGTGAATTAAGTGCTGACATTTGAAATTTGAGTTGCTTAATTTTTAAAGAAACGAACACTGATATGGCTGAAGATACAGAGCAGAACAGCTATTTGGATGATGCATTTACTACATCAATGTTGAAGAAAAATGATGAAGCACTAGGAAAGTTGCAGCAGGCGATTGATAATAACGAAAATTTTGATATCGGTAAGTGTTTTTGTAATAGATATGAAGTAGTAATCTAGATTGGTAGCTGAATTTTGTTATTTCTGTACTCTTAGGTTTCATTAAAGTTCAAGATATCAAGATTTTGATTTCTGATCATAAAAATTTCGATTTTCTAATTCTAGAGTAAATATCGTGGGCAAAATTAGTTAGTTTAGTTGAAAATGCTCTTAATGTATCAGTATTTTACTGATAGACGATTTAAAGTGTTCGAAGAGTCACTGACATGGCAAATTTTCGGAGTTATCAGATGTATTTCCTTTTCATCTTTATAAGTTCTTCACGTTTTTATATATCCACATAATTAAAAGTCTAACTTGTGTTAGCAGTTATTCGTGTTTGTAGGATAAAAATTGTTAAGGTATCTTTTTTTATTATGGTTGAAATCAATGGTTTGATCAAGTTGATCTATTGAATTTTTGATCTGATGTGAATTTTGAAATTAATATCATGAATTTTTCAGATGATGTTTCTTTAGTGGACAATGTTTTTTCATACAAATTCAACAATACAACGGATGTACAGGACAAAATTGCTATTTGTGAAGAATGGTTATGTTTTTTGGCAAAAATTACTCCTATCGCTACATCTCGATGGCTTTCACATTATCAATTTAGCATTTACTATACCTTTCACATGGTAAGATATGTACCATTTATAGATTTTCAAAATTTTTGATAATTTCTTTTTACGATTACATATAAACATTTGCTCCATATGTAAAAGCGTAAGATTCTTTAGTCATTAGAGCCATCCTGAAACGTTGTCACGTCTTAGCAAAAAAATAAGATGTTTGAAGCCTACAAACAGCGACATGGACTATCTCGACATGTTGTTAAATGGCAAGATTTAACAGAGACTGTGACAACTTGCTGCCCAATTTCTGATATAGTGATGAGTTTGTTTTTTTGTAATGTTGAATTTTTTTTTTTTTTTCAGCTATCGCTTGTTTTTCGGCATTATGAAAACAGAGATGAGAAGAAGCGTTTTTATAAGATTTCACTGCCTCTTTTCAAGTATGTGATTCTGTTAAATGCATAATAAGTTCGTATGTATTCGAAATAATGGAAAATTTGAGATTACTTTAAAAAACTTTTAGATTTTAATCCGCTCATTTTCTGTTTATAGATGAAACATCTGACTTATTATAGGAGTTTGTTGCAAGCAACAAATTTAATACCAGAGACTTCCGAGGAAATCGTAAACACAAAATTGGATGTATTGTTGAGTATTTCCTTTATTGCCGTGCAATTTTATGATGTGAGCGATCAGGAAATTGTAAAATATATAGAGGTAAGCAGATCACTGTTTGCTTTTGTAGGGAAAAAAAAAATTTTTTTTTTTTTTGTTGTTGCTGTGCTTGTAATGATGACTTATAAAGCATATGTCAACGAGATTGTCGCTAGAAAAAGGGAATTTGATTGCTTCAGTAGTTTTATCTTTTAGCGAGAAATGCGTTCTGTTGGAGATTCAGTAGCTGGAAATTATTCATCGGAAGCAGCAACACTGATGGTGCAAAAAGTTTTCCGAATCAGCAATAATTTAGAAGAACGCAAACGCTTGCTTAGTGGCAAAGTTGAATATACTTGATATTGCTGTTTTCACTTTCACATTTCCTATTATTTTAAAACAGTAGAAGATTGTGAGGGAAAAAAATGGAATTTTGTATTTATATGGCAATGGATTACTTAAAATGCTTTCTCCAAATGGGTCCTGAAGGAAAAGCATAAATAAAATATATTTTCAATTGGTTGTTTGAAACTTTTCGTATTTTTTTCTTCTCGGAATACTTTTAGAAAAAGTTTTAACTTTTTTTATGAGTGATTAAAGGCATTTCGTTGAACATCTTAGTTCTAGGATCCATTTCGATCTTTTTTTTCTTTTTTTTTTTTTTTTGACGAATTTATTAGAATATAACGTTAGTTTTAGATGAATAAGTTATATGATTTCCAAATAATTTTCATTCATATACAGTAATCTTAGTTGCATTTGATATTAATATGTTTATTGTAGGACTCCAGCAAGTAAGATATTATTACTAGATGAAACTTCATGTCCACAATTTCGCTCTTCATCATTCTCGCTATTTTGTCCGAGATTATTACCACCGGATTGTGTGCTCTTTTGAGCGCGAATATCTTCTTTCATACGTCTCATCTTTTCTTGTTTTCGAAATTTGGCTCGTCGATTCTGAAACCAAACCTGCAATTGAACTTAATGAATTGATGAAATTGGTCAGAAATTGCAATAACTAACGTAAAAGTAATATATCAGGAATTATCGATTGATTGATGAAAAAATCATATAAAAAGCCTTTTTTAGGTAACATATGAGCTTTTTAAATATCTAAATGACAAGCTTTTTAATTTACTTAATATCAACTAGCTTTTTTTTTTTTTTTAATAATTCCTTTTTAATGATTCAACCTGTACTCGAGCTTCTGTTAAATCAATTCTCATTGCCAAATCTTCTCGGGTGTAAATATCTGGGTAATGAGTTTCCAGGAATGCTCGTTCTAGTTCTTTTAACTGCCCAGATGTAAATGTTGTTCGAATTCTACGTTGTTTCCTTCTTTCCATTGGATTATTCCTACCACAAATGGCACCTTTAATTAACACTCTAACTTTCACAGATAATTTTATATGGTTAATTTTATACAGATTGTAAATTTTAGCATAGATTTTGATTACAAACATTTCTTTCTAAACTTTCAGGAAATTAATTTAAAAAAAAAAAAAAACAGGTAACTATTATTTTCAAAAGACTGATTTACTGATTATTAGTAATTTATTGTCTCTTTTTTTTTTCTTTTTGTTTTTTTTTTTGTCATTTCAAAGGAATTGCAAAATTATCAATGATAATATTACCAACAAGTGATGATCCCTGTATACCAGCCATTAAGCCAGCTGTATTAGCTCTCATTGCATCAGCTGTTGAAAGAAGAGATGTTTGATTTTGATACAGTTTGTATTGAAGTCCTTAAATTCCATTAATAATGGCAAAAATCTTTTGATATTCATTAAAGCAATGCTACAATTTGAATTTTGTCTGAGTAGAAATTTCATGAAAAAGAATAATGATTTGATGAAGATTAGAATGAAATTGAATGGATTTCTATGAAATTTCTAAATATTTCATTCTGATTTTGTATGCTACAGCAAAATTCTGAAGTGAATTACAATTGTTTATTAAAATTAGATTAACAATGATAATCTTTAAATAGCACATCTGAGATAGAAAATGATAAAATTTTATGCTCTAAAAATATGGGTGAGCATTTTTAATTTAAATGGAATCAAAATGAGAAATGATGGATGAGTTTAACGCTGGATGGTCTTGAACATGAACTCTAAACTGATGCATTAAGAAAAAAAAAAAAATTTAAATATTGTCACTTAACTTCCTCTAATTCATTTTATCCAGTAATTTACTTTCTTTACGAATCACAAAGTTAAATTTCATTTACAATATTTCTCAAAAAAGTTTAGCTGAACCCAAATTATTTCATTATGAAACTGAAAGAATTTAAAAGTTCAAAAGATGAGTTCTATTGTAATGTTAATATCTAAAAGTAAGAATGTTAAAATTTATTGAAATATTTTTTTTTTTTTTGCTAGTTTCAAGAAGATTATTTATATTTATAAAATGTTAGAAAATGAAAACAATCTAAGATTAAAAGTATATTTAATTAATAAACAATGATTTAATTGCATTCATTTTATTCTTGATGATAAATAATTGAGAATAGTCTAAAAATTAAAATTTAAAGATATATTTCTTTTTTTTTTTTTTTTAAAGAAAAGGAGGAAAAAGAGTAAAAGAAAGAAATTAATTTTTAACAAAGCAAAAAAAAAAGAATAAAAAAATGTTTTTTGAGAAGAAAAAAAAAGTGAGCATTTTGCTGTCTTAACTGTTTTATTTTATATCATTTTCAAAATACATCTACATAAATATTGAGAAGAATTGAATCCGTTAAACCGGAAAATAAAATTATACCGGTTTGTAGGAAAGCATGTAAAGAATCGGTTGTACGATAGGGTTGTGTGGTAGTTGTATTTGTAATTGTTTTTGTTGTTGATGTTGTCGTTGTTTGTAATGAAGTTTGTAACATTGACTGTTGATGTCCAACGGTTAAATGTCTTTAGAAAAGTTGAAAATTTTACTCGTATCAAATTTTAAAAAATTTGTATTTTACAATATTGTATTTTTATGAATTTCTTTATAATCCAAATAAAATTGAAATTTTGTTCTTATTTGTCTAATAATTTTTATAATTTAATAAAAATGAAATTTTGCTCTTGTTTTTATTTTTGTTTTTGTTTTTTTTTAAAGTTTGTTAAATAAATTTATGCATTTTTTTCTTTCTTTCTTTCTTTTTTTCTTCATTTTTATTTTCTATAAAAATTAATGACAATAGATGTTAGAGCTTTATTTACCTTGTATTTCCTGTTAATTGTCCATACGAATTAGCATATTGTTCATAAAGTTGTTGTTGTTGTTGTTGTTGAATTGTATTACTGTATGCTGTAGCCATTGATGATCCATTAGTATTTGTTGTTGTTGTAAAATTTAAATTTGGATTTAAACTAAATGTATCAAATGTATTTCGATCATAACCAGTTGTTGTTACAGGAGTTGTTGTAAAATAGCTACCATAATCGACCATATTCATTCTAAAATTATCATTGCAACTATTTTTTTAAATGATAATTGCAAATTTCTATAAAGTATTAATTCTTCTTTTTAAAAATATATACCAATTTTATAATAAGTTTAAAAAAAAAACAAGTCAAAAAAAATTAAGAAAAAAAAAAACTTTGTAGAAACAAGAAATATTGTTGTATTTAAAAAAAAAAAAGGAATAATGAAAAAGAAAAACAATTTATTTTTTAAAAAACATATTTTTTTGAAAAATTCTCGAATGAAATATTTATTCTCGAATAAATCTTTCTCGAATGTTTCATTCGTTTCATCTCTTAGATGTTTCATCTTTTATGCATAGCTAAATATTTTATACTATAGTTAGCTAATTAAATTATTAAAAGCTCATTGTTAGTTAATTCTAGTTACATTAACATATTGTATTTTAGTTTAAATTTAATCTATTATTACGTAAATTGAAATTAATCTAATTTTTTGTCTAACATAATTAAATATTTTGATATAAAATAATTGCATAATTGCAATATATATTATAACAATTTATGATAATGTAATTTATCATAAATATTACTGTAATATAAATTACTATGCAAACAAATATTTAATAACAAATACTCATTTAAGTTAATTTAAATAAATTATTTGTAAATGAATGAAATTTCTTCTATTCAAATGAAGAAACAAATGAGATGAAAAACGAATAAACAAATTTAATGAATATTGGAAATAGAAAAAAAAAAAAAGAAAAAAAACGAATCAATCAAATATATGAAAAAGATTTAGTTTTAGAAACGGATGAAATCATTTGAGAATTTGGTTTAGAACATTTATTCAACAAAAATTATATGACACTGATGCTTTCGTAGTTTGTCATTGCTCCACCCTCAATTAAGCTTAATGGTTTCATTCTCCAACCAAACTAATATATTTGGCTCATTTTGTTCCATTTGTTACTCTTCACATCTGGCCAAATATTATGGCCAAGTACGGTAGGGCATCAAACTTTCAAACATATTTATATTTTCTTTTTCTTTCTCTCTCTCTTTCTTCTTTTTTCTCCTTCTCTTCCTCTTTTTGTTGCCCTTTTCTGTCCATAATATCCGATCGAAAGAAAAAAATACAAGAGATTATCGAAGAATTTGATTAAAAAAAAAAAAAAAAGTAGCTTAAATCTAACTAATTGATCATATAATTACAATTCTTTTTACTCCAGCAAAAAAATTGAAAATTAAAAAGTAAAATGTATTTTATTAAATCAATAAGCTATCACATCAGCTAATCATCCACTTATCAGTATGATCAATTAATTGATTAACAAAAAAATAATGAACAGTTTAAATTTTATTTATTTCTTAATTAAAAGCATTTATGTACAAAAATGTTGCAATTTGCAAACATAATTTTAAGAGAAGAAAAAATCTTAAATCTGTCAGCTAAAATTTAAATATTTAAATATATTTAATGTTTAATTCAAGTTATCAAAAGGAACTAAATTAGCTTTTGCTTCTGTTACTTTAAAATTATCACATATTGCAATTTATCGTTATCGCAGCATAGTAGAAATTAAAAGTTCGATGTTTTTGTCCATGCCATATAATTATGAAAATTAAAAGCAAACGAATATTTCAAGAAATTTAAAAAACTTCAGCTTTTTTTTTTTTTTTTTTTGCATTCAAATGTTTACTTTTACTTTTACAATTTCAATTACACTTTTATTTTTTTTAAAAGTATTTTAGGCAGAAGACTAAGACAGAATGGAATGACTGACCACTGTCCGACATGCTTGAATAAAATGACCCGAAATATCATTAAGCTAAAATAAACTTTCATTTATTGGAAACAATGACTAATATTAATGGCTAGGAAGCATTTTGGATAAGATTGAAAATGTCCAACAACTATACATAGCTCTTTTATCTTATTAGCAACGATCTTTGTTAGATTGGCAATCAACGAATGCATCTCAATGCTAACTATTATTTAGCGTTGAGAAAGTGATATATTCTCAATTCTATCGTAATCCTAAAATTTAATCTAATAAAAATTTACAGATTAAATCTATCAAATCTTAGATGGAAAAATTGTAGAAAAATAAAAAAAAAAAAAAAAGAAAGAGCAGAAAATGGAAGAAAAATACTTCTGTGCAAAAATTTAATTTTTATCATTTCCTATAAAGTTTGCTTTTCATTTCCCTAGAAATTGTTAAAAAAAAAACAGGTAAGAGAAATTAAATAGCAGTACATTTATATGAATATTTATTAAGGATAAATTTTTAATTGTTAATTTTAACAAAAGTTTTTATATTTGTTTAATCTTGTTGTGATCAAGCTTTCCAGAAAAATAAACAGATGTGTATTGGCGATTGTTGCACTATTCAATAGATTTAGTTGCACAAGAAACATCCACTTGACCTTTAACCCTAGTGAAAATTCAGTCCAACCAGTAATAGCAGTAGCAGTAGTAACACGGAAATGAATTAATTAATGGCAACTAATTTACAATAATTCTGCATCTTCTTCCACTAATCTTTATTTCTTCCAGATTGGCGCAAAAATACGCTACAATTTAAGTTAATTATTGATATGTACAAAATCATTTGATATTTTATTTGATTTAAAAGCCGTGACCTAACAAATTTATTTAATTCATCCATTTCTCTCTAACAGTTGTTTAGCTGATATTCTACCCATTTTTTTTCTTTTTTTTTTTTCTTTTTTATAAATACATTTCAATAATTGCCAAATTCATTTGATCTGTTGCAGTAAATAACTTACTAAAATAACTGATTGCTTAATTTTCGTAACTTTCTGATTTATAACGTTGTGTGTTCATCATTTGTTATTAAAACTAAAAGAAATATTTTTACTATTCATTTCTTTCATTCATACTTTATTATTTTATTATTTTTAATTGTTTAGCCATACTTAAATATTCGATTATTTAATTTGAACTACCGTAAGTAACTCGTCTCTCTCTTTTGCTTATCATACAGTACAGTCTACTGTAATTCTTTCACTTAATGGTATTAATCCTTAATCACTGATAAATACATTATATATTACTTATAAATTACTTCAATCTTGCTTGAATACTTCATTAGCTTTAGGCATTGTTTAGCCATACTTAAATATTCAATTATTTAATCTGAACTACCGTAAGCAACTCGCACTTAATGATATTAAGCCTTAATCACTGATAAAAATGTAATAAACTGTGTCATTCATCCCAGTTTCCTGATTATTTCATTGCATCCTGTCATACAGTAACACCGACGATAACCACAGTACTCCGATAAGAACTACAGTACCAGTTCTACAAATCTACTATCTCTGTTTAACACACTGCTGTAATACGACTGATTATAACAGTAACCCATCCTATTCCAACCAAAATTCGTTGTGCGACGAGAAAGTAGATTTGTGTTATTTTCATAATTGTATTATGAAAATAATGATATCGATGTTCTTTATATTCATTGTAATTGTTGATGATATGATTTTATCTTGTCTTTCTTTGATTATTTCTGAAATTGTCTTTGAAATTATTTTATTAAACTTTGCAAGTTATCAGCTAATTGTTATATTTATCGTTGTTATCAATTAGAGTAACAACTAAACGTTATATGTACAATTTATTTTTTGAAGTAACATTAATGAATACAATCAAATTAGTACCAAATTTAGTATCAGATTATTAACAAAAAATATGAAAAATTGTAAAAATTACAAAATATTCGCTATATATCATTTTTTCAACCAAAATTTCGAGATTTTCAAACTTAAAAGACCTATTTCGCGAACAGTTGGCTACGTGGTCTGTAATAACATCCTTTGTATTTTACAGCCAGCTGACAGTACGTATCTAGTTGTCCATGTTTCTGTTCTCGAATTATTTATTTTTTTTTTTCGAATTTTATTTCTCACTTTTAATTTAATATCTCTCTTTCTTTCTGTGCAGTTTTCTATTCTTTGTTGTCTCCAAAATTTATTTATCAGTTTCAGTTTATTACTATTAGTTTTAAGATTTAAAATGCGCTGTTAAATGCAATAACTAGGGTCGTATTTACAAATAAATGGATGAATTATTTCCAAAATTTAACTATGAAAATGTCAGATGGATCCATTATTTAAGGACTGAGCAGATTTTAGAGTGTTCAATCACATCTAAAAATATGTAGGAATACTAATTCGCAGAACACCTCTAAAATTATTTAAGGGTATCAACTATTAAGTGGTATTCTCATCAATCATATCAACTAGACTTTTTTGCATTGGCTAAAGTGTAATTTTAGTACTTGAATGTTTGTTTTTCATAAAGTTTCAATAATTTATATGAAATGAATTTCAGAGCAGTCGACAAGCACGCCAGCATTATTTTACTTGTTGGAAAGGCGTAATGGGAATTGGTAATTTGAGGTTGGTTTAATTTATGTTGAGGTTTTATGTTTTTTTTTATTCCAGCAAAAGTTAAATTCTTGGATTAAATAACCAATTATAGAGATTTCGATTCTGCTGATTTCATTTTTTTTTTTTTTTTTTTTTTGGTTTTTTCAGTCCTGGCACTTAAGATACCATTGCCATTGCTATATGTTTGATAGTTCTGTTTTTGCTTCCTTCCATAGGTAATTTGTCGGGTATTTCAATAATCTTTATTCTGTCTCAGAATATGAGACTATTTCTTCATTTCTAACAAAGGTTTCTTCTAGGCAATAATTAATGTTTGTTTTAGGAAGGCAAAAACACGTCGTGGCAAACGATTTCTAGAAAATCGTCAACCAAAAGTTGTTGAGAATGATAAAACGGCTGTAATCGTAAAAGGCGGCAAAACAAATCAAACTGTTACTGATGCTTTAGCTGATCTGTATGCTTTGAAAAAGCCATTGGCTATTCGCATGAAAAGGTTTGACCTCATTGATAATTTTTTTTTTTTTTTTTGCTGTACAAAAGTTATGATGCAGTTTCTCACTGGGAGCACTTATGGTTTTGTGAATGAGTTTGCATATCAGTGGTACATAAACTGCAGTATCACAAGTAATTTAATTTTTTCGTATTTTCAGGCATAATCCAATTCATCCATTTGAAAATGATGTTGAACTGGAGAGTTTTGCAATGAAATATGACACATCGTTATTTTTGTTTGGTTCAAATTCTAAAAAACATCGGAATAGTTTGGTTATGGGGCGTATGTATGACTGTCATGTACTCGATATGGTGGAGTTGCAGATTGAAAATTTTGTTAAATCTGCAGATTTTCATGTGAGTTTAATTACATAAAATGAAAATAGAAGCATTCTTGAACTTGATTTTTAAGCTTTATGATATATGAAATTTTGGTAATGATATAGTGATGATGTAATTTGATCGGAAATTTTAGAAAGTTGAGGCTTTTTAGTGATTTTAACGTGCCTAAGTTGTTATATAAATTCAAATGCCTATAGTAATTACTCTACTAGACACAGAATTTAGATAGAGGTAGTGTTCAAATTGGTTTGGCTTGAACACTTTCGTGATACCAAGAGTATCACTTGTGGGGAAAAAGAAATATCTTAAACATAATATTTTAAGCGAAAGCCTATTGCTGTTATTCCTATAAGCGATGCTATAAGCATTTCAGTAACCCTTCGAGAGCAAAAAAAAATTTTTTTTTTGACGTTTATAGAACTTCTTACAAGCGATTATTTGCAATTGTAACGCCAATAAGTTTTTCATTTTGTAATATGTATTTGATATTTGTTTGTTTGATTTGAGAGGATTAATAATTTTAAAAGTGTGACATTTTTTCTGCTTTCTTTTCCTTAATTTTTCCTTAGAACTTTTCGTCCTGAAAAATATATCAAATAACAACGCACAATATTTCAGTCAGCCAAAGTATCTTTTGGTTGTAAACCGTGTATAGTTCTGCAAGGAACAGAATTTGAAAAGGATGAATCGACGAAGCGTATCGGTAATTTGATGGTCGATTGGTTTCGTGGTGCAGTGGTTGAGAATATACGCTTGCAAGGATTGGAACTTGTTATTTCGCTGACTGCTCTAGAGCAAAAAATTTATCTTCGAGTGTACAGGTACGTGTGGCAAATTATTGGATTTTTCTTGTTGCATGTTTCAGACTTTTTTATTATACAAAAGCTGATTTTGTGATCAGAGATAATTGCCAGCAGTTACTGGATATAGGTCTTGTATCAGAAGAAATAAACCTGTTGATTCAGCTAGTTTATGAGAAGGTTCATCTCCTAGATTCTAGATGAAAAATGGAAGAGAGGAGTTAGTACGACGAATCAGCAAATTGGTCATATCGAGGCCTAGGATCAGTTATCACTTAGCATAACTACCGAGTAATTAGGTTCTAAATAAATTTTTTTTCGAAATTTAGGACCTGTTTGAAAAAGTCAACGGGTACATCGCCAAGGATAGAACTTGTTGAAATTGGACCACGAATTGATTTTTCGGTACATCGAAGTAAATTTGCCAGTGAAAGTCTTTTCCGAGAAGCAATGAAACAGCCGAAACAAATCTTGGTAAACATTCTTTATTAATTTGACTAGTTCATTAGCCGTTTTGGTTATTGTTTGATGAGGAGTGAATTGGAGTGGAGAAAAGGGATTTAATCTTTACGAGTCTGATAGTTCATTTGAAATGGAAAAAGTTTCCTTTTAGCATAGGTGAGTTTTGGTTTAGATGACAATACTGATGGAAGAAGTAGGAAAGTAATGTCATTCCAAATTTCTGTTGAACTCTTGATTTTTAGGCTAAAAAACGAAAAAATATGTCAACGGATGTCTTTGGCACTGAGCTTGGGCGTATTCATGTCGGTAAACAGAACATTGATAGCATGCAGACAAAGAAAATGAAGGCTTTAAGAGGAAACAAGAATAAAGAAGCTGCGATAAGCAATTAATCCCAATTGAAATTTGAGAAATGGATAACTCTATTTGCAAATGAAACTTGAAGTGCATCTTCTGTTACAAGCGATACAGTTCAGGAGAGGTAAACAGGGTAGTGACTGCTCTCTTTCGGGCTTTAAATCAAATTTTTCACTTGGAGAAAAGATGAAATCTCCCAAATCTCTAAAAATCGAAAGCTTTCCAAGAGAAAAACAACCAAATTATCGAACTTTAATGATTAGTATCCATAATTTTTACAGTCCCTCTATTTTGTGTTTTTGATGAGTGCTATAGTTTTTTGGTTCTTCTTTACTTATTCGTTCAGCAAATATCTTTTCACTGTTGCATGTCAATAGTGACCGTCAATTCTTCCGATGAATTATTTTAACAAAAAAGAAAAAAATATTTGATATGTATACATTGCTAACAAACTTTCCAGAAGAGTAATTCTATGAGTAGTATCTTTTTAAAACTTAAACTGTAAAAATTTGTCGCAAATTCAAAGCAGCTCATATTTCGTTATTTTGTATTAGTAATTCTGAAATGCTTTTGAGGTGAAGAGTTGGAAAAGTCTTTAATGATTATATATAGTAATATGAATACAGACTTTTAGAAGATTCATCAAGTATCACTATGAACCAAAAACTTGTGTTTTGAATTCTGATCGGTCGTAAGATTTTGAGTGAAAGGTGCTATGAAAGATAGTAACAAAAATCACAGAATCTGAATTTTTGTATCACGGCTCATTATAAGGGATATGGAAATAAACCATTATGACGACTTTATCAAGTAATGGAATCTCTCGAGTGCCTTTCTTAAATATTCTAATTGGCTTGTTTGGATCTGAAAAAAGCCAACTATGCAAATTTCACCGGAGATTTCAATTTAAAATAAAGAAGTTAGATTCATTTCACAGAATTCAATGAATCAAAAATCTTTTAAATTGAATTCACTTATCTTTTCGTCATTAACACTAATGCAGTACATTAATTTGCAGCTTAAATTATGGTCCTAAACACATTACCTGTGGTGGGTCTCGCGCTACTCGCCGACTATTACTTTTACCGTATATTACGGTGTTTTCTGGTAGCTCTTCTCGTAGCATGGCCATGCAGTTGGTCCCAATAAAGCAGCCTCGTGTAACCGTTGTATTTGGACCCACCTGACATCGAGCACCAAAAACATTATTATTACCAATCTTTGGTGCATGAACAGCTGCAAATAATACAACGCTTTAATATAGCAAAGTTGATAATCAGTTTCTGAATTTAAAAAACAACTGGGATGTAAACTTTATTCCAAAATTTCACTTACTAGATCCAATTTCGAAAACATTATCACGACCGATTAATAGTGCTTCACCAGTGTCATTTCTGGAACACATCTTACTTTGAAAAATGGAAAGAAAATGAAGGAAATGTTTTCCTAGGTGTTTCCGAGAAATTCTTCCGAAAATTCAAATAGCTTACTCACAAGTTTTCAATAACACAAGTCTCCTCAATGTTATTATTTTCACCGATAATAATTGGTCCATTTGTAGCACGTATAACAGCTGTCGGATGAACAACGGTACCTAAATGTATTTCAATTGTTCCAATAGTTCCGAAATCTTTTGTCGACTTATCTCTCAATAAATTGCAATTCTCAACAGATCATAATAGCCATTCTAAAAACGAAAAGTTTTGTCTTTATAATAATCTTTTTGAAAACTTCTTGAAGTAATTCGAAAAATCTTTCGGAAAATTCCTGTGAAATATTTGATATGCAAATAAAAAGTTTGTGATTTACTATTCATTCTAACATACGTCGAGAAATATATAATGCATCTTTTGTAAAACGATTACATTTCATACGTATTTCAAATACAACGGTATCACATCATTATATCTAATCGAGATCAGAAATAGATGAAAAAAAAAAAAATGTCAAAATGTCATAGCGAAATGTAAACAATACCGCCATATTACTTAGTATTTACAATTGAATCAAATATTCATGATAAAATGTTAACAGTTATAGTCTATCAGATACCTGAACCAATCGTTATATCGCCTTCCAAAGTTGCTTCCTTACATACAACAGCATCTGATGCTATCGTAAATCTGTAATAAAATTTCGATATAATTTGATTATAATCTGTCTATTATTAAAGTTTGTGCAATGGAAATAGGAAGAGGAGTTAGAATTATTGACAAATTTACTCAAATTTCCTAATAGTTCCCCTACTTTCCCCATATTTTCTTCCTTTCAAATCCGTATTCTTCAGAAGAATGAAATATATTTACCAAATATTAAGTAAACAAATTTACTCAAATTTCAGAAATTCAATTTTCAACAGAAAAAGAAACATACAAGTGAAAAAACTTACTTATTCTCAAGAGTCATTCTGAGATTCAATTAAAGCACAACCGAAACGAACATTACAAGATAATCTTACAAATTCTGTAATGTAAATTATCGTTATTTCAGAGAATAGTGAGCAATATTTCAAACAAATATTAGCAGACTTCTTTGAATCAAACGTGATTTGCAACCCAATTCCGAAATTCGCTAACAGAAAGAAAGGTTTATCCTGAAATGAAACGTTAAACAAACCGGAATTCCTAGTGGAAACATCTGATTACGCATTTGCTAAGCTAAACTGGTGCTCTAGTACTTTACGGTCACGGCCTGCAGAAAATATTCTATCCTCCGGAAATATGACCTGAAGTTGGAGTACGTAAAACAGGTATGACTTTCCGTTCTGACCGAAATAAACTTGGCGAAGTTTTGAAATCAAACAATTCAGATAAATTGAGTTGAAATATATTAAATATTGACTTCATCTACTGCTTTGAAGATGAATTGGGAAACTAATTCACTTCTTTTCTTTGATTCCGTTCCGTTTTATCTTTCAACTTTTTCCGGTTGAAATTATCCCCAGCAAAATAGACTTGATCTTTTGGTTTTGTGTTTTGACATTAACAATCACTCATCTTTTTTTTTCTTATTTTCGAGTGTTCATCTACTGATGATTTTTTCAAACAAATTAAAAAAAAAAGTATGACTATGGCGAACTTTCTCAAAGCAACGATGAATTTAATTATAAGTAGCAAACGATGCTTAGATTTTTAGATCGATGATCAGAGTCGAACAGATAGTTTGAAAATAATCAATAATCATTAGCAGTGATTCGAATAAAAATGAAGCCTAGATTAGATTATCAGTTTAAATATCATAAATTTTAATATTTGTTAAAAAATCATTCGACTTGGTTTAAAATAGAAACGAGATTTTATGAATGATTTATTTTGTTGGGGCTGAATTAAAATAAAGAATAAGAAAGAAACTTGGTTTTTAGGAAAGAAACTTTGATCATTAATTTGTCAACTATAGCGATGTCAAACTGGAAGTGAATGAATGAAAGGTAATGGAAATAACTGTGTTTTGGATGTTAGACTTAGAAAGAATAGTTTTCTAATTTTATAGTTCTTTGAGAATTAAAAAAACTCTCAAAGTAGTAAGATTTGATTTATTTAGACGAAATTTCTTTTAACTTCCAAGTTTTTTTAATTTATTTAATTTAGATTGAAAAAACTAAGATTTATTCTACAAATCATTGCTAACATATTTCAGTTGTTTCTAAATCATTAAAAACAATTTAATTTTTGAGGACTATCTTCATGGAGAATGTATATTTAGAAAATGTATTGATTTTTGTATACTGCTACTTTTCTATAAAATACCGCCGTACTCATAAAATTGTAGTTTTAGTGAAATTGAATTCATTTTTTTTTCTTCACAATTCTTCAGCTATGAACAAATTTCTACAAAAATTTTTAAAATGAATTTTTTTTTTCTTAATGCAGTATTATTGCAGCCATTAAATTATAAGTAAATTAAATAATTGCATCGGCGTATACATGCATTAAATAATCAAAAAAAGAAAAAAAAAGGAAGAGAGATTTAATATTTACATATTTGCATACAATAGTTAAGAGCATTGACAAGAAAATGAAATTTAATTTTAAATCAAATTTAAATTGTTTGATGATATTATTTTCTTCAAACGTACAACATTTTAGAAGCTTCTATTAATATCATTAATAGTTTCAATATTAACTGTTGAATTTTTAAATTTGGATTTAAAATATAAAATTCGAATTTGCATATTACATAGTAATAAATAGAATAAACAAATAGAAGCAAGAAACACTTTAAAAATAAACAAACAAATGAACTGATAAACAAATTTCATTTGTTCACAGACATACTAAATAATATGCAATAAATTTCAGTTAGACATTTTATCATCATCATTTCAACTGGTTGAATTTCTTAGTCTTCAAGAAAATATCATTTTGTTTACAAAAAAAAAAGTAAAGCTAAATGAAATGTGCTGAATAGCTCGAGTGAATAGCTTAAATATGGCTATCCATTTTTTCGTTTTTCATTTTTCCACTTTTGCTCCTTTACTATATTCTTCTTTTGCTGCATCTCAATTAAATTTTAAAAATTCCACTTAATGTCAAATTATCAAAAATGGCATAAAATTAAAACACAATACAAACTAAGCCAGTTACATTTGCTGTACCTTAAATGAAAACCAAAAAAATAAGTGAAATTTTCATTAATTTTTTAAATTTTAAAAAGCTAACATTTATTATTGTCTTGCTAACTTCATTCTTTTGATTAAAAGATTGGAATATATACAATTTTAGTATCTTTTAACCATCTCAGAAAGCTCAGTCTGAAATTTAATCCATTGACAATATAGTTCGTACTTATCGACGACTATCTCATTTCATCAATTGCCTATTTAACAACTCTTAGCAAATATTTCCATTTTCTAAAAACTAAATAGAATGATTACTTCTTCTTTACGAATCATTCATTTGAAATTTGAAATTTGATCAATTCAATTTATCAAAAAAATGTGTGTTTACCATTTAATCAATTTTTGATACTTCCCTGTATTTTATAACCTTTAAAATGTTTAATATTTTTTCTTTAACTTTCAGTTTCATTTCCACTTTTTTTTTTCTTTCTTTATTTTCTTTTTCAGTTTGATTTACACTTTGATATAATTTTATGGTAGTCATTGTACCTAGTGGTGGCAGCTCAACAACAGTTCATCATTTCCTCATTCCATCAATTCAGCAAAAAAAAAAAAAAAATAATGTATTTCAATGACAATTAATTTTTCCCTTTTCATTTTTGATTCATTTTAAGTTTTCAAAAGTAAGAAATCAGTTTGAAATTTACTCTTTTCTACCAATTAGAATTAAATTGTTGTAAAATTAAATAAACCATTCCTTGAATTATATAAAAATAAAATGGAACAATGAGGAAAAAAGATAACTTCGAACATTATTTTTATAATTTATCCACGGATGTATGTCACATCATTTCTTTTCTTTAACATTCTTTGAGTCACATCACTCACTGTCACTTAAAAATCTCAATTTTGATTCAAAAAACATTGTTTATTACTTTTTGATTCCTATTTTTGCTATCTCTGAATAACTATAGGCAATAAATCAATTAATCAATCACTTCTTATTGATCATCTTTTTTTCTTATTTACACACACACACAAAAAAAAAAAAAAAAGAAAGCCATCCCTCAATTCGCTAACCCATCTGCTCACTTTATTTAATGAATTTTTGACATTTAATGATTTTAATGAATTGGTGATATTGTGCTGCTATAGTCATAAATGACGGCCTTGCTCTTTCACACGTGTGTTGTGTGCGTGTTTGCGTGTTTGTGTGTGTGTGTGTTATGCGTATGCGTATTAGCACGTGTGTTAAATGCGTGAACGTACGTATTTATATGTTATATATATAAGGATGCGAAAGTTTAGGATGCATTTTTTTTGTATCATAGCTTTGATTTTTCAAAGTCTCTTTTAGTGCATCTTTAATAAATGATAAGTTAAAATAGTCCGTGAAACTTTCCATCTGCTAAGAGTAATGTTCGTACTGATATGTAAAATAAGAGTAAGTAAGAAGTGCTAGGAAGGATATTACTTCTCATTGATAGTATTTATTGAATTAACTCTGAAACATTTAAAACTTTCCATCTGCAAAAAGTAATGCTCGTATTGATATGTAAAATAAGAGTAAGTAAGAAGTGCTAGGAAGGATATTACTTCTCATTGATAGTATTTATTGAATTAACTCTGAAACATTTCCATATATGCAGTTTTCACATATTTGCATTTTGAAAATCGATTGAAAAAAAAAAAAAAAAAAAAGAATTTGAATCTCGCAGGTGCACATATTCGCACTGTCAGTGTTTTTGTTTTTGTTATTATAGCGAGGGAAATAAGAATAACACATTTCTTCCTGCCTTTAACACTTCTAATTTATTTTATTTTTGTCACAGTTGTAATTTAATGATTATTGAGAGTATATCCGTTGCTACAATATTTAGTGGAAATTTTTAAATCGTTCTTTCATGTCTGCTAAGAAAAATGTACTAACAATTAATACGACAATATTGTATTCATTATTTTGAGCTGCACTGGAGATGTGTATCTATTGAAATTCTTGCGCTATTGCACATTTTTTGCGCTTTTGTCTTTCAAAACAAGTGAATTGTGATGATATCATGAAAAGAGCTTAGACTGCAGAGTGCTTAAATAAACGCATCAGCATGATTTTCTGGATATTTCGTTCACTAATTGAGTTTGAAATTTTCAATAAGGGAAGGCTTACTCTAGATTCCATTCACTAAAGTGAACCTTCCCACGGCCTACTAACACCGAAAGACTAATCGAAAAAAAAAAAAAAATTTTACTCTGAATTTCATTAAAATGCCTTGAATGAATGAATGAATTTCACTGCCACTTTTTATTTGATTTATTTAATCTCTTAAATTCGAAATAGTTAAGTTAAGTGGTTGCATATTTTGTGCCACATTTGCTTGCCACTACCACTGTTCATTTCCTCTTTTCTTCACTAAATCATTTGATATCTCTCAACTATTCTCCTTTCAGTATTGTTATTTCTGATTTGTCTGCGTTATAATTTCTTATCAGTTTTTTCCATTCCACTTATCTCTCAAATTTCAAAACATTTGGCTAAATGGTTTGCTATTTGTTCCACACTTTCTATTCGTATCAGTTTTCTCCTTCTCACTTATCAATGTTTTTTTGCAAATTGTTTGAATCGTTATATCTAGAAACAGAATTATGATTGCATAAAAAAAGAATTTCACTTGGAGTGTTTTTTTTTTTCTTTTTTTTCCAATTCAATTAATTAACAATGTGTGGAGAAAAATTTTCTGTATTTTGTTCATCTGACTGATGACCTTAATTTTAAATAAATGTGAAGGTCATATTGCATTACATTCTTGTTGAACTAAGTGAAATATTTGGAAGATACATTTTGTAGGATGGTAGATAAATGATGGAATAGATATCAAAGGTCTTATTGAAACTATGTAAACATGTAAGGAGCAGTAAAATTGTTGCTGAATTTTAAATATTTGTGTTTGTTTAGTTCCAAAGAAGTAATATCAGCTGTAATGCGTACACATTGTTTTGCTACACCTACATATGCGAAATTTTAAATTTTGATTAGAATTGATAAGATCAATAGCTTCATACTGAGACGACGATAAAGGTATCTGATGCTGATTAAGTATGACAGAATTAATTATTATCTCTCAATAATTTAAGCACTAAAAAATATTTGATTAATATTCAGTCATGCTGTTTTGTTTTGAAAGTTACTAGTACTTAGCAAATGCTTCATGAAGGTTGATTAACACTTTCGTCAAAGATATATATTTTTTCTTAATAGCGGCGCTGTAGAAGTGATGAATTGTTCTTAAGATTTATTCTAATAGATTTAAGGTTTTCAAAGCAAAAATTTTAATGCTTTAAAATTAATTTTTGCTTTGAAATTTCTTTTTTGGCATTTTTTTTTTCAGGGTTTCTTGAAGAAATAAAGGAGAATTAAAAGGAGCTTATCAGGTCCGTGTAAAAAATTCTATACAATATATATAAAATAATTTTTTTATTGAAATGTCAAAAATTTTTTTTCATTGAAATATACCTTAATGAAGCAAAATTAATGAGTTTAACGAGGTGAAATTTTTGCAAATATGAATCTCTGCCAATACCGGTTTATATATTTGAATCTCAACAGACTAACTTCTAATATGGTATTCATTAATCTCTCAACTTGTATTTCCAGTTACATCTAATTTTATCAAGTATGCATTTTAATTTATTATGAGAGAGTTTTAGTTGGGCAAGGCATTAATTTTAAATGTATTTTGAAATTTATCATAAAGCATTGTTGCGTGCAAATTCTGCGCCGCTTTAGTGAATTGTATTCTCGAAAAGCAGTTGTAATTAATGTTTTCTGCCCTATTTTATTTCAACATTAATTGACATTAGTTGTCCGAAAAGTTTGAATTTTGCATTTTTCATCAGTTATTTCAATATGCTTTACTTTTTGAACTTTTCAAAAATTAGTGTATTCTATCCTATTTTTTACTTCTAAATTAATTGATAATAGTTGAACTTTTCGAAAATAGTAATCCATCAACGATTTTATCAATGTTCATTAAAGAAAACTTTTGCGCGCACAAATGCACAGTTCATAGTGTAATTTTTTAATATTTTTGAGGTTGATTTAAACTACTGCTTTTTATTTAGATTTTCTAAATGAGATTAAAATTGCTGAAATTTGTAAATAAATAGCAATTGATATGATAATTGAAGGAGTTTTGATTTGTTTAACAGTACAAAATATGATTATTTTTCCCAATTTATTACACCAATGTAGCACTGTGATAAGTTGTTTGAAGAGATTTTATTAGTGGTAAAGTTCGACATCTTAATTCGGCTCCTAGTTTTTTGATTGATCGTTGACATTACTTCCTTGACTTATACCATTGAATGAAAGAAAATTCTTTACAACACGTTTTGTGAACACGTGAAAGACTTCCTGTATAAAATGAAATTAATAAATTTTTCAATTTGTAAGAGAAATTAATTTTACTGATGTTCGTTTTTTCTTTTTTTTTTTTATTATATCGCACATTTCATTGTTCGATTGATGTCTTTTTTTTTTTTTTTTTGGCAATTACAAATGGGTTATATTGGGCAATTGAGCGGAAATGATGACATTTCTTGAACTATGTGAATGTTGAAATTGTTTGTTTGTAATTGAGGAAATTTTTGATCCATCTCTGAGGGAAATGACAGAATATGTTGGAAGTTTGTTTTAAAAATTTCTTTTTTTTTACCAACATTTATCAGTTGTGTAAAATAATTTTGGGGTAGTTTTTACCTGTTAAAAGTTGCTCACATTAAAATAACATTACATTGGTAATTTGTTGTATTGAAGAAGAGCATTTTTTTTAAGAACTAGAAACCAATTGATTTTTATGACAGGTGGTATATTGGAATAATCAATTCTATGAAAATTGGTATTAACATTTTTTATTTTGGTTTTTTTTTTTATTTCTATAAAGAATATGCGGTAGGTTCCCGATAATGACAATTTGTCTTTTCAACAATAATAGCAGCAATGATTTGGCTAAAATAATTGATGGGTACTGATAAGAAAGTATGTTTTTTTTTTTGATAATAATAGTGATAATAAATATGTTAAAAGAGTATAATTTTTGCACTATTCACAAAAAGTTTTAATTTTATATTGGGTCTTTATTGATAAAAAAAAAAAAAAGCATAAGAGTTAATGCGATAATATTTCCAATCATTTCTCTATGACTAGTGTTAGACTGGAATTTTTTGGCTTATGAAATTTTTTTTTTTTCTTTGAAATCAAACAATTGTTTGGGAAATTTTTTTTTTTTATATCAAAGTAGTTGAAATAACAACTTGAAATAATGACGTGATGCTAATGTTAGACTGAGGAATGCATAGACAGACTCTCGAGAAGGAGATTAGAAGTTTTGCAATTGGCAAAGAATGAAGATATGGATTCATTGGAACAGGCTTGTTGTGAGTTGTGAGGCAATATGAAAAGAAATGAAATGCCTGAAAGGATGAATGGTTGGTTGGTTGGATAGATAGAGAGTTATTATTGATAGTGGTATTACTAGTGATGTTGCACATTGAATTGATTTTTTTATTTATTTATTTTTTTTCCATTCTTAGTAATTTCTCTTTTGCCAACTCTTAATATTACGTACTATTCAAATTAATGTTGTTGTTGTTATTGTTTACTTGGTACATTGATTTATTGCTAAAATGATTTATTGTTCTATTTTCTTTCTGCTATGCATTTCCCCGAAATTCGTTACTCACAAAAGTCTCTTTGCTGTTGATTACAGCAAGTGCAACTCTTAAGTGAAAAGACCAGTTCTATTCCCACACTATAGGTATAGTTCAGGATAGTTGATGATGATGATGATGATGATGATAATGTGTTGTCTATTAATTATTATATTACTGATCATATTATGTGTAATATTATTCTCTTCTATGATAGTGCGCAAAATTCTTTTGAAATACTGTTTATGTTTATTGTTTATATGCCAAACTGTAGTTTTAACGAAATGCTTTAGGGTTGTTTTGTTTTAAAATGCAAATTCATTTTCTGAAGTTAGCATATTATATATATATATATATATATATATATATGCTATTATAGCAAAAAGAGTAATAATAATAATAATAATTAGTATTAATAATATAGGTTTTATTATTTCATTCACTTCATCCTTAGTATACAATTTTTGCCCATCATTGCTATTATTCATTGGTAAATTTGCTAGTTTATATTTTTAGGTATTTAAAAAAACACAAATTTTTTTTACATGAATCATATCAAAATTTTCCTTACTTTCTTTTCCTTTCATGTACACTTCAGCAAGTAAACATTTCTCTTTTTCCATATTTTGTTTCTTTTACTGTCAAACATTAAAATTGATGCTCTTTTCGTATTATTTTTGTTTTTATCTTAAAATTATTTCTGTCAGCAATACCATTGCTGGTGTAGCTTTTTTGCACTGATATTGTTGTGTCGTTGCTGTACCTAACAAATTTTTCATGTTTGAATCATTGTGCCTTCCCACAATTCATTTATTCTTCTCTTATGTACAGAGTGCAAGAAATTATTGCTCAATTGTTAACAGTTTGCGACGTGGTCCTACTTTCTTTCCTACAGTGACATCTATTATTTGCTTACTTGCTAAATTTTTAATACTATAATAACTTCTAAAAAATGTCACCAAGGTTGCTATCAGTTGCCTGCTGTACTACTGGATGTGAAAGGAAGCATCAAACCACCATCGAAAGCGATACGGCTAGAAAGATGCCAGTGAATGAAACAGCTGTGATACCAACATCATTTATAGGCCGTATTAGTGCCCGTACAAGCCTTATTTCAGCCAGAGATTATAAAACAACAGTGCAACTATTGGATGATAACGAAACGATTTGTCAAGAATTCAAGGTCTGTCATCGTTTCTGAAATATTTTAGTGGTAGTGCTTGAATGAGTTCAAATTAACAACAAGTCTGTTTTGATTTTGTGGTGCTTTAAATAATCACAAAAAAAAAAAAAAAAAAAAATTCATTCGAAAGCGACATTATTTTGTTAGTGAATTTCAATTTCTAAGATAAGCGTGACTGATATCACAGCAGAAGTGTAGAAATTTTGAAGCAGTCATGGTGATTTTTAGTTTTATACATATGGAATACGCCCCATTTTAAGATATATTGTCTACAAAGTAAATTGAAAACTTAATATGAAAATAACTGTGAATAAATTTGTAAGAGAGGAAATGGCTTGTATTAATTTAGATGATGTAGAACAAACTGTTTTAAATTGAAATATGCAAATCACTAAACTGCGTTGCTGATTTTTGATCTGTGAAGCTTCCTTTAAATTTAGCAATTTAAGTTAGATAGTAATGTCAGATCAGTTTGCTAAATTATCACGATGATAATGTATGAACTCATAATAGAAAAATATAAGATCTTTTATTTCAGAAAACATCGAACGCCCAAGTTATATTAGACTATATATGCGAATATTTGAATATTGTTGAGAAGGACTACTTTGGTCTGCGATTTCAGGACTTTAGTAGACACAGGGTATGTCAGTTAAATTTAAATTGAGCTATTTTCTCCTTCATTAATTTCTATTTGTACATAACGTAATTTTCGTCAAAAATTTCTTGGACAATTTTCTGTTTAAAAGTTGTGAAATTTTCGAATTTCCACAAATTTCTGTTACCTTTTATCTGCAGCTAATGTTTCTTGCATTATTTCTTTTCAATGACGGAGTAATGTATTTTAGTACTGGATGGATCTCAACAAACCAATATATAAACAAGTACGAGGTGATCCCTTTTGTTTGTTTCACTATTCATTTGTTCATTGGTCAAAGATATGGTAATGAAAAGAATAACGAAATAAATCATAATGAAGTTTAATGCATTTGAAATTTTCATAAAATCTAATCCAAAAATTTTCAAGGTCCTAATGTGGCTTTGCGATTTCGTGTGAGATTCTATCCGTCTGATGTGAGTGTCTTGAAGGAAGAGATAACTCGGTAAGTTATGAAAATCCTTTAACCATACATTATATTTGATTTTTTACAGACTTATCGTTATTTGGGTTTCTTCTTGCGATTTAAACACATGAATAATTTATTTTGTTCACCATATTGCATGACTTTACAAAGAGAAAAAAAATATTTCTCAAATTATTTTATTTATCATTATCTAACTTTCCAAATAATTATTAATCAAGTATTACTTCATTTTCTTATATCTTAATTTAGTACATATATTTAAATATTAATGTAATATTCAAATGCATTCTTCAGTTGCCTCAATTTCAACTCTATTTTTAGCGTTCTTCCTGTGATAAGAGTACTGGAAGAATCTGCCTAAGATGAATTTAAATTAATTTTGTATGCTTCTTCTAATAACAAATACTTTCTCTAAAGGTATATGTTATTTGTGCAGCTACAAAGAGATCTCCTTCATGGACGTTTGTACTGTTCTCAGAATGAAGCAGCTGTATTGAGTGCGCTGGCTCTGCAATGTTTGTTTTTTTTCCTCTAATTTAAAATCTAGTGTATTATTTCAAGAAAGATATGATTTCTGTTCTTCTCTTCTGGTCAATTTCAACTTTCTCAACTTTTAGCCATAATCGGTGATTATGATGCAGAAGAGAGACCAAAAAATTATGTAGCTGAATACAAGTTACTTTTAAAACAAACCGAAAAACTTGAGGAAAAGATCGCGGAATCTCATAAATTATTCAAGTTAGTTTTTCCTGTTACATTATGCATGCATTTTGGGTTGCTCCCTCTTGTTGATAGTTTAAGCTTTTAAATCTGAATTAAGACAGAAAATTCTAATTTGTTAAATTTAATTTTACATAGTAAATTACATTTATTGCCTTTTTTTTTTAATAACTTTTGATCAATTTTCTTATACAGAGGACTCACTCCGGCAGAAGCGGAAATGGAATTTTTGAAACGAGCATCCAAATTAGACACTTACGGATTTGATCCATATACTGTCACGGTAAATGATTCATTGAAGTTATCGTTACTTCTTTAATTGTTGGATCTAAGTTTTAGTTTCTGAGTTTTTTAATTTCTCTTCGTATGTAAATAATTGCTGAAACATTAGCTGTTTTTTAGAGTAAGCAAAAACAGACAATGTATATCGGTGTTACACATCGTGGTATCTACATTTACCATATCAGTCGAATGATCCATCACATCACATGGTTTGTTTTATCTCGATAATTAGACTAGTCTCTTCTTACGATTACATGATTATGAAAACATGAATTACACGGTTATAGGAAAAATATAGGAATGGAATTGAACTAATTGCTAATTTTCATTCAAGTATACTTTTGATTTAATTTAGTTATTAAAATTAAAAATTATTAAAATTTATTTAATATTTTGCTGATGTTTTCGAAAAAGACTTGAACAAAAACGTTTATTGAACTGTCATTTCATATATATATATATATATATATGTAGAGTTTAAGTTTTTTTTACATATTTTATCCAGCTGCATTTAGCAATAGAAAAGTCTGAATAATTATGTATTATTGATTCATTTCTAGGAATGAACTGGAAAAAGTGGATTATGTTGGAAAAGAAATTATTATAACACCGGTGTCATCTTACGTATCGCCTTACTTATCGTCCTCTGAGGATGATGAAGTACGTTTTGTAGAAGTTTTCCTAAATAGATGAATGCTTTATCTCAACAAATTGTTTCAGTTCGAATCAATTTCTAGAAAATAAAAAATAAATTTACAAAAAAAAGAATCTATAAAGAGTAAACAAAAATGAAGATAAATATCTCTCAAATTTTAATAACGCTATATTGCTTAACGATTCAGTTCACTCTTTTTAGCATACAACGGATACATTGAAATCCACTTCCAGTATAAGAAATGTACGTGTTAGTTTGAAATCTTTATTCTATCTGTAGTTGAATGTATTTCATAATTTGATAGAATATGGAAGTAACTCTACAATATGTGGATTTAATTTTTAAAGTTTGATTTTTTTTTCATTTTATTGCTTATAATAATGCTATTACCTTTTTTAATTTTCAGGGATTTATCAAGTTCCATAATAAAACAACAGGTGCTCTGAAATTCCACTGTCCATCAGCCATGTTTGCGAAACATCTTTGGCGTCATATTTTGTCACAGCAAGCTTTTTTTACTGAAAATGACGCCAAGCATATTAAACCAAAATTTTCAAAGTTAGCTTTTAATTTCTCTTCAAATCTTTGGAATTAGTGTAAACTAAATATTTCTTTAACATTAGTGTGAGCCAGATATTTTAGACATTTAATGGTTGATTACGAAAGTGATGGATAAATAAATTGAAATACTGCTTATAGACCGCGTATACCCTTGTTGACTCGTGGTTCAACATTTCGTTTTCCGACATCAAGAGTCCTTCATGAAATTGAAGTAGAAGGACATAGCAAACGCGATGGTCCTCAACCAAGATTTACCAGATATCCATTGCTTCGCCAGTCACCGCGACAACCTGTTTGCAATACCAGTAATAACTACAACTCACTATCAGTTGTTCATAACGGTGAGAAAGTCTCTGAAGGTAAATGGTTGATATTTTTGTGGTTATATTCCATGAATAAAATTGATCGGAAGAGATAATCATTATCTCTTAACAATGCATCTTTAGTGATTATACTTGTTTTGTTAATATTCATATGAATTTTGTGTCATTCAGTAACAATATCATGATTTTTTTCTAACAGCTGTATCATAGGTTTTTTTTTTTTAACTTCTTTTCTTTAAATCTTGTTGGTTTAAATGAGGACACGAAATGCATCTTCGCATAAGTTTTACAGAAAACAAAAATATGAGATTTTTGGGAGTGATTTTATATTTAGAGTTTTCCAGTGATACTTGAAAATGTGGAGGAAGAAAATGCAATAAAAATAGCTTCAAACAATGATGGGATGACTGAAGTGGATTTATTGCCGATCGCCGAAACTTCAACCACTATCGCTTCCTCTAGTTCCGAAAATACGGTAGGTCAAGTCCCGAGACTGTCGCTTCCGAAAATGCTATTAATTTGGTAGTATATGTTATTCACCTTCATTCCAGTTTTATATTCATATTAGAAATGTGTGTTCTCACTATTTCATCTATAATTTACCATTAAAATTTTCTTTAAATTTTTTTGATTTTTGCTTCTTTAAAACTAACAGTGTATTTTTTTTCTTCTTAATTCCAGTAGACAGTGCTATGAATTTCAATTCTTTTTTCATGAATTTCATGTGAGAATTAGTTGGAAAAGGAGAAATCTTTCCAGTGTAATTGATGACTTTTTTTAATGTGAATGATAGAGTAAGGGATTTAAAGTTATGAAATTTTATGGAAGATTAAACGAGGACTATTAATTTCAGCATTTTCATTTGAAGAAATACTGATGTATAGCGTTTTATTGTGATAGCATAGAAAAGTATCAGTGAAATTAGTTAATAAAAATTATATATCATTTTTTGCTTTCAATGTTTCAATTATTGCTATGTGATTTCAATTGATCAACTTGTGCTAATGTGGATGAATGTAAAAGTTATTAACAATTAATTAATTATATGTGGAATTTGGGTTACAAAAAAATTCATTTGGGAGCTTCCCGTATAGGGCTTGAATTTTGTTTGTTCCATTTCAGACAACATTTACTATACATCTTGTGCGGAAAGAACCATTATCTTCAGAGACGGTATGATAAAATCAATCATGTGACATTTGTTCCTTTTTTCTTTTAATAGCCTAATTAATGCTTTCTTTTGTTTTGATAGACTGCTTTATGCATTAACTATCAACTTTGTGTTTTATTGTGATATAACTTGTTTTTGTGTTGACAGTTGGACTAATCGCTTTTGATAATATGTTGTAGTAATGTTTGTGCAGGTGTGTCTGTGTCTGTGTGTGTGTGTGTGTTTCTGTACTAAAGTTATTATATGAAAGTTTAGGAACGTTTTGAGATGGAATCAGAAGAGGCCTATAAATTTTTGAGAGGATATATTGGGACAAAAAAAAAAAAGATTTGAAAGAATACTGAAATTCTTTGTTTTATCTTTGTAAAAAAAAAAAAAATTGTCTTAAATTTTTTCATAAATCTTGAAAAAAAAAAAGAGATAGTTGTTTGAAGTTTTCAAAAATTAATAGGCAAATTATTAATGCATGGTCTGTTGTTGTTTTTAGTTCTTTTTTTCTTTTTTCCCTTGGACTACATGTTAATATAAATTCAATAATTTTTATTATTAATCGCTTTGTGCTGAGAGCACCAAAACATTATTGTTAAATGGAAATTGTTGGTTATTTAAAATAAGTTACTTTACTTCTCGTAGCAAAATAGTTTCCAAAAAAACAAGAAAAAAAAAATCATCGCAAATTTCTGGATAAAAAAAAAAATATCATTAAAATTTTTTATTCTTATAAAGATAAAAAATGATTGGGAAATATTTTGAGTAGTTTTTTCTTTATTTCACTTTGGTATTGTCATGCTTGATAAAAAAAAAAAAAATCACAATAACGATGAATTTTATAGTGATACACAAATGCTTAAGCAGCCATCAGTGATTTTTTTTTTTTTTTTTGTTAATGAAAATTATTGTATTTGAATTTTATGGTATAATTGCAGTTTGGTACTTCTCATTCTGGAATGCAGTCGCCAGTTAACGATTCTTTTGAACAGATGTTAAATGCGGTAAAGCCATTACACATTAGCACACCTACTGGAAATTCTGGTCCTGATAACATAACGACAACGATGACGAAAACAAATAATGTTGAATGTGATATTAATAGATATGAAAGTGTTGAAAAATCATTAGAATATGATCATAATAACTATGCTACAACCTCTCAACATTTAATAAATAATGAGAAATTAGGAGTTATTACAAGACGACATCCTAACAATTCGATTACTGTATCTGCTGCTAAAATATTCTTCTCATTACTGCTATTTTGGCTTCTATTAATTGCTGTTGCTATCTCACTATTTGAGGTATGTTGTTGTTTTACTACAAACTTTACTAATTTTCAAATACATTACTTGTGAAGAATGGAAGCCATAATTATAGAATTGATTAGGTGGTATAAGTTCATCATTAATGTGATAAATTGATCATTAAAGTAGTTCTGAATTTATTTGATTTGTCCACTTATCAAATTTCAGACATTCTTTAGCTCTTTTTTTTTCTTTATTATTATTGAATAGATAGCATAGTGAAATATTTTTCCTTCTTTTCTTTTCATAAACTTTATTCCGATTTTGTAATGAAGTCTGTCTTTTTTTTTTAGCACGATTCACCATGGTTAAATTCTATACCAGCTTTGGATTCAGTGAGGCACATATTCTATGAACCACTGCGACACTACATTTTAGCTTTGTATGTTCGCTTAGGACGCCACTGAATATTTGGAGATTTTTTTTTTCATGTTAATTATCGAATTTAATGTTTTTTTTTTCAATCATCCTTCATTATTTAGCTCATTTTTTCTTTTAAGATGAGAGAAATATTTAAATCGCAAATTAGTTAAGTAAGCTTTTGATTTTATAACGAAATTTATTGATATTTATTTAGGCAAAACGTTGTTTTGTTTGTCTTTTATGGTGATAAAGATGGGATTTCTCATTTATTTGCAAAATTTGCATATTTTTGCTTTGACTATTTCCTGAAATATTCTTGCTGAGCCTTTCTGTCTCACTGCTACAGTTTTCATCGTTAATTAGAACAGTTTTTTTTGTTTACTGTCAATTTGTTGGGTTAGTTTTTTAACAGTTTAACTTTCTACAAGCCTAGGCACATTTTTTAAGTTCACCTCTCACTTAACTATGATAAACTTTTGATGTTAATCTTCTGAGTCCGTCTTCTGGTGCAAAATGATTGCACTGCAATATTAAAATGTTTAATGTCCTTACCGCATAAGTTCATTTTCTTTTAGTCGTAATTGATATTGGGAGTTTAAGGATTTATTTCATTGCAGTTAAGACTTTTCCATTTTTTTTTTTCAAATCTTTATTGAAAACTGTAATCCGTGCAATTGCTCCTGATTGTGCTTATTTCGGTTGCAACAACCTTAATATGAATTATAAATAAATGATTTATTGTATGCACAAACATTTGATAATTTATGAAAAATTTTCTTTTTTCAAATTTTCTTTTTTGTTTTATTATTTTCATGAAAGCCTCGAAAACCGTTTTTTGTTTTTTATTAGTCATAAGACTGCCTGAATTAAAATTAATATTAAAACTTAAATTTAAGACTTAGAAGATATCAGACGAAGAATTAATTATTCTCTGATCAATAGTAGATTGCTACAAAACGAGATTTGAAATTTTTTGTATTGGTAATGGTGAGATAAGTTAAAGCCAATTAAGCTCAAAATGCTCAATTAGGCTCAAAATATAAAAATAAAGTAAGTGAGGAATGATTTACCCTTTGAAATTTACCATAAATCTAATACCAAATGCAAGTTATTTGCCTATCTGTTTGATATATTAGCCATTGTTTTTTTCCAAGCGTTGAAAGTATAACTTTTTACTGTGTTAAATTCAAAAAATAAATTATCAATGCTTCAAATATGCATTTCGAGCATAATTTAACAAAAATGAAAGTACAAATCTGATTGTTATTTAAAGTATGAAAATTTTAGCACTGCTAGGAATGTTACTGCTAATTAAAAAGTAAAGTAAAATTTTAAACAATAATATTTCTTTCTAGAATACATATCAAATTATACTTGAATGATTACTCATATATATATATTAAAAAAAAAAAAAACAATTTTAGGTAAAATAATTGTTTACGTTAACAAAATCTTTATTTCCTATTTTTTTTTTTTTTGTCTGAATTTATCAAATTACATTTTAAAAAAATCTTTTTTTCTTATTTTTCTTGCACAATACTAAATTTTGCTTTTTGTTTTTTGTTTTTTTTTTCAAATAATTAAGATAGGAATGAAATAATATTAGGAAGTAATCAATTTGTTCTGACAAATCAAATATTATTGATGATATTAATGGGATGGCAGGGAATATATTGTCGTGTGAAGTATAGAAGTTGTCACATAAATATGACATAATAGAGGAGGAAGGTCTTTTTCTAATCACCATGACAACATATTCATTTTTTTTCTTCATATAAATTAGAAACGAGGCATCATTTTACTGCTATGATATCAATATATCTAAAAATTTAATTTATTATTTTTGATTTTTTTCATTTTGATTTGTTAAAAGTTTAATATTACTATTTCTTACATATTTTAGTTACAAATTTTGTTAGTATTTTTTTTCCTTTTAAATTTGTTAATTTTGATAGTACTAATGTTATGAACAGTATATTCATATATATATAATAAAAAATAATTTCAAAATGCTAATACTGCTAATTTAAAATTTACTTTTGCATAAGATAAAGTTTAATTAATGCGTAGCCACAATTATATTTTAATTCATTTTTTATTTCAGTCCAATTTACAAGTCAAATTTAATAAATTACAATGATTATTTATTTATGGCATATATTAATATTATCTGAATTACGATATTTGCATAATTTGTTTATCATTTTCTAGCGTCAATTTTGCGCTAATTTCTAAATGATCTCAATGCGGTAAAAAAAAAAAAAAAAAAAAAAAAACAAAAAAACAAAAAATAAAAAATGGAATCACAACGGCGACGACATAATGGTTTTACTTGGCCACCGTCATTTTTACAATTATTTTTTTGGGTAACAATACCCATAATAGCTTCCAGTACTGCATTTTTGCTCATACCTTTGCATGTATTATACGCGCCTATTGCTGTTTTTATTGGGACAATATGGCTTATACTACAAATTATTATATTAACATACATCGATCCAGCAGTAAGCAATTTGCAAAAAAATCAAGCACCAGCATATTTTGATGCTAGCAAACATGAGCATGTTATCGAGAATCTCTTCTGCAATATTTGTTTAATTAATGTGTTAGTAAATTTATATTTACTCTTTAAAATTAATGTTCACTTTTTTATTTTTTAGATAGATAGATAGATAGATATTATAGGTTATAATTTTATTTTATAAATGAATTATAATATATCTGTTAAAATATTCCACTTACTAGCATATTATCTACATGCTATGATAAAATAGGGCGCAATAAGATGTTGCATAATTAAGCGCAATTGTATATATGTGCTTAATTTACCTAATAATCTACTATTAAGTAAATAAGAATGAAATATTATTTGTTCTTTTTTTTTTTTTTTTGCATTCATAAATTTATAATTGAAAAATGAATTTTAGAGATTCCACTTGTAAGCATTGTCGTCAATGTAACAAATGTATATCTGGATTTGATCATCATTGCAAATGGCTTAATAATTGCATTGGTGCGGTAAATTATAGGTTAGTTTCCGCAAAAAAAAAAAAATTTGTTTTTGTTCATTTCTTAAGAATAATTTTTATTTTTCATTTTCTTTTTTTTTTTTGTATGAAGCAAAGAGGAAGAGAATGTAAAATAAGAGTTTTTATCAATTTTTTTTTTTTTTTTTTTATTGGTATTTTTTTAACTCTTCTTGCAAATGTCTTTTTATTTATGATTTGTTTGAGTTAAAAATTCCTCTTTTTTTTTTTGAATTTAATGAAAAAAAACATTAAGAATGATTGTTGAATTTATTTTCTAAAATTTATTCGCTAAATTTTCTCATTTTATTGTTAGCAAAATGAAATATTTCGTAAATTTGTATTAGCATTTTTAGATTATTTTTATTGTTAGTGTTATCAGTATGTTTTATATCAGCTCTCATATCAACATGTCTGCTTATCCTTATAGTGATATCATTTATCAGTATTGGATTACTTCCACATGCAGGTAATTTTATTTAATCAGGAATTTATTGTTTTCCTAATGAAATCTGAGTGTTTTGGGTATATTAAATAATAGGTAGGTATATTAAATGATATGTAAGTATATTAAATGATATGTGGGTATATTAAGTGATGTGTGGGTATATTAAATAATATGTGGGTATATTAAGTAATAGGTAGTTATATTAAATGATATGTGGATATATTAAATGATGTGCGGGTATGTTAAATAATGTGCGGGTATGTTAAATAAATAATATACCTACCTAAGGTAGGTATATTAAATGATATGTGGGTTTATTGTAATAAAAGTGAAAGAATTAGTAAGTTAAAAAGTTGAAACTGCAATATTTATAATATTTGATGTAAAAAAAAAAAAAAAAAAAAAAAAAAAAAAAAAAAAAGAAAAAAGTAAAATAAAAAAAAATTTTTTTTTTTTTTTACATTTCAGATAAATTACCAATAAAATTATTATTATGGCAAAGTCTATGCTTTGCTGCTAGTATTTTATATTCTACGGTTGCTATTATGTGCGCACATTTACTCTATTTTCATTACAAATTATGTTAGTCATTTAAGGATTAATTATTTTACTAAATAATATTACTAAATATAATTATTTTATTCCAAAAAAACAAAATCAAAAAAAAAAAAGTATATCTTTTAGAAAGAATATAATTTTTTAAGAATATATATATATATATTTGTTTTTTAAAAAAAGGTAGATAATTGAAATGATAATTATAAAGAACAATTTATTCTTTTTTTTTAAATTGTTTTATAATAAAATTTATTTATTTATTTGTAGGGCGACGTGGCATGACAACATATCATTTCATACGAATTAATAGAAGATGCATGGTATGTTTATTTTCAATTAAAATAACAATAATCAATTGATCATTATAATATAATTCAACATGAAAAGTTTTTTTTTTTTTTTTGATTTGTTTGTTTGTTTTTTTTTTTGTTGTTATTTATCATTGTTTTTACTTTTACTTGTTTACATGAAGAAGTGAAAAAATTGCAAAATAAAATTTAACTTTGATACTTGTTTTTTCTTTTTTTTCACTTTTCCATACAATAAACAAAAGATAAACAATAGAGAATAAATATTGATTTCATATAATATAAATAAATAAATAAATAAATATGATTTTTTGTTTTTTTATATAATATAAATAAATAAATATAATTTCTTGTTTTTTTTTATAATATAAGTAAATAAATATGATTTTTTTGTTTTTTTTTTTCTCTTTTCTTTTTTGTGCTACACAACAATATATATAATTATTAAAACAAAATTTGATATTTTATCTATAAATAATATTTTGTTTGATATTTTATAAATGATATTTTATACAATTGTTATTTTATTTTGCATCTATAAAAAATTATTTTTTTTTTTTTTTTTTGAAAAATAAGTTCAAGAAGAGATAAAAACTTTTCACTAATTTAATTTTTGCATAATTAATTTACATTTTTATTTAGAATAATCAGCAACAGCAACAGCAACAACAACAACAAGAGAAGAATCTATCATTAAATGTTAATACAATACCTGGTTTAATTCCACTCGAGAAAACCTGTTCCAAATTAGGTGTTATTAAATCAAGAGCTATTCATGATTCGAACATTGATAATCCATATGTCTCTTTTACATTTCAAGAAAATTTCACTAATAATGAACTCAAATAATTTAGAATTTAGAATTAATACTCATTTCATTTTATTTATCCTTTATGATTGTCCTTTATAATAAATACTTGAATAAAATGAAAGAAAGCAAAAAGAGGAAAAAAAAATTCACAAATGAATTTCAATTTTATTATTTCCGAAATGAAACAATTGAATAAAATTTCTTGTTGAATTGTGATTAGTTCCTGAGCATTTTTAAATTTTAATATAGTGCTTTTTTTAATTTTATAATTTTAATATATGACATTTAAAATTTTTTTTTTAATATTTATTTATTTTTTTAAATGATTTTTAAGTTTATACTTTATCCATGTCAACTTTATCACATTTTTTTTTTCTTCATTATAGATTTGATAAGCTGAGCTTAACAACAATTTGTTTCTTTCATGAAATAAATATTATCTGTCTTTTCACATATTTCAAACAAATCTCACAACTAATAGATTGCCTTGCATTTGTAATAGATTGTAATAATTTCAAATGATTCTTTAAAAAATTTCATTCTTTATTACTTCTCTTCAACTATGCATATATTATCACGACAAATGCGCCAATGATAACAAAAAATGTTTGTATAGAAGTGGTCAACAAGTATCGCTTTAAAGTTATTTCACTTTTAACTTAATTTTAGACGATTGATTTTTCATCTTAAATACAAATCGTTATGATGTCTTCGGTGAAACGAACATTTTTGAGTGAGTGAAATGCAAATGTGAAATTTACAGGGCATTAAATGATGGCGGTGAATGTACAATGTGACAAAGACTGATTGATAGATGTTCTCAAATAGCAGCAAACTAAAAAATATTTGTTGTCGCTAAAACTTTTAAATAAAAAAAGAAAAAGCATGAAAGTTATAAAATGAGTGTCACAATTACCCTGGTGACACTCATTCCCTCTCTGATGGACAATTATTGGCACAGATTTGATCTTTGTTCTCTTGAGACTTCTGGAGAGGACAAGGAAGTGATATAATGATAAGCTGATGGCTTTTTAAATAATATGGTAGTGATGCAAAGTGCAGATCGTGCATGCAGTATGGAGATCGATAATGGTGTGCTTAAAGAAATTGCAGGAAAAAATTTTGAAAAAAAAAAAATGAAATAGCAAAGACAGAAGAATTTTTCTTATCATTGATTTCTTCTTATCACTGATATCAGTTGCTGAACATTCATGTTTGCTGATTGATTAATAAATGAATTAAATAATTTACTGGGAGCTAATTCTATATGAAAATGGTTTTCATTGAAATATTATCTGATACAGTTTGACGGGTAATTTCAACTAATAAAATTTCGTATGCAAATAAAAGTTCTAATTTCAACAATTATAATTATTTTGGTTTATTATACAAATATTATTGATTCATTAGAAATGTTAAATTAATTTATGTCATTTCAATCCAATGACCTAATTTGCTTACATTTATTCAGTGATAAGATTAAAAAAAAATATTTTTCATTATAATATGCTTATTTTGTTTTTATTTAATTTAAATCTGTTAGTAATTTTATTGATAACTTCGTCCAAATTTATAAACTCTTAAAAATTTTTTTGTTCCTTTCATTACTTTAATAACTTACGATTGTGCATATTATACAATTTTTATTTCTTTTAAATAATTAAAAGTTTGAAAAAAATGATTAAAAATTCAATAATTCAGTATTTTTTCCATCTTATAAGTGTGTTTGTAGTAATATTATTTCCGTATAGAAGAAAAGAAAAACAAATTGTCACATTATTTGTCAACTGATTATATAAGAGTTAAAATAATTTACAGTTCGAATAGTTCATGCAACTTTTAAGAGAATTAAAAAAGAAAAAAAAAAAACTTATGCTTTGATAATTTACTCTAATATATATATTATTGCATATCTTACCACATTTTTATTGATTGTTTTATGATATCTAATAAATTCTTTGAAATTCGAAAATGTAAGAATTCAAATATTTCAAATAATTACCAATTGGTTACATTGACGAAATGTTATATTATCGAAGGATAACAAAGAAAAATGGAAGAGTGAATGAGGGAAAATGGACCATCTCCGTTCAAAGTGACCATGACGTTTGAACTGACCATCTCCGTTCAAAGTGACCATGACGTTTGAACTGACCATCTCCGTTCAAAGTGACCATCCCGTTCAAACTAACCATCCTCGTTTAACTAAACCTCCATTCAAACTGACCATCCTCGTTCAAACTGACCATTCTCGTTTAAACTGATTATCTGTGTCCAAGCTAATAATCTCTGCCAGTATTAATGATCAGCAGTAAAATTCCAAATAATTAAAAACATTTTTTATTTTATCAAAATGAGCTGGCATAATTGATTTCAACATTTTTTGATGTATGTATGAAATGCTGATCGTTTTTGCTAAGATCACTCATTTAAGCATAAATTTAATTTTTATAAATTGATCTGACACTTTTTAAAGTTGATCTTTTTTTTTTGCTCTTTTGCTCTTTTTTTTAAAAAAAAAAAAAAAATTGATATAGACATTTCATGTAAAATAATAATAATAGAATACTTTCTGTTGTAGCTAAAAGTTTCTAATGTAAAATATGTTTAAATAATCAAAATATTTTATTTTTAAAATATTTCTCAGTGAAATCATTCATCACAAAAAATTAACATTTCAACGTCTATTGAGATTTTTTTCTTTTAATCAAACTTTTATCTTTATTTCTAACTATCAAACTTATCTTTAATGATTAAAATAACACAGATTAATTTATAATGTAAATGCTATCAGTCTGATAATTTAACTTATATTCAGTAGTTAAACTATTATAAACCAACTTTTCATTCAAATTTAAAACTTTTAAAACAGCCTTCTCTCCCTCTCTCTCTTTCTCTCTCTCTCTCCCTTATTTTATTTTCGTTTTATAAAAATGCTAGAACTCTCATTCATATAATCTTTATCATCTTTATTTGCAATTATTTAAATTTTAAAATAAGCAAAAGTTTACTTCCTTGGATATTTATGAGAAATATTTTTGATTACACAATTGTTATCATAATTTAACTTTCTTTTCCTACTCTCTTATTTTGAACTTTTTTTTTTTAGTGAAATTTATAAAGTAATTTTATAAATAAATGGTTCACATTTACAAGTAAATTTGAAATGAAATAAAAATAAGACGGAAGTTTGGTCATTTATATTTTGAATATTATCAGTTTATTATGCAAAAGAGTGATAATTTTATTGCACACATTATCATTTAATATTTTTGTGATTAATTATTCATTATGCATATTTGTGACCTATGACCCAAAAATATCTTAAATATCTTTGTCAGAATTTTTTTTTCGGTTAAAAATGATTATATATTCGATAATTTCGAGAAGAATTTTGATAAGAATGCCAACACTTAATGAAGTATTCAGTTTGGACAACTTTTTTAATTTTTAATTTCTGTAATATTTACATGGTTATTATCATTGTTTACTGGTTGTTATCAGATTTGTTTTTTATTATTACTGGTTGTTATCAGATTTGTTTATCATTATTACTGGTTTTTATCAGATTTGTTTATTATTATTACTGTTTATCAGATTTAATAAATAATCCTTCATTGAACATTCAATTTAATAATATCATTTGCAAACTGTGCTAAAAAGAATTTTTCCAGAAGTTTTCCCAAAGTTTAAAAAAGTATTTTTCTAATAATGAAATTATAATAATTCAAAAATAAAATTGCATATTATCTCATACATAGCTAGAACATATACATATCTAATTTGCTTGGCCATATAATTGCGACATTTTTCAAATGTTTATTCGTTCTTCAAATTCGTTTCATTCTGATGTCCTATTCAGTTGACATCTTTTTTGATCTCTGAATTAGCAAGGATAAATAGTAAACAAATTAATAAATTCTATCTTAACAGAGCAAAAGAGTAATAAAAAAAAAAAAAAAAAAACTAATCGAACGGATCAATGATCCAATCAATTGCATTTAAATTATCCAAGAAGTAATATTACTATTTGTGATGGCGCTATTTGCTTTTTTCCTTAGTTGATTTATATTTAGAAGTAAAATGAAAAACTAATGAATGTTACCTTAAATATTAAAGATTTAATATTGACTATCAAAATTTAATAGATCTTAAATTTATTATCATAATTTGCTTTATGATTTTAATTAATCAATATTTGAAATTTTGACTTATGTTTTACTATGCTGATTTGCCTTTAAAATTTTTAAAATATAATGACTTTAAAAATATAATGACTAATATGACTTTAAAAATATAAGTTGTAGTGTATAATTCTCTGTTCTTATCATATTTTATCAGTAGTATATTATCAGTAATTCGATGATGATTGATAACTTTCATTTTCAGTTTTTTGAACAAATAGAAAGTTTGTGAAGAATGCGTGAAGTTTTCAATTGCAACTCATTAAATCATTAATGTTAATTACAAGTTATCAAGAAAATGATAAGCTCTTATCACTTTACAAAATTAATTTATTGCTATATAAATGATGTAATTGCCCTATGATTCACATATTGGATTAATTTTTTTTTTTTTTTTTTTTGATTGAAAAATGTTTTTTTGTTGCAAAATAATATATGAAATTTTTACTTATGCAAATTTTTACTTTATTACTTATGCAAATTACAATTGCAATTCAGTAATTAAATAATACACAAACAATTATGTTAAATCAGTTGATTTATCATCAATCTTTGATTTATTTACATTATGCATAAAGTTAAACAAAGGATTACAGTTTTATTTACAGTCGTATTAATACCGGAATAGATCCAATACACATTAATTCATCTTTCCGGCAAAGAAATCAATGAAATCCGAAATAATTTGATAATTGGTTGTTTGTGATTTCTGTGCTACAATGCTTTGACTTTTCGATTTTTTAATTTAATCTGAGAGTACGCTGGAGCGAAGTTAAAATAGTACTTTTTTTTTTGGAAATTACAAATTGTATTGCAGCAGTTCGATGAAACAATCAGTTAATGATAACGAGCCATTGATAATAATTATAATTTGAAATTTGGAAATTAAGTTCATAATCAAATTTGCTTGTGCTTAAATGTATTAATTAGTAATAGTCAAAAAAAAATTATTTGATCAAAAAACAATTTAATACATTTTTTGTAAAAATTTTTTCTCAAATTAAATCGACTACTGTACTTTTTCTTTTTTTTGAGCATTTTTCTGAAAATTTTATGTCAGTCAGTTGATATGATAATTTGGCAATGAAATGTTATTTACATGAATCAATCAGAAGCATCTGATGAATGAATGCAAATGTTTTTGAGTGGTATGAATTTTTAATTCAACTCCCAAACAGCTTTTATGATTCATTTCAAAAACTTTTTTGAACCTAGCTAACAATACAAAAGCAAAATAAAAATCCTAGCCATTCTTATTAGCTATTTCATTTTGATTCTTTTTGCTATTTGAATTTTTATTTCCAGTTAGCAGATCATCTAGCTTCAAAAATCAGTGATGATTATTTCAATGGATATCTTTTCAATAAATTTAATCGTGTAAGTTTTTAGCAAATAATATTTATTTCATCTACAAAAATTCTAATCTAATGTAATTTTAAAGAAAGTAATTCTTTGACTCAAGATCTATGAATATCTGTTTGACCTGAAAATGAGCCAAAAGTTTCATTACAAAAAAAAAAAAGAAAAAAAAACTGAAAATTGAAAACTTTACTGAAAGCTTTATAAATGTTACTTATTATTATTTTTTTTTTTTTTTTGTTAAATTTTTGTCAAAATTTAATTTATCAAATTTTTTTTTCCTTAAATGAATAAAACTTTTTTCTTAAAATTTACTATTTCAGATGGCTAATAGCATTTGGTTCAGCTGCCACTATTCCTGCTTCATTATCTGTTGTAGCAAATGGTGTTACTTGTGTTATTATTGTAAATTTAATTTCATCAAAAATAATTTTCAAATTTTGATTTCAAAAAATTTTCAAAAATAAATAATATATATATTAAATTTCTTATCAGTAACTGAATGATACAAATCATAAAATGAGATATCAAAATCATAAATTGCATATTTTACAAAATAATTTAAACGATGATTTAGCAGAAATGCAATGTGTAATAGTTAAGTTTACCTAGGATAATAAAATTTACGTGGACGGTGTTTATAAAGGTAATGCTACCAAGGAAAATATCGAAGAAGTTAAAATTTACAATGAAAAAATGCGCGAATGGGCAAAAGAACTTCATAATACGATGTATACGGCATGTTTTATATATTTTCATGTGTATTCCTTATAGATTATTACCTGATATATAAGCATACCTGTTCATCGATCGATAAATCTTTCTAAATTTAATATCTAAATTACTTGAAATATAAGCATACCTGTTCATCGATCGATAAATCTTTCTAAATTTAATATCTAAATTACTTGAAATATAAGTATACCTGTTCATCGATCGATAAATCTTTCTAAATTTAATATCTAAATTACCTGAACGTATTTTATATGACTCAATTCTGCAATAAAAACAGAAATAAAGCGAACTTATTTGATTCACTTTTCAACTCTCTTATTATAAGTCATAATTAATCTTTTTTATGAAAGATCAAATTATCACAAAGTTATCAATCATTTCTGATCACTTTTACAGACAATGAAAAAAGCGGTAAAAGAAATGTTCTCTGATCATGGCGCATTTTGGCGACATCTTCATGGACCATTCTGGGAAACACTTAATGCATATAGACCGGATGGTGATTTAATGAATCCAGCAGTGTTACCAATGGATCAACGAGATAATGAACAGAAAAAAAAGATGATACCACGGCTTCCGGATTTAATGCCTTATCCGGAAGCACCTTCGTTCTGTGACTATAATGTGTAAGCAAGCATATTTTGGAATGATTTTACGATATATTTTTAAATTAAATGTTTTATATGCTGATTGTGATCTTTTCAATGATATTTCAAGAATAAAAATCGTAAATGATATGTTTTTCTTTTTTTTTTTTTTTTTTTTCAAATTTTTATTAATTTTAGATTAATTGATAATTTGAACAGAAAAAAAAGTATGAATTTCATTTTAACTTAAATTTGAAACCGTATTCATTATTTTAAATTTTCAATTAATTTTAATATTAGAAAGTAAAAATTACTTCAATTGGCTGGAAAAAAATGGATTATAATAATAGTAAAAATAGAAAGTTATGAAGGAAATAAAATTTTTCATTATTAGATACTTGAAAAGGCGTCATAATGGTAGCCGAAAAGAGAAATTGTCAAGTTAAACTGTAATTTTTTTGCAACAAAAAAAAAAAATATATTTATATAGTAGCTAGAAAAAAAAAAAAGGAAGAACTGTCCTTCGGATGTCACATACATTTTCCATAATTTCTACTTTTTTTTAAATGTCTCTTCATGATTAAAGAAAAAAAAAACTGAATATGAAAGTTTCTTTTTAAAAACTTTCATTAATAATCAGCGCATTTGAGAATGGTTTATTAGTGGAAAAAAGGTTTTTTCATTTACTTCCGGATGATTAACATAATAATATTATTGTTAGATTAATGAAGTAAGTTATTACTTCTAACAATTTATATCAATTAAAAAGAAATTTGTTAAGCGGTAATGTCCATTATATGATCAGCAAATTGTTATTTCTTGTAATTTATAAATGAATTACTACTGGAAATGTAAAAATTTTTACACAAAGCAAATTAAAAAAACAACAAAAAAAAAAAAAAAAAATAAAATTAAAACAAATGACAAAAGTGTAAAAATATTACTAAAGTTTTGTCTTTTTTTTTTTAAATTTCCAATTAGATATAGACGATGAAATTTCATTTCCAATTACTTTAACTTTAATTATACTCTAAATTCTTGCAATCAATATTTTATTGATTGCATTTCAAATATATTACTTTCTCATCTTTATTTTCTACCACAATAATACATTTATATGAATTTGTAACAGTAATCAAATTTTCTCACACCGAAATACTTCCACATCATAAATTTCATTTTACTTTGGAAAAAAAAGAAAAAAAAGGATGATTCAGAATTTATAGAACTTCATTGAGCATTAATTATTGTCACATCTATGCTTATTGACCTTCATAGTAACTTGCATAATGAATTCAATTGAACGGAACTCCTTAAAATGAGTTAAAGTTCTAACAAAATCAAAAATTGAATTAAAATAACTCTGATAGTTTGATCTGATAATTGTTATCAAAATGATCATAAATGACCTTTTCTATACCTTTTCATTCTACACTTTTATTAATATAATGTGATGCTGAAGTTATTATAAGTTAAATTCAAATTATTAATGAACAAAAATTATTGAAAATGAGTTTAATTCATATCAATTAATTTAGTATTTATTAAATTGTTAATGTATTGGTGAATTAACTTTTAACTTTTTTTTCTTTTTCTTCTTCTTCTTCGTCGTCAATCTTTTCTATGTGACACTTTTTTTTTTTTTTTGTTTAGAGTACCGCCCTTACGTCATTTTCATGCTTATAAAAGCGTAATAAGGAAAAGAAAAGTATTTAGAATTTTGTATTTAATTTCGATTAATCATAATTTCACTTTATGAAATATTTTGTTGACTTTTTGTTTTTTTTTTCTTTTTTTTTTAATTATTTCATTACTTTTTTAGATTTAGGCGAAATTTTACAATCAATCAACAATTTCTGCTTCAATAACATTTCGTTGAATATCACTACTGATCTTATGAATATTGCTAACTGTCTAGTTTAATTCCTTTTCTATTGATTTCTGATTTTGGGATTAATTCAAATTACATTTACAATTTCCATTTCTGATTATGATATTTGCTTTTCAAGTAGCTATTACTGTTTGCATATTGCCAAATTTCATTTCTACCACATATTATGATAACAGTATTGTTGGTAAGATATTTACTTTATATTTTATTATTGAAAAAAGAAAAAATAAAATTTATTACTAAAAAAATTTGTTGAAAAATGTTTATTGTTTACAATTGAGTGTTACACTTTCATTATTCGAATTTTAATGCTGAAATTTAAAAATTAGATATTTTTAAAAGTCAAATATTTTCTTTTCTTTTCTTTTTTGATAAACTGAAAAAGAGAAAAGGGTAATTTAGGAGAAGAAAATAAGAAACTATTAAAGATAAAAATGGAATGAAATACTAATATCAGAGGATTATTTTTCAGAAAATTATTTGTATTACTATCACTAATGTTATCAGTTGACAAAGATGATAATTTCACTCAAAAAATATTCTAAAAGAGTTGAAAAGTGTGCTGCGAAATGATTTTGCAGAAATTTTGGATAAAATTTAAAAGTTATAATTGAAGAAATCAATTTAAACAATCAAAAGTTCAAAGTATCAAAGCAGTGAGCAAAAGATAATTAATTAATTCATTGCTATTATCAAATACATTAACAATTGTATTGCGAGAGAGAGAGAAAGTTTAAAATAATCTCAGTAAATAAAATGGTAAATAAAATAGTAAGTAAAAAATAGTAAATAGAAAAAAATAGATAGTAAATAAAATATTTGAAGTCAGTAAATAAAATAATAAGTAGAAAGTAGTAAATAAAAAAAAGTAAATAGTAAATAAAATATTTGAAGTAATTATTTAATTTCATATTATTTGTTGTTATTCAATTATTGTTATCATTATTTTAATGAATTTATCATGAATCCATCAAATTTATTACAGGTGTTCCAAAGGTACAATGCATGGAAGATCGGATGAAATTGACATTCCATACCGCAAAACCATTTACAGGTCGCGTATTTGTGAAAGGTATGGTTGACAAAGATCAGTGTGTCAACTCATTTATTGGTAATAGAAAACTTGAAGTGCAATATGAAATAATTAATGGACAATGTAATATGCGCCGTTCTAGAAAGGTTAGCTTATAGAAAGAATGAATAAATATTAAATAAAATATTTGAAAATAATTTTAATTCTAAAAATTTTTAAAAATTTACAAAATTTTAAATTGAAATCTTATTTGAGCAAATTTTAACTTCTTTAGATACTATCATACCCTGTATTTTCTTTTCTCATTTGATATTGATAAAAAATGTAAAGTGCATTTGATATAATTTTATCAGTTATTTTTGTAATTGTAAACATGTAAATATCTTTAAAATCATACAATAATTTGTCAACAAATTATATTACTAATGATATCTAGAATTGTTTGTAATAGTTATAATATTTTTTACATTTTTTTCTAGCATAATTTAGAATAAAAGAATTTATTTCTTATCATTGAATGATAAATTTATTCAAATTTGATAAGGAAAATTTTTATTGAATTTGTTATTTCTCTATATTTGTTTGCAAATTTCTTAAGCACACATAATTTGAGGTAGTGAATTCCTCGTTTAATTAAGTTTGAATTCCTGAAATTTGATTTCCTCGTTTAGTCTAATTAAGCTTAATTATTCATTGCTACTAGCTACTGCTAATTTTATTCTAATTAATTTAGCAGTTTTAGTGCTTCTTTTAAACTTACATCTTTTTCCTCAGTTCAAAATGGAATTCAAAAACTGAGTTTTTTATCCTACGAACAATTTTCATTAGCTTTCTGTTAAAGTATGCTAATATGCACTCTGATTCAAAATATTTTGCATTCTCTTTTTTTTTTCTCCTATCATTTCGCTTTTTTATTATTTCTCATTTGTTTGTTAATTTTTAAAAATATTTCAAAAAAAAAAAGAATTCACTTTTATTCGAATTTTTTTAGAGAAATTTAAGCATTTTAATGCAAAAAAAGAAAAACTTATTTTACTAAAATTTTGCTTGCAAAATTTTAAAGCAAAAATTATAAAACAAAATGCTAAGGGTCAAAAATACTGCGAATAATCCTGGGAAAATAGATTTACCCACGGGAATAGGAATACTATTTCTATATTATCGTATGATATTGTATTAATGATACTTTTAAAAAATTTGCAGCTTTTAGAGAATTAAAGAATTTAATATAAACATGTAATTTGATAAATAAGTAAATTAGTTAATTAAGCGGGTTTTCAAATATTGAAAAAAAAATGATTTGATAATTTTGAATTTAAGGAATTTGATAAAAAATGATAAATAAAAAAAAATATATATATAATGGTAAAATATAAAATCGATAAAAATATATAATCGATAAAAATATAAAAAAAACTAGTAGTAGTATGTTTTTTTTTTTTAACATTAAATATTTGTTTGCTTTTTTTTCAATTAATATTTAAAGATTTAATTAAAAAATAGATAAATAAAAGATATATAAAAGAGAAAAATGAATATAAACAAAAGAGAAAAAAAATTTTTCAATAATTTTTTTATATGAAACACAGAGTGTGTGTGTGAAATTCTGACCTGAAATTCATTTACTAGGCTTGATTTGAAATGCTGTACCAGAAATTAGCATAACTTACGTGTTAAAAATACGTAAGCATATAAACACGTTTGTCACGTCCGTGTGTATTAGTTGAGAGGGATAACAATTCAATTTTAATGATAAAAAAGCATTCAAAGCAATTTTTTAATTCTAATTTATTTTAAATTTATTAAGTAGAATTCATCTGTTCATTTTCTTATTATACTAGTTAGATAATCGACGGAATCAAAATTATAATAAACTTTATTATAAATTAATTCAATCCTTTATTAATAAAAATTAAATTAATTCAATTCCTTATTAACAAAAAAATTAAATTAATTCAATCCTTTATTAGCAAAAATATTTTTTTTTTTTATAGATTGGTCCTGAATTAAAAGGTATCGAGCAGTCTATCACTATAATTGTTTCATTTCACGATACCTTCACCACAAAAATTGACCGTGCATTCCGATGTACCTGCTTTTACTTGGAAGCTGATCGAGTCGTTACTGTTCAATTTGATGTTAGGTGACAGTTATTCAAATTATCTAATTTGCAAATTTAAAAAATGTTGCTAATTTGCTTAATAGCTTATTGTAAAATTTTCTTATTTGAATTTTTAAAATTTCCTATTCAATATTTTTGCTTTATTCGTTGTCAGCTAACTATGAAAGGAATAAGGCAAAAATAAGTGTTTTATCTCATTAATTAAGAGAATAAATTTATGTACTAAATTTAAGTATGATTCCAACAACGGATTTAATTGATACTGCTCGAATGCCACTTTGTACCTATACTGTTCGACGAGATTCAATAACCGGAAAAACTGTTTCATTTGCAACTATTGGTGATCCTGTTATTCACGTTTGGCAATGCGAAAGCGGTAATGTCCCAATTTGCTTTCTACAAATTGCGCAACAGGATATTATGACAATTAGATGAATATGTCATCAATGCGGCATTTTTGTTTCAGATATGTTTTCCATTCTTGTGCACAGTTGTTTTGTGGATGACGGAAATGGACGTGAAAAAAAGCTACTTATTGATGAACGCGGGTTTGTCACTTTTATTTACATTAAAATTTCGAATTTCTTCCTTATTCGATAGAAAAAAAAAAATTGTCACATATAAGTGACATGCAAGTGTCAATGTCAAATTACTAATCTTGTCATTCTTTAGTTGCGCAATTGAACCAGCAATTATACCTGATTTAACATATAATGAAAATGGAAATATGGCTTTTTCTAAAGTAAATGTTTTTAAATTTGCTGATAAATTGACGACTTATTTTCAATGCGCTGTTTCCACTTGTATGCGCTCAGAAGGAAGATGTAATGAAAGAATTGTTAGTGTTAAAATTTGAATTAAAAATTAATTATTGCTGTACGTGTTTGTTTGTTTTTATCATTTACATATAAAATTTATTTGAAAAATTTAATTTAAAATTTAAATTTTCACTTAAAAAAAAACAAACATAATCAAAATTTAAAACATAAGAATTTGTCCAAAAAAAAACAATGTATTAATTTGTATAAAATTGATTGATCTTTTCAGCCACCATTTTGTGCTAATGATCGAATAGAATATTTGGGATCACGAATAGCACAACGATCAACAAATGCAAATACAACAGAATTAAGTGAAAAAACAACAAAGACAATTTTTAAATATCGAAAATTACGAAGTGTTATGAAGCCAATGAAATCATTTTTGTTGGAAAATCAAACTTTATCAAAGGGATATGATGAGTACACGATGGATTTATCAGCTGATAAAATTGTTGTGCTAGATTTAGATGAAGAAAGACCGAATGCAGAAAATTCTTTATCAACTCAGGTAAAATTTTATTGTAATTAAATTGCAATTGATATAAGATATTTTTATTGTTGTATGTATTAATTTTGCATACAGTAGATGTGGTACGTTTTTTAAATTTTATTTATTTTTTTTTTTTTTTTTTTATAGCCAAAATTATTTAATTGTTAAAGTTTGATTTGTATTTTAGACTTTGATCAGATTATAATGAATTATTCAATTTTTACAAGCATAATAAAAATATAATACTTTTCTACATTTTTCTTTTCTTTTTTTTTAAGCTAGAAAATGAAATGTCAAAAAAGCAGATGCGATTACAAACTGATGGAAAATTTTGTTTGAATTTCTCGACAGCTATACTGTTAAATATAATCATTTGCTTATCATTTGCTGTACTGATCGGTGGATTTATTAGGATGTTATGGATGAGTAAAATGGCTGATAAATTATCACTATGAAATGATAACAGAAATGATCGTTTTGATCACTATGGAATAGATCAATGATTACTTTAATTTTATTTTCAGTTTAGTTAGAATTAATAAAAAAAATAGTGATCAAATTTGATGCTTAATTTTTAAATAACTTACTTAATGTTGTTTTACAATTAACTTCTTCAAATTATTTCTTAATTAAAAAAAAAAAACAGGTTGATCCAGGGGTCATTGCTTTTGGATCTCATTTTACACTGGTCATTTTGTTATCAATATTAATTATGTTTACATAAATTAATTTTTTGTTAGCCTAAAAGATCAAAAAACAAAAAAACAAAAAATAAAAACAAAAAATTTGCTTCCATTGGGATATATAATCATTGTTTATTCTTTTCTTCCAAAGTTTATAAGATGGAATTTTATAGTTCTAATTGTTGATAAGAATCTTTTGATATTTATATGTTACAGAATAAAAAATTATTACTTATTATTACTTATAATAGTTTTGAACTCAGAATCAATTGAATGTTAATAATGTTTATAAACATAGAAATGTATTGAGAGATTTTTTTTTTTTTTTTCAAAAATAATTCAATTATATAATACATTGCAATATTTTTGTTGTTTAGCTTATTTTCAATGAATAAATACAAAATGCTTAAAATTTTGAAATTTCTTAAAAATACAAAATTTGATTTTTTATTAGAAATGAATTGAAATATATTGTTTTTTAAAAAAATAAAATTCCATTAAATATGTAGAATTTATCCAAATTGTTATATATTTGATATGAATAAATGAAAGTTTGAAAATAAAAGTGAAATTGAAAATGAAAAATTGATTTAAAAGTGATTATATTCTCTCTTATAAATTGATCAGATTTCAGATGCATAAGAATACTTTTCTATTTCTTAATCGAATGCTTTTCAAACTTGATAAATAAACTTATCATCAAATAAAACAAATTAATTTTTTATTTATAAATCAAATTGAACTTATTTTTAACAAATTCTTTCTAACACAAAAAAAAAAAATTTTGATAAATTTCTGTTGGCGATTTTACTATCAATTGTGATAATTGTTAGATAGAAAAATATTTCAAATAATGTATTTGTACTTATCAAGTTTACTGATTATTTTTATATATATATTTTTTTGTACTAATCTAGAAATGATCAAACTGATTAATAGAATTTGATTGTGAGTAGATGAAGGAATTAAAATTAAAATTGTTGATAGAAGAATGATAACTTTATCCAATAACATATCATTTTGTATGAAATGATATCTCAAAACTGCATTGATAAGTATAATCAAGAATTTCAACCTGAGAAAAAAAAGGAATTTTAAACCGGATTTTCTTTTTTCCTCTAATAATATGTGAAATATTTAAATGAAGAATTGATTATGATTATTTCATTGTAATTAATTTTTAAAATTTTCATTTGCTTTTTTCATATTAGTTTTATTTTCTATGAATGATCATAAATTCTCGTTGTTTATCTCTCATCCATCGTTTAATTTCTCATAAAATTAATAGTATTTCAGCTATTTTTATGCAAAATATTTACTCAATTTGTTATTTTTATATTATATTTACACTTTTACATAATAATTTCATAAATGGATTAAACTGATATTTTATCATTGTTATCACTTTTAGCACTGATAAATGAAAGATGCATATGAATCTGATAAATATTGCTTTTATGTTATATCACTTTCTTATACTGAATCCAATACTGTCATCGACGAAGCTTGTGACGATGTCATACGTCGATTACGTAACGCACGTTGTACAGGACATACCAGTTCAATATGTTTGTTTAAATAACTTTTTAATGCAAATAATTTCCTGCAACCAGGACATTCGTACTTTTTGATATCTGAAAGCTTAGATTTGTAAAAGTGAAATATGTTATCAACAATACTATTGATAGGTGATAATAATGATGATAAGATTGATAAAATTACTAAGACAAAGGCATCGCCACATTTTAATATATTTTTAAATGCTAGAATTAGCAAGAAATTTTGAATTTTAAATTTAATTACTTATCAAAATTAAGAAAAAAAGAAATTAAAAATGAATTGTACTATGAGTAAAACAAAATTAAACAAAGTAAATAAAAAGTAAATGTTATGTTTTTGTGTCATAAAAATTATCTATTTTAGCTTAAAAAAAAAAAAAAAGGAAAAAAAAAGATGAAAAATGATTGGTTGGGATGACAATAAGCTATTTAGCTTATAAGTTTGAGTAAAATTATGTAAAAATGAGTGAAATTTAAAGAAAGAAGCAGCTGCTAACTTGTAGCTTACTTAATCCTACTTTAAGTCATACTAAAATTGCATTCATTCATTGCACAACACCTTTAGCAATTTGTCATAATGTCATATTACTTCATAATTCCGTTAGTGTTGACCAAAAAAAAAAGAAAAAAACGAAAGAAAAAATCGAGAATTTTAATTTTAAAAATTTAAAAAAAATTTATGACAATAAAAGAAATCAAAAAAATCAAGAATTTTAATTTTAAAAGTTTGAAAGATTTTAAGATAATAAGGAATTCAAAAAAAAAAAAAAAATTAAAAGATTTCAGATATAGAATAAACAATTCCTTTTTTTCAAAAAAAAAAAAGGCTTACTAGAATGAGTATGCATATGAGCACGAAGATTGCTACGGTCAGCAAAAGCTTTACCGCAATGCGCACAACCGTACGGTTTTTGACCTGTATGAGCACGCATATGACCTTGTAAAAGCCACGGACGTGAAAATGTTTTACCGCATTGCGTGCATTTATGTGCTGCTTTATGTGTTAACATATGCATGCTGCAATTGTTTAATGATAAACAATTTTATTGTCTAAACTTTTAGATTATATAACTATTCATCATTTACAAAAAAAAAAAAAAGTCTCTCAAAAAATTTACCACAAAATTTCATTGTTTCATTTTTAGTAAATTTTAGATTTAAAAAAAAAACGAAAAGCTGAATGAATAATATTATTTTATACCTAAGCGCAGGCATGCTTACATAAATTCGATCACAATTTGGACATTGTTTCGCATAAGGACTATCTAATGGTCGATGTGTTTGTTTATGTCGTGATAAATTTGATGTTGTCGCATATGATTTACCACATTGATTACAAATTAATCTACCTGGTAGACTAATGGTTGATGTCTAAAAAAAAAAAAAAATGGAAAAATATTTGTTCACATTGATAATATTATCACAAAATATTACATTGTAAATAAAAATTGCTTGAGAAATAAACAAATCAAAGTATGTAATTCGTTTTTGCAGTAAATAATTTCAAATGATTGTCTCAATTTAATGAAAGTAAAATTTTAGTTATTTCCGGTGTACAATGCAAGTTTTTTTTTTTTTTTTTATAGTTTTAAACATTGTTTTGTAAAGTTTAATAATTTAAGAGAGAACCTCTTTATCAGTATTCAATTCTTTCCTACGTTTTGATCGTCCATCTGTTGATTGCAAAGCATCAAGTGTATATCTAGTTGTACCAGCTTCGCACATTTGAACATTTGAAGTGGAAAATTCCATCTAAAAAAAAAAAAAATTAACATAAGTAGAATCTACCTGAGATTAAAATGTTAATTAAAAAGTTTAAATATGAAGATTTTATTGAAATATTTGACTCACCTTGGGGAAATTGCTTTCTGCTAATGTCATATTTATGGTAGTTTTGGACGAATTTGTTTTACCCAGTAAACTTTCTATTGAAAATGCATCAACTTTACAGTTTGTTGTCTAAAATATAAATGATTAATGAGAGTTTTATTAATTCTAACTATAACTTTTTTAAAAAAAAAAAAAAAAAATGTTTCAATTTTAAAAAAAATAAATATACTTTGTTGGATGTATAAAATGAATAATTCATACAAATATATTTTTCTTTCCAGTATTTCAAGCAATAAAAAAAAGTAGAAATTACAATATAAATAGTAAAAAATAGACTGATATCTGTTTTGATGAAATTAAATACATTTCATTTTTGATTTGAAAAATTTTAAACCTCTACAATTAAGAAATTAATAAATATGATGATTCTAAAACAAAATATTACTGAATATAGATTACAATATTGCTATTTATTTTCAACTAATGTGTTTTAAATAATTTTCAAGTAATCATCTTTCATTTATTTACTCAATATGAAATTCATTACTTTTAACGCTTATTATTACTAAATTTTTTTTTTTTTGACAAAAACAAAAAAACTTCAAAAATTTATTTTTAAACTTAAAAATTAGGAGTTAAAATATATTACCAAGATAGTATAGTTATTCATTTTGTTGACTTTTTCTGAGTTCGATAAATAAAGTTTGATAGTAATATTTTAAGAATCGAATTCAAAATGTGAGCTGTTTGAATTATTCCATTGCATTTAAATGCTTATTGCTGTGACAGTGAAACATTAAACATAGTGGACAAATGCGCTATATCACTTAGACAGATCTATTTTGAATTGTTTAGCTTTAAATAAATTTCACTGAGTAAAATTTGTGACAATTAAATGAGAGGAGAGAAAAGAGCTTTCAGATGCAAATGGTGGCAGTGGTAGTTTCAGTTCATTTCTTTAAAGGTAAATTTCCTTCCTTTTCTGGTATCATTTGGGGACATAATTGGTGTTGTATGCATCTGAGTGGGGACAATCAAGCTTTATGAAAAGATCTCAATTATTTAAGTTTGAAAATTTTTGGAAATAATTCATATTGCTTATTTCATTTTTATTTCATTTCTTTTTTTTTTTTTAAAGTTTTAACAATTTTTTTTCTCTTTACCAAGAAGTAAAGAGAAAAAAAATTGTTTTTTTTTCTCTTTACCATAAAGATAGCCTATAATAATATCTTAGTTTAAAATACAGTTGAGAAAGTGAGAATAATCATTTAATAGTAAAACAATGAAGTCATTCTTATCAGTTCGTTATCAGAGCCTAAGGCTTTTTAACATCAAACTCTAAATGATTGCCATTGTTAAGACTATTTTAATTTTCATTTATTTCTTCAAATGCTAATCGATTTGAACCAGCAATGGTTTCACTTAATTTTATCAGTGTAGTTGATAATAACATTCACTTTTTCTTATCAAAAACTAATATGCAAATGAATTAAACCATTTTAATTACTTTGTTAATTATTAATTTAAATACCTTTCTTTTATTTGATGTACCCAGTTCAATACTTGAGGAAGAAGTACTAGGTAAACATAATGACTGATTGAGTATTTCTGTCCTATCAGGTCCATTCTTCAAATACATATTTAAATGTGGTGACAAATCTGAAAATGGTATTACGGTGAAAAAAAAAAAAAAGAAAGAAATGCTAGTTTAATATTTCCAGTTGAAATAAAATTTTATTGTATCAACAATCAACAACTTGTTTGATTAAATTGTTTAATTCTTAATTCGAATTGTTTCGCTGTGTTTGTCTCTAAGACAACAATTTAAAACTTAATTATAGTTCAAAAAAATCCTCTCTTCTCACCTACATATTCTCAACTATGTAAATAAATAATAGATAAACAAGCAAACAATAAAACAAATCAATCGATGTAAAAAATCATAAACAATAATTAAATCAATAATAAACAAAAATTTTTTGATATTAATGGAAAATATAAGACAAAAAGTTGCAAATGACTATGAGAATGAAATAAAATGCAAAGTGAAATTGATCAAATTTTTGCTAATATTTTTATTAGTTACATATTTGAATTCATTTCTATTAGCATAAAAGTTGATTATTTAGAATTATTTAATATATATAAATTAGAAACTTTTGTTTGTTGTATATTTTAATTCATTTTTATTAGCATAAAAGTTGATTATTTAGAATTAATTAGAAGTATTAGAATTATTTAATATACATAAATTAGAATTATTTATTAATTTTTTCAAATATAACAATATATTGCTTATAAAATAAATTTTATAACTTACTGTATGTATCAGTGTTAATACTTTTTGTTGTGACAGCATTTTTAGATAATTCCACCGATGGTTGTGTGAATATTGGTATTGCCAAATGCGATAGTAAAAATGGTGTAAATAATTTGAAATTAGATTCAATATTATTTGTGAAAATCATATTCGAAGAAGAGTGTGACAGTTGATTCTGATATTGATGTTTTGTGATTGAAGTTGAATGCAATGTTGGCGAGAAATATCGTTGCTCATCTAAGTGTGTAGCATTTGTTGTTGTTGTTGATGATGGCCAATTCGACATTAAAAAATTCTGAAATTTTTTTTTTTTTGTTAAAATTTTTTTACTAGCAAAATTTTTTACATACAAGTTAAGGAATATAGTTTAAAACTGAAATATCAAATTTCAGTACAAATTAAAAATAAGCAAAAAAAAAAAAAAAGAAAAACATTGGAATATTTTTTGAAATTTTTATGTAAAAGAATTTTTTGTAACATTTATTTATAAAATATTGAAATATCTAAATTTAATGCTTTTTAAAAATTTTTTTTTCTTTTTCAATTACAACAAAATCAAATTTATAAGAAGCAAATTTTTTTTTTTTTTTTTTGAAAGTAAGCTATCAAACTACTGTTGAACTAAAGTAAATGGTGACCATCATTATCTCATATCTGACCCTCTTCCTAAGCTTTTCATACAAATTTCTTCTTGAGAAAAGCATTTCTGGGATGGGTCAAAGAGCGGTGTCAATGATTATGTAAAATGGGCGTGTCAACATTATGGATTAAGCATCTTATTGGTTGACCTATCATTCAAGCACAATTGCTTTTTCATTCTTTTTTAGAATTATGCATTTCTTGAGGAAAGGGAGGATGAAGAGAAAGCCGTAATGTTCCTTCAAAATGAGATATACACTACTGAAATGAGTACTTTTCGACCTTAGCTTCAAATGAGACAAATAGTCTCTCAATCTGAGGCTATCATTAATTTCGTTTTAAATTTGCTTATAAGCAAATTGCTGATTGTTTCATCAAGTAAATATTTGTATTAAATTTGTTGCAAAAATTTTATACTTTAATTAAAAATAATAGATATGTTTTGGTGAATTAAAATTTAAATCTTTTTTACAAAAGATTTTTATTGTCATAATTTATGGTTAGCTGAATTAGAAATAATGAAATGATTGAAATTTTGATTTTAAATCATTCAAGTTAAACATTCTTAAAGGATTGCCAAAATGAATATCAAACAGATGGATTTGCCGAAATGATGATTGCATGGATTTTGCTAACGAAAATGATTGATTATACTGATGTGAAATGTCCTCCATTAGTCTGATAGCCTTATTTTGTTTATTAAATTTGCCGCTGTTTATCATCAATTTTTTTTTTTGTTTTGTTTTTAAGTCGCACATATGGTTACATTAAGCATAAAAAGATACAGTATTATTAGATTATCATTTTGTAATGTTTTATTCATCTGTGATATGTTGTTTTTTTTAAAAAAAACATCTTTATTGATTAATTTATTATTTGTCATCATTTCTAATTGTTTACTCTTTCTTTTTTTTCAAGAGATCCTTAAGAATTTGTTTGTTTGTTTTTCTTTTTTTTTTTTTGAATGTTTTAGCTACTATTTTCTTTTTTTTTTTTAAAATCAATCCTCAAAAAAATATTGATAAGGATAACTTTTTGATAATTTAAATGTTTTGTAAAATTTTTTGTTAATTTATTTGTCCTAATGTCTCCTATTTTTCGTAATGATCAAAAAAGCTAACATAAAACGTATTTATGAGATTTATGGATCTTTCTTGATTTATGCTATCAGATCATGTCCATATGCTACTCAGTGTGATGGTTCCAATTATGTAAATTTTGAAAAAGCTAACAAAATTTAAATGAATCATCATCATCACCATCACCATCATCATCATCGTCATCGTAACCATTCATTGGATTAAACGGCTCACCTGTAAATCCGGCTTGAAAGGTTGTCCCGTGATCTTCAACTAATTGCTTGAGTGGTTCGATTGCATCAAAAGTGTCATCTGATACAGCAATAACCCAAAGTCTTGTTGTTCCTGCATACTTCTCACTCATCTCATACTAATCTTGAAGAACACCTGTACCTGTATCAATGCTTCTCAATACCTCTTGCCCTTTGCTCTCCAGTAACCGTTAATTATAAGCCAAATACGATCTTTAACCTGATATCCGGTTTCTCGCTTCATACTCTCATAATTTCCGGTAATTGAACAATATTTGTACAAAAAAAAAGTGTATAAACACTTTTCAATTCAACAGTAACTCTTAGAGCTTAAAACGGAAGAAAGCAAAGGATGAACTAATAAAAATTTAAATTTTATTACAGCTACCTGTTTCAGTATCATATTAAAAGTTCTTTTATTTTTTTAAATCATTATTTCCTGTTGAAATTAGTAATTCTTAAAATTTATATGGTATTTTTTAGATAATTTTACAGAATTTTAGCAAAAATTTACTCTTATTTAGAATGAATTTTATAATCTCTCAGATCTATTAACACAACTAACTCTTAGTACAGGCAAAAAAAAAAAAAAGAAAAAAAAAAGGCAATGAATCAATTTTTTGGCTAATATTTGGTATTGTTTGCTTCATAATATTAGCTACAGTAATCCTACCAAAAAGTGCGCAGATGGTTGTTGCGGGTTGTCGCAGGTGTTGACCCCTACGGCCTCCAGACGTAACGTTACGTAACCCTACCCAATCAATTCGTCCACTCCTCATCAACCAATTTCTTATCCATTTCTAGTAAAAATCATGAAGCAACCATCCTTTTTAACCCTTTCCTAAGGAACATTTTCATTTTGCATTTTTATGAGATGGATTTATCACGAAATGTATGGTATGAAAGTTAAACTATTGAGTATTACTCTCAGTAATGAAATTCAAACCTGAATAGAAACCAGAAACCGGTCATAAATAACCAGAAAGTGTAACAGTTTTTTAATAACGAAACAAACAAAACAAAAGTAACAGATCTTACTAATATTAAAGGATGGCAATAAAATGAAGTGAAATGTCTGTTTTATGTTTTATTATTTGTATACATACTTAAATCTAAATACATGCTCATATTAACTGCACAAGTGTGCTTATTGTCGTTTTCTCATAAAGAGTAGAAGACGGTACTTGAGCGCTATTTTGTTGGGCGCTAATGGAAGGGAAGCATCAGGCTGCTTCTTCATCATCTTTTCATGATTGTTGCTGAAAAAGCATGTTGAATACTATTGAAATATTTGCCATTTAAGCTGTAAATTTCTCAACACAATTCTATTTTAGAAAAATGAGAAAATTTCATCAATAACAATTTATTCAATTATCAATTTTCAATTATAAATTTATCGGTACTGAATGTACCATCTCATTTGGTTTATTCAAGCAAATGTTTACTCATTTATGCACGATAAACTTAATCTTAACTTCATAAATACCGTTATTCTCATTTTTATTTTTTGAGCGCAAATCGTCTTATTGGCATAACTTCATAGAAGTTAACAAATTGCCCAATGCATTTCACAAATATTTAAATTTCATGTATTTTTTGTAGTAATATTCAAATAAATATTGCAAAAGATTTTTGACATATTTTTACAAAGTACAAACAATTCCTTACAGCCTAACATTTTCAGAAAAAAATATCAAAACAAAATCTCAACAAGCATAAATCAAAAATGATCAAATAAAATTTTTCACTTTTTTAAATTTGAAATCATTTAAAAAAAAAAGGATGAAAGATTTAAAAATTTTTTAAAAACATACGGAAATTTATTTTGTAACAAATTTCAAGGGTCAGTCATTTAAAATGTTGATATTCTTCAAGATTTTATCCAACTTAACGACTCAAAGACTAGCAAGCACCAAATTTGATGACCATAGAGAGTGTGACATCATTTTCAACATTTTGTTTACAGTAATTCCACATAATCAGACGACAATCTGGATGACAAACCGATTGCAAAAATTGTCAACTTGTCAAAAATTTGTCAAATTTTGATAAGCTTCCTGAATTCACCAGCATTTCGTTATCTGTCTTGCTCTTCTTAAATGCAAGCAACTCTTTCAATAATCATTCGTTTATTTTATCAGCTAAGGGATTCAGCTATTTTCAATGAATGTTGAAATTTATGTCACAAAGAAAACATATTTCTTTCAAAGTAATATGTACAAATATTAGCTATACCACTTGTTTGTGAAATGATTTTTGCAATCTGTAAAATTACTTTTTTTTTTTTTTTTTTTTTTTTTTTACAACTTTTAGAAAAATAATCAATTTGAAAATTGTAGACAAAGAGAAAAAAAAAGAAAAAAATATGCAAATTTTTCGATGAAATGATTTTGTTAAAATTTATTCAAATGTTTGAATTATGCTTGAAAAAATTTTTGAATCGGTAATTCAAACGCAAAGGTAATGGATATCAACCAATAATCCTTTTTAGTGGCGGTGTTATCGTCTTGATGACATTGTCAAAACATATATTTCTATTGTCATCTTTTGGAACAGATTGCGCATCGTCAATCTGCGCTATTTCTTTCAACCAATGTTAACTGTACCTACCCCCTGTAGTGTATCATAGTTCTTCACCTAATAGATAAAAAAGATGAAAAAAAAAGGAAAAAATAGATAGTAATGATACTTACTCACATTTAATAGTATAATTTATTAATTAGCTATCATTAAAAAGTTGAAATAAATTCCGAACACTGAGAATTCATTCATTTTCCAATACATTTTATAAAATATTGTGATGAAAATTCATAAATAATAGATGAAAATATTACAAAATTATCATCATTAGTTTATTAATAGCAGAATTAAGCTTATTTAAATAAGATTTTTATAATTTAACGAAATTAAACTTTATAACATCAAGAAATAATTTCACTCGCTATTGTGTTTCTTTTCTTTTTTACATATAATAAATTTAGTTTGAGAAGTAATGAGAGCTATTTTAATGGTAGCATTTAATCAGATTTAGTTTTAAGTTATTATCATAGAAAAACATTGTGAACCATATCGATCATTTTTCTTGATTACAAATAAAGAATTCTCTTGATAATTTTTACTGAAGGTAGATTATTCAAAACCTTAACTAATTTTTAATAATTTTTAAATTAACTTATTAGCACTTTAATTTTTCAAATAAACATTATCAAATATTAAATTTGAATGTTTTCTTAAGTGATAAAATAAGCAGCAGCAACTTTGTGCTTTAATTGATCTATTTATATTGATTACTTTTCTCAATTACTTTTACTTCAACTCTATTTCAATTTTTTTTTTTTTTTTTTACCAAGCTTAGAATTTATTCGAGAAATTAAATCTCTTATCAATTGTGTGCATATTTTTTATTTGTTAATATGTGTAAATACATCAAAATATTGTTGAGTTAATTGCAGCATACTGCAAAATGATCTTATCACTGATCTTGATAACCAATACTCTTATCAGTTAATTGTTATTTCAATTTCTAACAATAATTTATTTTACATTAGAACAATTAAATACAGTTGCAACTACTTTTTTCCTTTTTTTTTATTGACAGATTGCGCAATCATTGAACACATTTTGGTTATCAATTAGTTAAAATGCTGTTGATCCTAACGTAAAGTAACAAGCATTTTCAAACAGATGTTCAGGAGTATGAAGACTTGACCTTGTGTTGACCTTTGCTATTACTACCTTTTCTAAAATAAAGAAGCATAATTGTCATATGTTGCAGAAAATATTCTTTAACTCTAAAATGATGGCTAATTCAAATTTGCCTTAGTTTAATTCTACCACGAAAAAAAAAGAATTTTCAAATCATTAATTGAAATATTATATCATTGATAGTGATTCTCTTCAACGAACAAACAAAACTGGTTTGTAAATAAATGATTTCAGGTGGTGTACCAATGATTTATAACTTAAACATTTACAGTTATTGAAAAGAAAAATTGATTGTATGTAAGCATGCATGCATATGCATGTGTGTATTGGTTTGATTCTTTTCAATGACGAAAAATTTGATTTAAGCGAAATCTAAGACAGTCTCTAGTATTCCTGGACTCTACATTAATTGTAGGTGTGTACTAATGTATCACTGATCGTCATCTCCTCATCTCATTTCAACTATGTCACTTCGATTGAGCGTCTGTCACTTTGATACTTTTTTTTTTTTTAATCTAGCAGAATTAGATTATTTAGAAATTCTGAAAAGTTTGCACTTGCACAGAGGAAGAGCAATAGCTGAAAGAACTAATAAATTTAATTAGTATTTGAATTTTAACAAATGATTTACAATTTTAAAAAGAAAAATTTAATTGTTGACAGAAAAAGTAAAGTGAACAAGACGAAAACTAATCGTTTATTGATAATTTTTTGTTGACTAATTTCATGTTTACTTCTATTCACATATTAGAGTTAACAATTTATGAAACTGGTTTTGCTGACTTATACGAGTAGTAGAAGAAATTAATTACTTCCTCCTTACTTCTTCAAAAAAAAAAAAAAACCGAAAAAACATTTTACTGAACTGAAATTGTGCGGAAGAATTTTCCTATTTTTGAAGAAAATAATTTCAGTATATATATTTTAAATGTATTAACAAAAAAAAAATAATTGTCACTGATAATTTTTTCTTCCGTTCTCTCTCTCTCTCTCAATACTTTTACAGTTTTTAAATTAGAACAAGAAATCAAGAAAATATGAGAAATCCGGTTTGCAATTGTTCTTTTAGCTCTTAAATTATTTAGTTATCTCTTAAAAATTATTAAAATTATCTCTTATCAAAATTATTATCTCTTAAATTATTATTTCAAATAGTTTATTGCTTTCTTTAACAATAATAAAAATTACAGGTAGATTATATTAACAGATATGAATGATTGTTTCTTTAAAAGAAATAATACCTTAATTGAAAATTACATACTATTAAATTTTATTTTTTGCTTTTTATAATAATTAATTTTTATTTCAGCTAATTTAAAGAGAACTTAAAAAGGACATATCATAGGTTATAATTTCTTTATAACTTAGTCACAAAATAATTTTTGCATGGAATGCTGAAATGTTAGAATTAATCATAGCACAGTTTTTTTCTTTTTTTTTTTTATCTTAACTATTTCAGTTTTCTTTTTTTTCTTACATTTCTATGAATTTATAAATGTGTAAGTAATTTTGAAGATAGCATTTCTTCATGAATCATTTAAAAGATCAAATAAATCACATCAAAAAAAAAAGAAGAAATTGTCTTTAAAAAAAATTTTCATACAAATAAACATCATTTTTCCAACGTTCATCAACAATCTTCTCACTTTCGCACAACTAAAATTTCTTTAGTTTCTCAATTTTATTGATTTGTCTTAACACAATTGTTTTTTTTCAATCATTTTCACTGTAGAATAACATTTAATTCTTTCAATAAAATTATTTTTGCTACCGATTTATTTTACGCTTTTAAAAATTAAAAAAATTTTTTACTGTTAGTTAAATTTTATCAAATATCTCCTCGGTTTCATAAAAAACAAAATGGAAAAGTAAATGTATTAGATTAGTTTATTAAATTAAACAATTAAAACATTGTAAGTTTTTTTTATTTTTTTTGCATAAAAATGCTTCAATGTTATTTTTTTAATCGATTATATATTGAAAACAAATTATTTGAAAAAAAAACTTTTTTTTCAGAAATTATTAAAAATAAACAAGAATTTATTTGAAAAAAACTATATGCAATGTTAATAGTACTAGCAATTTTACATATATTACTTCTGTGGAATGTAGCTAATTCACTTGAATGCTACACGGGTTTCTCTGTTATTCGTGGTCAAACAGTTGGTACAACAAAAGAAATTTGTAGTAAACAATCTGATTCATGCTATCGTGCTATGGCTAATGTTAATTTATTAAGTACAGTAAAAAAAGCTGGATGTTCTACTATACGTTGTTATGTTAGTTTTTTTTTTTTTTTAATTTTCTTTTTCATTATCATAAATAAAGATTGCAAAGAAGAAATTTCCTGAATAAATAATCAATTGCCCTTTGATCTCAATATAAGTAAACATTAGAAAATTTGTTTTCATTTGTTATCTATGTGAATTTTTTGCTAATTTACTGTCTATTCTCCTTTTTTTTTATGTGAATATTTAAGAATATTTAAATTAATATTCCTGACAAAAAAATAAAAAACTTTTAATCAAGATTTTAGAAAAAGTTATTGACATAGAAGGTTAAGTAATACTTGAATATCTGGTTAATGTAGATTGCTTTATTTTATTGATCGGTAAAAATAAGGCTGAATAAGGCTTTTTTTTTTTTTGTTTTTTTTTAGCTAAACAAAAACAAATGCATCGAGCAGGATTTATTCGGTAGCAAAGCAATGTTTTGTTGTTGTGACGATCGAGACTTGTGCAACACAGCTTCGACATCTTTTGCAGTTATTATCTCTATTATAGCACCACTTTATTTTATTTTATGATCAAAATTAAATGAGAATAGTGCTTTGCTATAAAAATTCTCGAGAACAGTTTGCTGTAGCAAATTTTGGTAGCTTCTAAAATTCGAATGCTTATAATTTTTGAGAAATATCATATTGCTATTTGATTATTTAGTGTTTCAGCTAGAATTACGGATAACTCTCCTAGGCAATTTTACAGCGTACTAAGAGTAATTTACATATCGGTATAAGGTGTTCATTAAGAATAGATCAGTAAAAGTATTTATAGTAATTAACTTTTTACATTAAGTTGCATTCGAGAATAATATTTGTTCATAGTTTTAGAGTTCATCCAGATGTGATTAATGATTATTTTAATATACTATTTAATTTTACTTATTTTAATAATAGATGAATTTACTTAGCTTTCGTATGTATGTGTCATTTGACTGCCTAATAAACATCCACGTTCCACTTACGCATACATCATCCGCATTCATCTATAGTCCTTGATTTCAACAACGGAACGGCTCATAATCATTACACACACGTATGATTAATGGATGATTCCATATAATCATGAATTCTAAAATATTCAAATCAGTTTATTGCATTATAATGGAAGAAAGTGGCTGTTCCCAGCAGGACTGGAAGCATCGTGTCATTTACATTGTGGGACTTTTTGTCTTTGTCGAGAATCTGGAAACATTTTTGTTCAATAGTTTAAAATGGATTATCTGAAAATTGCAATTTGTAATATCTGGTGTTTTGATTAAAAATGCCAAGACATAGCTAAAGTTATGCTATTTGCCAAACTTTCTTTTAATCATCAGCTAATTAGGCTTCACGTTTAATTGCTGGGAGAAAAGGGATGATTCTAAGTAAAACAAAAGTATTGTTTCAAATTTTGAATTAATGCTAAATTTTAAAGAGTTATAAACTGAATTTGAATCAGATAATAATGTATGTATGCTATAAATTAATGATTTGAGAGATTCAGGTACATCCCAATATGAAAGTAACACGAGAAATACAAGTAAATGGTAAATCTATCGAGACAAAATATGCCGGTATGTAAATAGTATGTAAATCTTACTGAGCAGTAATAGAAGAATTGTTACTTTAGATGAGAAATTATTGGCAAATATATTTTACTGTCAATCTGAAATTTAGTTTCTTTTATTCTCATACTACTATAAAATAGAAATTAACAATAGCACTTGATCAGATCTAGCTGTAAATTGTTTTAACTCAAGGAGAGTATATGTATATGTCCAGTGAAGGACAAGCTATGTTTATTAATTATGCTCCCGGTGGACAAACTTCTAACAACGATGATTTCTCAATTCATGCCTATCAAGGTAGGTAATAGCATCATCTATCACCCATCTGCAATAAACTTATAAAGAGAAATGAAAGAAAATTGAAATTTTTAAAATTTTCAAATAAAAATAAAAAAAACCCCCTATGCAATGACAAAATTTAGGGTTAGTTTTTAATGAAACATTAGATTAGTAGATAATATGGATTCAGATAGTGAAGTGAAGAGTATGGGTTTAGTTTTTTGTTTCTATCATAGATTTGACAAATTGGATTGATTCATATTTGGAATAAGTTTGAACAATAATCTTTATTATTTTATCTTTCTTAAGCTGAATTAATTAAAAATATCTAAAAGAGATATTATTAGAAAGTGTTATAGTGCACACACCAACAGCTTATAATGGCGATGATTACTTGAGCAGACGATGGTCAGAAATTACCCGGAAACTTGCTCATTTTGCTCAAACTAATAGTAACGGAAATCGATGTTAATGATTAAATCGTTCATAACTTACCGAAAAATTAACTTTTTTAGTAAATAACTTACTGATCATAATTATTCATTTGGAAGCAATTTGTATAAATTATTATTAATTCAATTTTAATTATTTCCTACCGCAATGCAAATATAAACCATACATATACATCTACTCAACTTAGAGCTAAGCATTAATCTACGATGACGCATCTTTTCACGCACACATAGGCACGCACACACACACATACACACACACACACACACACACGCACACAAATTCTGACAACCTCGCTTTCATGCAAATACACAATGGATATTCGCAATACTGCTTAAGGATGTTTTGACCTTTAATACCACTGTTAAAACACTTATCAATAATTGAGCATATTGATAAGTGACGTGACGCGTCCTTACGACTACGTCACCCGAGTATGCGCGTCTCCAACGTGACCTCAAACTTTTGAGCTGCAATAAGCGTCAGGTGATTAGAGCGACGCAGTATCGTAACTGATGAGAATACGAGAGCATTGCTACTAGAACTTTCGATGAAGAGAAGGGTAAGGAAGGGTGTTATATGTCTGTGACAGGAAGGGAGTGGATCGATCCGGTACTATCCGGTACTGTTCCATTTCAGTATGACATCATTCAGGTAAAGAAGATAGCTTTAGCTTGAGCTATTCGGAGCTGCTTCATGAGTGCTCTCAAAAAAGCATCTAATTAAAACATGTAATATTGCTTTTTCATCATTTATCAGTTATTCTTCGCACAGTTTTGTCATACCTCCCTCTCTCTCTCTCTTTCTCCCTCTCAGGCATCCATTCATTGTATGCTTTCTATTTACCTGTATTTTGCCCTACTTTCAATCAAAAATTGAACTAGAATTATTTTGCATTGAGATAAAATAACATCGGTACTTGGAAATAATAGTGCCGCATCATTAGTGTGATCCTTTTTTTAATAGTTTAGTTTCATTGATCGTCCTGAAAAATTCATTGTATTATCACTTGGGGAATTTGTAATTAAGGATGAATTTCGGTCGCTATTTCGGAATGCTACTATATTTCGGTAAAAGAGGCAAAAATTCATCTGTCACGTTTTTATTTTTAGATTTGATTGCGACTTTCGGCAAAGAGCTTTCATTTCTTCTATTATTTCGTAAAAGCACCGATTTAAGACAAGAAAGCAACAATGTTTTTTCATCGAATGAATGGTGGCGGTCGTATGAATGGCCCGGTGGACACAACGCTATATGATATCTTGAACGTGAAACCGAATGCTACTTTGGATGAGATTAAAAAGGTAACTTTTTGTCTTTAACACAAAGGATTTCGTTTTAAAGAGAGGAAAGATGATCATTTTCTGTTTTGGTAAAATAAAATAACATTTTTCTACCATAAACAAGATTAAAATTTATCGAAAATTAGCTCATGAAAACTTTATTCATGTGCTGGCAACATTCTGATTTGTATTTTAGTCCTATCGACATTTGGCGAAAGAACACCATCCCGATAAGAATCCATCTAATGGCGATAAGTTCAAGGAAATATCATTTGCTTATGAAGTGCTAAGCAATCCGGAACGAAGAGAAGTTTATGACGCTAGAGGTCTAGACGGTATTAAGGAAGGTGACAGTGGTAAGAGATATACCTTTCAAAAAGTATTTGCATGAGCTTAACTGTAGTGTAATGATAAATCATTGTAGGAGGATATTCCGGTGCTGAAGATCTTTTTTCAACACTCTTTGGTGGTGGTTCGCTTTCGTCATTTTTCGGTGGTGGTGGTGGGCGCCGGAGAAAAATGCGTGGTCAGGACATGGCTCATCCGCTAAAAGTGTCTCTGGAAGATCTCTATAATGGCAAGAAATCCAAATTACAGCTGTCAAAACGAGTAATTTGCAGCACTTGTCATGGGTAAGTTAATATGTGTGTACGAGACTTCAAACTTGCATAGATTTTTCATATACTGATTGGCATACGCCTTTTATATTGAAAGTTTTCTCTAATCATTGCAGATTTTTTTTTTTTTTTTTTGAATAGATTTTTAGTTGTTTTTACCAATTAGAGATGCGTTCAATGTCGTTGAGTTTGAAAAAGCTTGAAAAATGCTAATAAGCGAGATTTTAACATATTTTCTCAAAAAAAGAGGTTTCCAGGTAATCTGTTTATGTTTCTAAGCAATGCATATTATGTTCTCCTGATGTATAAAAACATGGTATTTATTAGAGAGGCTTTTTATGATGTTTTGTAGTTTGTAGTTTGTGGTCCTCTTCGGAGAAATGTCTGATGCAATTTTGTTTTTTAATCAACTGGAACTGTTCTTCTAATGCCTCATGTGTATTCAGTGAAGTCTTTATTGATTTTTCTTGACGTCATGTCGCATCGATCGAGATTAAAAGTAGTTACATGGTGTTTACTACTGTAAATGGGTGCTACGAAATAATGAATAGACTCAGGTGTATTTCCTGTTAACGAAACGGGAATATTCCTGTTTCTTTTAAATTTGGTTCTTAATGCTTATCTTGGTGCTGTTATCTTTCGAAGCTGTTATGCTCAGTTGTCGTTCGACTGAAGATGAATATTATTGGAAGTTCTACTATAGCCATCCATTTTTAGTTGAATCCTGTAATCTTTTAAATGATCTTGAATTAATTACTCATATTTTCCACCTTTTGTAGTCGTGGTGGTAAGGAAGAGGCGTCATACAACTGCCAAGAATGTCGTGGAGCCGGTATCAAGAGCGTCATAAGGAAACTTGGTTCCGGTCTAATTCAACAAATGCAGATACAGTGCCCAGATTGCAATGGAACAGGTGTGGAATAATGCATGCATAGATGACTTACTTTTTTTTTTTTCGGTGGTTTAAATTCAGTTGAAGGAGTCTCTGAGTGCTTCATGGAAATCTCGATTTCATGACGCTATAATATCACTATTGACGCTTCCAAGATGAAAGAATTAGTGCTCAAGTCTGTTTGGAGGATGCATCAGAGGCAATTTGCATTATAATCCAACGTGGGATTTTTTTTTTGAGTCAGCAGTAATCGATTGCAGGGACGAAAATACCAGAAAAAGATCGATGCAAGACATGCAGAGGCGAGAAGACTGTGACTGAAAAAAAAATGTTGGAAGTGGTTATTCAGAAAGGAATGCAAGATGGACAGAAGATCTGCTTTAGGGGTGAAGGCGATCAAGAGGTTCTGTGTTCTCTGTTTTAGAAATTTTTGAAATAATTTCTGATAATTGCTTATAACCGAAAGGGAGCGAAGCTTTTTTGAGAAACCTGCTGTATTTAATTTTGTCAATTTTTTTTTTTTTTTTTTTTTTGTAGCCAGGAGTTGAGCCAGGTGACGTGATAATCGTGGTACAATCTAAACCTCACGATATCTTCCAGAGACAAGGCGACAACTTATTTATGCAGAAGTAAGTATTAAGTATGACTTTACAAAACACTATGAACTTATTTTTCATCAGTTCCCTAAATCACGGCGATCTAAAATCAGTAAGAACTTGATTTCAGGAAAATATCATTGAACGATGCACTTTGTGGCTGTCAATTTGTAGTCAAGCACTTGGATGGTAGAGAGCTGATAGTGACCACTCAACCCAATGATATTTTGGAACCAGGTACTGCTGTTTATAAATATAAATCATTAAATTTACTCTTCACTCGTGAGAAATCTAGAGTAGAACATCTAATTGTCGAGAAATGGTGCAGTTGTTTCGCATATTTCGTCCCAATATTCGATTTGTCAATCTTACAGTTTGACTTCGCGCAGTAACATCCTTATTGATTCAAATTTTAAACCGTATAGCGGATCAAAATTAGAGCAGGCGTTATTGGCAAAAATTTGATTGATATTTGGTTAAGAGACATACTTTGTTGTTACCTATTTTATAAGGTGTACAACCTCTTATAACGATCGCCAAACATAAGATGCAAAAACTATGAACAAAGCAAGAGATTTGAACGAAAGTTTTTGAACAGATTGCATTCGTGGTATTCGTAATGAGGGGATGCCCATACCGGACAGTCCAGGTGCTGGAGGTATTCTGTTCATCAAATTCCAAATCGAGTTTCCGGAGGACAATTTTTTGAAAGACGAAAGTGACTATAAGGTTTTATTTTGTCACAATTTTATTTTAAAGTAGTTTGGAATTATATGAATCATGTTACGTAATTTGATTTTAGAAACTTTTTGTTCCTTTGTTTTTGTTCATCTATATTGGTGACTTCTTTAAGAAATTAGGAATTCCCAAAGTAATATCTGCTTTATTGTCTTAGATTCCAGTCATGTTCCTTAAGCACATTTTTAAGTTTTCACTCGATTTAGAAATTTTTGAAATAAAAACCAATATTTTTTTTTGCTTTTTCAGTGTCTAGAAATACTGTTAGGTGGTCGCCCGCAAACAGGTCCGTTACCAGAAGGCGAAAACGTAGAGGAAGTTTCTCTGATGCCATACGATGAACATCGTTATGAAAAAAGAGGTCGTAGTGGTGAAGTGTATCAAGATGATGCTGATGAGGAAGAGGAAGAAATGAGTGGCGGTGGTGGTGGTGGTGGCACACACAATGTTCAGTGCGCCCAATCATAGTTCTATGAATTTAGTAACTTAAAAAAATACTGAAAAATTCATCCTACAAATTTTTATATATCCTGAGTTCCCACATTTAAACATAAAGCGATTTTGTTGGAATCTTGGGCACATGCCATAGATTTTGTTAAAATCTTGGGCCTTTTTTTTCTAAAAATCTAAAATGCTTCTCATTTGCTGTTATCACATAATTGGGTAGCCTTTTGCGGTAATTTTATCCTTTTTGATGTCAGTCAGCTATCATGCTTCCTATAGATATTTTTGAGACCTTTAATGTACTTTTTCTGGAGCCGCTTTTATTTGTTCTTTTTCTATTTCCGAACATAAAGTTGGCGTACTAAGAAATAAAGAACTGTCCGTTTATTTCTAAAATCTAAAAAGAGCAGAAAGAAAAATTAAAAGTACAATAGGAAAGACTTTAGTATTCGAGATCATCTATTCTCCTCAACTATTTAAGGTTACAAATTCCGACTTTCCTCTGAGAATGACTCGTTTTTCCCACTGCACATTATTCGAAATAATTATGAACATTACTTGAGTTTTTCTCCAACTGATAAACCTGTGTAACCATAACCCACTTGGTAAGATTTGCATATTTGTTTTTCTAAAGGTTAGTCTGGATAAAAAAGTTTCTGCTTTGCTCTTTACTCATCAAAAAAAAAAAAAGAAAAATGATCATATATGGAATCATTGATGTACAATTTCAATAATGAATTAAGAAGAACAACGTTGGTAATAATATACATAGGTAGATCATGAGCAGTGAAATATGCTTGTCATTTTAACAGGTACACAAAGAATTGGTCTGTGGTTAAACTGCTTCGTCTGCTGTTTCAAGGTCTCCTCTAAAAAAATACAGGTCAGTACAAGAAATATGAATTTTAGAAAACCAAATTTAACATTTTTGAGAAGTGAAGATATAAAGCTTTAGATAAGGATCAAGGCTAGGAGTGTATGCAAAATGATCAAGAAGTATTGCAATCATCGATTTTCGTCTATTCGATTTGTCGTTTCCTGAACTTTCTGCCGAAAGTATTTTCCGCTACATACGCCTAGAAATAATTTAGTGCAGGGCGAATTAAGAGTCGCATAAATGTGAGTAATATGGATTTCTAATTCTTAAGGCATAATGTACAGGTCTGTACTGTTTTGCATCTCTTTTTTTCTTTCTTAATGACCTTCAAAAAATCTACCACAACAATAAAAAATAAAATTAACCAGCAATAGCGCCTCCAAAAGCGGCAAAAATACCGGCTACAGTAGAACCTGCAATGAATCCGACAGGACCACCTACTGCAACACTACCAACAGTTGCTGCTACTATCGGATATTTGGCTGTTTTTGCGACTTCAGCTTTTTTTAAATTTTTATGAGCTTCATGAACATCTGTTTGAGCTCTTTCGATGTGTTCCTCAATACTATCAACAACATCATGTTGTGCCTAAAAGGAAGGAAATGATTTTAATGGGATTTTTGTCAAATTATATGTAAACGCAGGAAAAGTATAAAATGAAACCATCAAAAATAACATCGAAAAGAGAAAAGAGACAGTGTATCACCCGAATGAATTTGGCTGCTTTTCTTCGCATTAAGATGACTTTGCTTTGAAATATGCATTGTCGCATGCGCTTATTCGAATTCGTTTTCTGATTTCATTTACTAAATAAAATTATTAGACACCGATACTTACATGAACAAGCTGTGAAAGTTGCATCATCATTTCATTCAAATCATCGATATCCTAGAATGAAATAAAATTCAAGACATGAACGGTAAACAATGAAATGGATTTTTTATTTTGATAAAATTCATATTACTAAGATCATATAGATGTTAAAATGAACTCACACAGGCCAACTTTTTCACTTCTGCAGCTTTTGTTTTAGCTTCTTTTGCTTGCAAAAGCAATGAATTTATCCTTATTTGCTCTTGTTGTTGCAATTTGTCTTCCTAAAAATGTATACATACTACATGAAAATTCAATAGTGAGTGGAAAAGAGCAGTTAATTTTGAGATAACAAAGTTCTACTCCTTCCTCAGTAACTTTTCCTCCCTGTTCTCAATAATAAATGGCTTTTTAAATAATCAAGAAAACCTCTGTTTCTTCTGCCAACAAAGATTCCTCGTACAAATCATCATAAATATTCTTTTTTTCTAATGTTTCATTAGCAGCAATCCTATTCAGTGCATTGATAACTTCCTGAATTTGAATTCGAATTGGCTCAATGTGAACGTCGAAACGCTCTTGATCAATTACATTTAGATGTGATCGAACATTTAACACTTGTTGCAGATCACCCAATAATTGATCAATTTTTTGTGAAGCATCTTTCCTGCTTTTAGAATCCAATAATGAGTCGTTCTACAAAAAAAAAGGAAAAACAACAAATGATCATGTATTGCTGAAATTTAATCTGAAAATAATTCCACCTACAGTAAAATCAACTAACGCTTCAAATTCTAAACTACATATAACTAGGAATACTCTTGACTAAAACAGAATGCATTCAAAACAGTTAACCTCATCAATGCTCATAAAAAGTAATCGTAGTTCACGAAGATTCATTCTAGTCATACGCTCAAAACGTTCAATAATTATCAAAGCTCGAGACCAATCCATAATTCTGAAACAGAAAAACTGCCACATACTTTCACAATCATTTAAAGTTGATACTCATCACCACACTAAACCATAAATTTTGTTTATCATCTTTATTCGTTTATCATACATTACCCATTCTACGAATAGCACATTTACTTTAAGCATTTATTTAATCTCTTTTCAATGAAACATCAATCTATCAGCTAAATTATGGCTTGCCAATGAAATTAAAAGTGAGCCTTACTAAAACACATTTCTTCAAGTATTCTGTAGAACCAGATTATGTCTTCGGTTTCAATTTTATTCCACCACTTTCAGAGAATGATTTGTGTTACATTAATAATTTGAATTCAAGTTTGAAATACATTCATAAACAAAACAACAGCAACAAATTGATAAATAATTTTTATTTATGTTTTGTACAAGCAACTAGTTAATCATAAGTACTAGAAACTGTTAACAGCATTTGTTCACAATGACGAATTTTTTCACTTCCTTGACAAATTCTCTGAAATTAAAAAACAAAATCAAATTTCGAGTCAAATCTCATTTCTTGGAATTTAGAACATGAATTATTCGTACTAATAGGCCTAAAAAAAAGTGTAGGAATTGCAAAGGCATTTTGCAATTTGACTGTGACAAGACAAAATATTTTAAATTTGAGGTAAAGAAATATAGTTATAAGCACTTCAGCTTATCAAAATTGCTTATTACTATTGAAAACAACAAAAATAACCTATTATTTTTATGTTCTTCAGCGACTTTCCCTAATAAATCGTTGAAATTTCGCAGAGCAATACGCGTGTTATTTTCCCTCCATGCTGCTGGGATCAATTTCATCAAAGCTCGACATTTTCGGATCATGGACTGATCAGATATTGTTGCACATTGTAATGCAGGCATCACTCGGTTTACAATACCGTCCAGAACCAATTCTCGCATTTTCTCCTCAGATAAAACGGCAGACAGACAGTTCAGACATCGAATTAACTGCAAATTGTCAGCCACAAATTAACAAAATGGTCCAGACAAAACAAGCATGTAATTTCATTTCTTATTTCTTCTTAGGATATCAGTTAAAGTGACAATTAACCACTTTAAGCTTGGCTTTTTTAACATATAAATCTTTTATAACAATAACAGATTGTTTTGGCCACCAGCAAAAAAATGAACCTTAACGGAAGTCCAAGTTTGTCGATCCAAGAATGCCTTACAGCCCGTGGCAGGATTCTCAACAGCTCTGTAAAATATTTGAAAAAGTAAAAGACGTATTTAGAACTTAAATAATTAAATAATAGATTAATCAAGCAAAGACGCACTGTTTAGAATAAATGGGAACAAATAAATCTTCATCGATGGCATCCTGAGCACGTAGACATATAGTTTGCAGAAGTTTTTGCACTGGCCGACTACTTGGCACTAGCGTTGGACATTCGTCAATCAACTGATTGAGCAGAAAACCTAAATTTCGACATTGATGTTGCGATAGAGGGTCCCATCGCTCACGGATCAGATCTGAAAATAGGCAAGTGCATCATTCCTGTAAGTACTTTTAAGGATTATTTAAAAAAACTTCTCAGAAATGTTAATAAAGTAGCATTCATAAATCTCTAATGTATGGTATCGTATCTCCTTCTTCTTCCTCTAAAGATAAAAAAAAAAGGTAAAGATATGCACTTCCTTTATGCACACGATTTCTGGAAAGTAACCTATCAGGTAGAATTTATTCAAACATTAATGCAAGTGTTTCCAATCCGGATTTTAACGACTGTTAATTTAAAGATAAACAAAGAGAATGTTTACAAATGTTAAAGCAAAATGTCGTTTGAAACTTAAATCTCTATTACAAATATATTTTTCTAACTAAAATTTACGAAAGACTTCATTTAATATAAACAGTACCTGTAATTTTCCATAAAACAACTTTCTCAATACACAGAGGTATAAGTGAAACAAGGATAGGGTGTTCGACGTTAATGTTCGAGCTTACTGCGGCACATCCTATCAAATCTTCGTACCAACGCATTGAATTCACTGGACGACTGTCATTCTATAAAGAGAAAATTTACAGCGCTGAGATAGAAAAGTATAAAATTAACTGGAAATATAAATGTACCAGAAACAATAATTGTATAATGAAACTGGAATGTGTGCATGCAATATTCTACATTAATGGGTTATATAAGCAACTTATGTGTCAATGGAAAGCTTGAAGAAAATGAAACTGGAATGCCTTGTAAGGAGAACAGCAAAAGTATCATTAGCAGCCGATTATTGTCGTGCTAAAGTAAAGTAAAAAAAAAATCTGTAAACTCAAAAAATACCTCAAGCGGTCCCCAGTCGATTAGTTCCAAACGAATAAATAATGAGATAAGCTTTGGAATGCATAGATGAACATAAGCATTGACGAAGGACTCCTCATCATGTGCTAACCAGTCAACAAATCTTGATAGAATTCGATCAATACGACAAAAATCATCAAGTGCATCAACGAATATGACATTTGCCGCTGCGCGAATCTCATCTGTAAAACGAATATTTTTACTAATTTCAGCACTTCCTGAGGAATTTCTCTTCTTTTAAATATACTAAATGCATCATAATACACACCGATCGATTGTTGGCGAGCTATAATCTCACTATTTGTCTCTTCATCATCTGTACTTAAGCCTTCTTCATGTGAAACACCTTCTAAAGTATTTTCACGCAAACGACGACGACGCGATCTGAAAAAAAAGACAAGTTTAGCTATCTCCACTCATTATCGATTGCAAACGTTATGAATTCTACCTTCTTGCTTCTCGTTCTGCTGCTCTTTGACTGACTTCAGGGGCTCGTTGGTGCAGTGGTCGACCAGCTGCAGCTGCCGAGCATTCATCATACATATCGTGCACATCGTTTCTTCGTCGTGTTCGAAGTCTTCGAGCCCGGCCATCTAGAATTTCTGCCATTCGACTTTCCAAATCCTTAACTTCGCTTATCTGAAGTACAAGGACGACAGGTAAGTTTAAAATTTAATACTGTTATATAATTATCAGACAGTTGCTCCGAAAAGAAATCATTTCGAAGATATTTACTTTTTCTGACAAACATTCCAACAGATCTCTAGCGTATGCTCGGATATCCTGATAAACTTGGAAACGTTCTCTGATCCGTGGTTCTTCCATCTCAAGCTTGCTAATCATTTCCTTATTTTCTTGAATTTGAGCAGTTGTCCTTTCAAATTCTGCTTCACGAGCATTTACTGATTCCTTGCCATCTTTCTTGCTGCAATATTCTAGTCTTAGGCGTTATCGAAAATATCACTAGTAAGATGAAAATGATATGAATTTAAAACGTAATGAATATACATACCGCTGTTGTAATTTTGAAAGAATTTCTTTTAACGATACAGCTATAGTTTTGCCAGATACTCGTCCAGCTGAAACAGAACTAGTCGAAATAAGTTAAAAAACTTTTAATTTTGTTTTAGTTCAGTCAAAAAAGAAAAAAATGTCTGATTCTAAAAGGCAACGTAAGGAATCAGAAAGCACCCAATAAGAATTAAATATTGTTCCACTAAATAAAACGACAGAATAAATGCTACAGAATCAGTCAAACATGATATATACCAACTCTGTGATAGTGAAAGCATATCAGATTCAGAAAAATCTATATCCATTTCCATCGGCAACTGCTCGCGATTTTCGGGTGGCAATTCCATACTACTTCTTATGGCTTTCATCACTGCTTCCATTTTTGCACGTTCACGTTCCAACATTTCCACCTTTAATTTTATATAGATGATAAAATTTCTGATTCATGTTTGTGACAACTTTAGTAGCTTTCTATATCAGAAGTATGGCATGCATATTACCTTATGTGATGATACTCCTTTCTTCATCTGTTCTCTTTCCCATCGCGTTACTTCCTCATCCGATTGCTCATGACCATCATCACTACCTACAAAATAATATTTAAACTAATAAAAAAACCAAAAAATAATGGAAACGATGAATAAAAAATGAAGCTAATGTCATTGGAATAAAGCCATTTAATCAAAATCGATATCACCCAAAAAAAGAAAAAAAAAGAAACACTTCAAACTACTACCTCCTCCTTCGTGAGCAAGAAAATCCATATGCTCATTCCGTCGTCTTTCATCATCATCAGCTGCCAAACTTTTTAGCGAATAAAACCTGAAAAGAGTAAACTAATGATTCAATTCCATGATTTCAGAGAGCTTTTTTTTTTTGGTTTAAATGGGTTGATAAAAATCAAGAAGTCTCGTTAGTGCCTTCCTATCCGAATAAAATATGATTTCGTTCGATCTTCTTGCATTCCTCTAAAAATGGAAATAGCTTACCGATAATAATGGCTGCTCCAACAACAATGATAGGATTGTTTTTACATGAATCTTTAAAGGAATAACTGACCTTCCACCTTCTGGATCTTCATCACTCAAATCGTTTTCATCTTCACGTATTAACCGTGATCGTGCTACGGATTTATCCTATCAATTTTTTTATTAATTAAATATATATACTTAGCAACATTATAAATAAAATCACTGAGACAATACAATATTGCATTTCTCATATATTGATGGTCACTCAGTAGTAACTCAATGCGTATAATTATGAAAGCATCTTAAATTAACTAAAACCACGACACCATGGCTTACTTGGATATGCCTCCTCATTAATATAGACTATGTAATAAATTCTGCAAAGGTAAAAAATTCTATTACAACTACCTTCAACCGCTGCACGTCATCCAGTGGGATCTGGCCATTAGAACTGACTAAACGCATTTTTTCTCGCTTCTTTCGTGCTTCATAAACAGTTTTCGCATCCGGAATCTCTCCTTAAAAATTGTAATTAGAACAGTAACAACTGAGTTAAGATTGAGAAATAAGCTAAAACGACAGAACTTCGAACCTCGAAACGCAGATGGGAATTTACTTCGTATGACCGAATCCTGCTCCAAATCTGTTTCCTCTTGTACGGGTTCATCCTTCACTTTCCACTGTTTGCTTTGAGAAGTCTGACATGAAAAAATTTTTAGATTTGAACATATGGAAGTTACCTGAACATTCCCAAAATTATAGCAATCAAGTTAAATATTTGCAAAAAAGTGCAATCTAAAAAAAAAAACATACATTAATATTCTTGATTGACGGTTCATTCGTCTTCACCTCTTGTTTAATTTGCTTTACAACCACGCTAGTTTCTTGTTCTACAGCTTCATTGTCAGCTTTCTGTCGCAATTTCGCTCTTTTCGTCAACTTATCCAAACGTTTATTAGGATCTTTACGTTTGATTTTAAAGTCCGTTATGTCATCGCCTGAAAGAACAGCACTAAAGTGAAAAGTAAGAAACCAATATTCTTAAGACAGTAAAGCAATTGACTTTTGTGGCTATTGTACATGAAAAATCCTGCCAACATAAAATACCTCCTGTATTCCAGATTCGATGAAACGATAAGCTCCAGGTAGGTCACTCAAAGGAAATTTTTATCTATAGTTGATTATTAGACTCATATTGTCTGAAGTCTAGAAATCCAGTTTTTAGAGAGCCTACTTCCAGTCATATTAATAGTTGACCATTCCAGGTAAGGCGAAGTATAATGTTGGAAATGTAACACGCCACCGATAAACAACGAATTTCATTCGTTTTTCTTTCTTTTTTGGTTGCAGCTTCGTTGAAAATCTACCGACCTTCAAAATTATCAAAACTGAGCAAGTGGTGCTCTTCTGTTACCACACCAGCGTGTGGTTTCTGGTTCCCTTCTGCTTTATTCACCTTTTCCGCATGTTGCTGTTGCTGTTGCTGTTGCTCGACCGTTCTACTAATTAATGACTCTTTGATTGTTGATGCTACTGCTGTTCCAGAAGTAACACCACCACCTCCATCATCACCACTATCACTATCATCATCGTCCGATAGTAGTCGTTGACGAAGATTGCTACGCGTTTTCACTTTTCGAAACATTTTTCTAAGTATGAAAAGTACAGCTTAGATGAAAAAATGATTCAAACTGAAATTGTCATAAATTCATCCCAGTTGAGTTTATAACATAATAGAACAAACTTTTCTTGAAATGCAAAATTAGTAAAGAGAAAATAAAGCATCTGAACAACTCCGAAATGGCTTCACAATGTGGCGTCCAACACATTTAAAAATTAATTTAACCATAATCTAATCGCAACTTCCCAATGGAATATTTCGGGTTTCAGTAGGGATTATTGTTTTGTAAGAAGTGTGAAAAAATTTGTTATCCCACAAAGGGAAGTGCAAAAATGCAACTCTGTTGAGGTGGAAGGAAAATGAGACATAATAACAAAGGTTGAGAGAATATCTAAACATTAGTAGTAAATTAATGTGCTATCGATTAAAATAAGAACAAAAATAACAGACATATCATTAAGACGGCACGCAAATTAAGCATCAAAGAAAAACAAATCTACGAATCCGAAGGTAACTGAATCCCAGATGTCAGTCATGATATCGGAATTAACGCGGTAGGATGTGAAACTTACGATCTCGAGATAAATTGTATTTGTTATAATGTGATATTAGTAATTGTGATATGTATGCATTTAAGCTAATTATTTAATTTATTTTTTGAATTTGAATTGATTTACTTAACTTCGAACTAAACTTGGACTTTGAGATTAGCCTATTAAATCTATTAAAAGACTAGTTATCAAAAATATTAGTTTTGAGATTAGCTATTAAGAATGGAAGAAAGATTTGGAATTATAATGCAATTTGTGATTTGTGTGTGTATGATCGAATATTTCTCTAAGGATTGTTTTATAAAAATACCTAAGAGCTAATAATGTGAAAAAAAAAACAAAAAAATTTTTTTTTCCTTTCTTATCTAGCTGTAATTTATTTGTACTAAAGAATGAAGTTGACATTTTAAATCATTGTTAATTAGTTTCCTTCAAATATTCAACATTTGAATAAATTATGCATTTGTTCAGGAAGCAATCATTACACAATCATTGTAAAATGATCGATTAGTGTCAAATTGTGAAAAATTGTATTCAGAAAAACTAAAATTACATAAAATTATTTGATGGATAATTATTCATCATTACACTTTATTGAATCTTTGATGTATTTCAATTTTTGGTGTTATTAATGAGATGTCATTTTGGTTTATACCAGAAATATTAGAAAAAAAAAATAACAATTAGCAATTTTTTGATTTGGAAAGGAAATAAAAAATTTAAAGTAAATTTGAACTGTGCTAAATGTGTTAATACTAGAATTAACTTGAGATTTCATTGAAATACAGTACTCTGTAAATGATCAATAACTCATTCTTGAAGCTTACTGTATTTCAACTATTTAACCATTAGCTGTGGAGAAATATAGTAAATAACTATTTTGTAATAGTATTTATATATATATATAAATACCGTAATAATAACAAAGTAAAAGAACTTTAAAAAAAAAGAGTCCATTACTTCGTCACGATATTACCAATAAAATAGAAAATATTTAAATACAAAAAAGTAAGTTAGAATTTTGTACGATTTGTCATCTCAATTTTTTTTTTTTTTTTGTTTACTGTTGACAATAGTATCTATTGTTAGATTGTTTATTGTTGACAATAGTATCTATTGTTATTGTTGACAATAGTATCCATTGTTAGATTGTTTATTGTTGACAATAATACATTTGTAATGACAGAATTATGCTGTATTTCTTCGTCATCGATATGTATTAATTCATTCTAAGAATAAAATGATTGCATAGAATTTAACAACAACAAAATAGCTTCTCTTTAACACTGAAAATCAATACTCGAAAAAAAAAAAAAAATGAAAATTCATCATTATTTAATGTTTCTCATCATCATTTTAAGTTCATCATTATTAATAATACGTTATTTTATGCTAAAATTATCAAAATTATTAATATCATTGAAATAATTTTCTTCTTTTAAACTTTTTCGAAAATTAAAATTAGCATTAAGCAAGTAATATTTACTGATGCTATAACAAAAACAATGGTGAAAATCTTATTGCTACCATATAATGTCCCTTTAATTTCAGATAAAAAAGATAATTGAAATAGTTTTAGCATTTATGATAGCCACAATGAAAAAGCTTTATTGTCAATAATATATTACTACCCGCTGCTTATCTGATTAACAAATGTAATAATTGGCAATGCCATAGCAACGAGAAGTAAGCATTAGCAGTGGTAGCAGCTATATTAGCAGTAGATAAGGTAGATACCTTGTGTGGTAATAAATTACTGAGTACATCACATTATAGCATCAGTTTCCTATTTTTCCAATAAAGTTTCTTCTTTTTATTGAAAAAAGCAAAATCAATTAATAATTTTTAAACATTTGTAATTTTCTACAATTGCAATTGCTTCAATAACTTCAAATATGCCACGAAGAGGAAAAATGGTAGGTTTTTTTTTTTTTTAAATTATTACTAATACTAACATATTATTATTAGCATTCAGGTATTAATTGAATTTAAGTGAAATTACAATGCCAATGATAAAATCAATTTTGCAAATGAATTAATTGTGTTGTTGAAAATAAAAATGAGATTGCATAGGTTATTTTGTTCAAAATTGATAATTATCATTGACAGATTTTTATATATTAGAGTATCATTTCATAGTTACTCTATTTAACCTTACATTTTACTTTATTTATTGGTCATTGTACAATGAAATGAAATATTGATTGAAATATACACACCTCAAATGATTATTAAATTTTCTCTTTTTATCACTTGAAATGAAAATGAATATGTTATGATATGAGAATGAATGATTAAAATGATAATGTTTCCATCATATCATTAATGCATCATTTCGTATCACTTTTCCATAATTATCAATTTTACGAGAAATCAAATTATCATATTTTCTCTTTGTTATTTGATTTCTTGCATATATAATTTTTTTGTTTCTATTAACAAACAATATGAGTGATATATATAGAAATAGCAAAATTTGTGTTTTATAAAATTTATTTTGCAAAATATTTTTTTTCTCAAAAATGCAATTATTCAAAATGTTTTTATATATTTTTTTAATTAATTTAGAAAATTCTTTTGAGAAATTTAAACAAAATTACAGCGTGAAGTGATAAGTTTACATGTTGGACAAGCTGGTGTACAAATTGGTAATGCATGTTGGGAATTGTATTGTTTGGAACATGGTGTTCAACCGGATGGAATGTTACCATCTGATGAAAGTTTTGGTATTGAAGATAGTTCCTATAATACATTCTTCAGTGAAACACAAGCTGGTAATTTCAATCAGAATTTGAAGAATTTATTTTTTAAATATTCATTTATTCTAATATTTTACATGACAAATTACAATACCATTGATAAAATCAATTTTGCAAATAAATTAATTGTATTGTTGAAAAATAAAAATGAGATTGCATATGTTATTTGTGTTCAAAAATTGATAAATTTATTTTATGATGATTATAAGTTTGTTTTAATTTTATTATTATTTTTTTTAACAGGTAAACATGTTCCACGAGCAATATTCATTGATCTAGAACCTACTGTTGTTGGTAAATTCATTATTTATTCTTCAAGTAGTTTCGATTAATTTAATTTTTTAAAACTTTCAGTAGTAAAAAAAGTGATACACTTTTAGTACTAATTCTTATTAAAAGTAATTATAGTTTTATTATTATTTTTCAAGAAAATTTTAACAGATGAAGTACGCACTGGAACTTATAAAACACTTTTTCATCCGGAACAGCTCATTTCCGGTAAAGAGGATGCAGCAAATAATTATGCTCGTGGACATTATACTATCGGCAAAGAATTAATTGATGTTTGCATGGATCGAATTCGAAGTACTCGTTGAAACTTTTTTTTTTTTAACATTTAATTAATATTTGACTGAATTAGCAAACTTAATTAATTAATTATTAATTGTTAATATAGGAGATTATCAGAAGATTTAAAATCTATGTTTTCCGTTCATCAATTAATCAATTCAATTCATAACAAGCAATGTACTGGCTACTTTTATGCATTATTGCTATACTTGAGAATTTCATTATGATTTTGATTTAAGAAATTTATTTAAATTTAAAAAGTTTAAAATCTTATTTAATTTTTTTTTTTTTTTTTTTTTTTGCAGAACTAACAGAACGATGTGATGGCTTACAAGGATTTCTGATATTTCATTCCTTTGGTGGTGGTACAGGTAGTGGATTTACATCATTAATGATGGAACGATTATCTGTTGATTATGGCAAAAAAGCAAAGCTTGAATTTAGCATCTATCCAGCACCACAAATAAGCACAGGTTTTTTTTTTTTTTTAATTATTAAAAAAATTTAATTTTTATTTATAATTACTTTTGTATCCACATCTTATGCAAATAATGATTATATAATGAATTTCTTGCAATGTGATAATAATATATGATAAAACTAATAAAATAAAGTCAGATCAAGCCAAAAAATTGAAATAAAAGATTTGAAGAGATTAAAAATAAAGTCAAAATAAAAGATTAGTAAAAAAAATAATAAAAATTGCATAAACATTTTTTTTTTTCTTTTTTAAGCAATGGTTGAGCCTTACAATTCAATTTTAACCACACATACTACTTTGGAACATTCGGATTGCTCTTTCTTGGTTGATAATGAAGCTATTTATGACATTTGCCGAAAAAATCTTGATATCAAAAGGTATTGCTTTTTTTTTTTAAAAGTTCAATTTTTAAAGTTGTTTTTTTCTCTCTCCCTCTTCCTTTTTATTTTTTCATATGAAATATTTTTTTTAGTCCAACTTATACTAATCTCAATCGATTGATCGCACAAATTGTAAGCTCAATAACAGCATCACTACGTTTTGATGGTGCATTAAATGTGGATTTAACTGAATTTCAAACTAATTTAGTACCATATCCACGAATTCACTTTCCACTTGCTACTTATTCACCAATTATTTCAGCGTATGTTTTCTCCCTTTTTTGTTTTATTATTATTTTAATTGTTAATCAGTTTTTTTTTTCCTTAAATATTAATTATTTACTAATTAAGTGATAATTTTTCAGTGAGAAAGCTTTTCATGAGCAATTATCCGTTTCGGAGATCACTAATAAATGTTTTGAACCAGGTAGTCAAATGGTCAAATGTGACCCACGAAATGGCAAATATATGGCATGCTGTTTGCTATATCGTGGTGATGTAGTGCCAAAAGTAACAAATACTTTTTCAAAAATTTGCTTTTCTTTTTTTTGTATAAGTAATTTTTTTTTTTTTTTTTTTGTAAATGTAATAAAGTAAAGGAATATAAATTTAATAGTACATTTGCTTAATCTTCTTTTAAAAGTTTTACAAAAAAATATATTTTATTAAAGGCTTCCTATCAGATTTGCATATTGCATATATAAAAAAAAATGAAATAAAATTTAATGCTCAAAAGAATTCTTTCAAAATGACAATTGAATTATAGAAAAAAAATTTTTTTTGTCTGCTAGAAAATTTTCAATTTATTATAGGATGTAAATTCAGCTATTGCAGTAATTAAGACAAAACGTACCATTCAATTTGTTGATTGGTAAATTTTTATTTTGAATTATTTAATTTTTTATCCTTCGATAATTTAATAACTTTTAATTAAATTTATAAGCGAACTTTTTTTCTTTTCTTATTGCATTAATCATGTTGGCTAAATAATTCATCTTAAATATTTTAGCTAGTTAAAATTCTCTCTAAGCTAATATTTCTTTAAATTATTTACAAAGTTTTTTTTTTTTTTTTTCCCCAAGTTTTTATAAGAATAATATTTTAGTGTACGAAAAAAAATTTTTCGTTTTTTTATTTTGAGGTGCCCAACAGGTTTTAAAGTTGGAATTAACTATCAACCACCAACTGTGGTACCTGGCGGTGATTTAGCTAAACTTCAGCGCGCAGTTTGCATGCTTTCCAATACAACAGCTATTGCTGAAGCATGGGCTAGACTTGATCATAAATTCGATTTAATGTATGCTAAACGAGCTTTCGTACATTGGTTAATTTTTCCTATCATTTTTCTTTTTCATTTAATTTCTTATAATAAATGCTAATAATGATAAGATGCAAAAGAAAAAAAAAAAGGAGAGAAAATTATTTTAAAAAAATGTTTAAAATTTCAAATTATATTAAATAAAATTATATTGGAAATTAAAATTATTCAGTTATACATGATCAGAAGCAAATGAAATCATTTCCTATAAATTATTTTAGGTATGTTGGTGAAGGAATGGAAGAAGGTGAATTTTCTGAAGCACGTGAAGATATGGCTGCACTTGAGAAGGACTATGAGGAAGTTGGCACTGATTCATTTGATCCTGCAGAAGATGAATATTAATCAATCATTTTCAAGAAAATTTGAAATTTTTAAAAATTTTTCACTATGTGATCATTTTTAAAAATGAATAAAATTAGAAATCAGATGATGCTAACATAATGAGAAAAATTTGCAAAATGTTTAAATTACATACAAATGTTTCACTGATAACATTTTTATCGTATAACTTATTTTAAAATTGTTTTTTTTTTTTTTTTTTTTTTTTTTTTATTTTTGGATCTACAGAAAAAGATTGACTAATTTTGTGAGCTTTTCTTTTTTTTTTTTTAATTGTTTTGCGTTTTACAAAATAAATAAAAAATGAGGTTTTTTTTTTTTTTTTTTTTTAAATAAACTTTCCAAAACTCTTACATCGATTTGTAATTGGCTAAGTGAACATATTTATCAAAATTATCATTGCTGATATAATGGCACAATGCCTGCTTTTATCAAATGAATTTTATCAATTAGAAAGTAAGTGAATTTTTTGATAATAATAAGTCTGAAAAAATTTTATGAATAAATATTTCATTACAAATGATTATAATCATTTTGGTAATCTTTTCTAATCAGAATTACATTAATTTACTTTGTTATCATTATTTCGCACTTTGCGATTAACTTTGTTTATATAAATTACATTTTGTTTATTTGATTATTTAATTTTAATTTCTTAAAAGCACTTATATATAAATCAATCAAAGATATACTATGCAACTCATTAACTTTTTCAATGACCATTTGAGAATATCTAATTAGCATTATAGACAGGTGAGTGCTAATGCTATCACATTCAGTTCAATAAAAATAAAGATCCTTATGCGCTATTGTCTTCTGAAATACAAAAACCAAAAAATGGTTTCAAACATTTTCGATTTTTCTTCTGAAATGAATTTCAATCAATCACTTTTTAAGATTAGTAATTATTCACCTTTCTTATCGTCTAAACTTTTTTTTTTGTTCTAATTAAGATGGTGAGCATAAAGCATTAGCCAATTTTAATTAGCAATCTGTTGATGCTTTCAAAAAAAAAAAAAATAGATGATATTTCAAAATGATTAATTTAGAAAAAGTATCACCAAATTGATTTTAATTATCATAATGGTTTTTAGGTTATACTTATAACTTTAGCATTCACTAAATAAAGTTATAGTTTTATTGAAATTTGCTAGTTAACTTCATTCCCTCTGTTAACTCTTTGCATCAATACTTCGTCGATATTTAAAAAATAAAAAAAAAAAATCTCTAACGCTCTAAATAAACATTTGCATTATTTCACTTCTGTAATTCTAACAAATATCAAATTAACACTATTCTATTTTAAAGCTATTTTCCACTAATCATCTCAGTATGGTTGACAACTGTCTGATCAAATAGAAAAGCATTATGTACTAATAATCGAAATCATTTGCAATAATAATTTACTTTCAAAAATAGTATGTGTTTTTTGCTTTTTGCTTTTTTTTTTTTGAATTATTACTAACAATTTTGTAATTAATAATTAATAAAATATCCACTTTATGTATTATTTAAATTAATTATTAGCATATTAGTAAAAAAACTTTCATGAATTTTACTTATTTCAAAAGCTTTTTTTTTTTGCTTAACTTATTTCATTTCATCTTTCCATGCATTTTCATTGCTATGAATTTAAAATAGGTCATAAATAATGAAAGTAAAAAATCAATCCACTTTTATGGTATCTATCATTTAAATTACTTTAAATTTGCTGTATTCAGAATAATTGTAAGCAAATTGAAGCAATGATTAAGTTAAAAATAATTTTATTAATTTTTATTCCGATTCCTACTTCATTTTAAAACAAATTTTTTTTTTCCTTGTAAAAATAAGTTGAATAGATCGAAATATTAAAGTATTTAACTTAAGTAATTCTAAAAAGCTTTTTTGAAGAAAATCAATGATGAATAAATCACATAATTTTTTTTTTCTGCAACTTAATCACTATATTTCATCTTTCCCTTTTAAAATTTTATTAGGTTTATCATATTTCTACGGTTTGTGTCTTTCTTCTTATTTCGTCAAAAATTTTTCTTTGAAAAAATTCAACTCAAATTCAAAAATTGTATGCAGTCAATATATTTAGTAATAATTGAATCAATGAATTAAAAAATTTTCCACTAGCAAATTATGATTAGATCTAGCAGATATTTCTAGAATCTAATTCATTTAATTTCTATACTTAGATGTTTTCAAAATTTTATGCTATACTATGCATATGTATTTTGATAAAACAAATCAGTATCAATTTTTATGGTAGACCGGAACCAGTAATCAATATTTAAACAGGAAATGTTTTTTAATAAAGAACGAACAGGTGTCAATTAATATTAACTAATTAATATAGAAACAGTTTCTTTTAATATATTTCGTTCTTTTTTCCAATCTTCGTCTTTAATTTCCGAATTTTTATTTAATTCAAATCTTACTGTTTTATTTGCAAGACTACGGTAGCACCGTAGCCAAAGATACAGTAGCCTTGCTAAGGGCCCAAGAAAAGAAGGTAGCAATTACTGTAGCAGTTACTATCCTAATCTATTCTCGATTTTCTTTCAATTTACTCTCTCTATCAGCTATCTTCCTCATAAATTAATCCAGCGGTTACCTCATTTCACGTTTTCCTTCTGTGTAAGTTACGTAAGTCATACTCTTTTGTTTTTTCTTTTTCTTTTTTTTTTGGTATATGCATAAAAAGCAATGAAATATTGTTACTTAGTGAAATAAGGAAGAATTGAAGAGACAAAGATGGATTTGCTTGGACAAATGAATAATGCTATATTTATTATTTGCCTATTATTATCAAACATACTGATCATTGGCTTGAAAGCTGTTCCAGTTGAAGAGCCTAGTAAAAATAAAGTAATGGCCAAGAAAGAGTTAGCATTGAAATGTGAAATTGAAGATGGTGAAGAATTAACTTGCGAGAAATGTGTTCAAAAAGGAACAGTTAGTTATAAATTGAAATAGAATTAGAATTATCATTTTAAAGTACTATTTAATACTTATAAATTACAAAAGAAAATAAAGAAAAGCGTCACTTTCATCAAATTGTAAAAAATGTTCGCATAATTTAATAATTTTTTAAATTAATAAATCACAATTTTCCTCTAGTTTCATTATTTCAAAAAAAAAAAAAAAAAAAGAATGAAAAATAAGACATTTTGATTTGAAATTTAATATTTAATCATATTATTATTGTTTTCTATGAATTTTTTTTCTATTGCTGCGCTGTATATAAGTCAATTTAGAATTGTTTTTGGTGTGTATCAACACAAAAATGTATGCCATATCAATGGGATTTTCCAAATTGTCAACTAAAATATGTGCGAAAAAATAATTGCTGGGGTAACAAATTTCATTTATTTTAATTTTAAAAGAAATTTCTTTTTTTTATCAACAATTATTTTTGATTTTTTTTTTTTTATCAACAACAATTATTTTTGATAAAGCAAAGATTAATTCGTATATTTGTTGTTGTTGTTAACATTATCAAATCAAATTTTATAATTTTCATCATTTAATAATATCATAATGAATTGTCACCATTGCATATTTTAGTTGATTGGTTTGCTGTGATCATTGTTGGGATGACAATTGTCGCAATCGTTATCACTGCTATTTGCTACTGTTTCATTCATTTTTGCATGATATGCATTGATTATTATCAGCAAATAAAACATGCAAGTGAAGTGTTAAGGTTGAAAAAAGCTGCTGAAAAAAGAATTGCACTGCAATATCAATATCAGCAGCGAAGAATGGAACGAAAAATTATTAAAGATAATATTAAAAAGAAATATGGTTTGTATTATGAAAATTTTTATCAAAAAAATCATACTCTTATTCAACAATCAAAAAAATATTTCAAAAATATTCTACTATTTTAATAGCTGTAAAAAAATACTCAATAATTTAAACTTACTATAGGAATAAGTAAGTAGTGATAGAAAATTATCAATTAAAATAGTTTTTTATAATGTAATCTTCAAGAGTAAACAAGATGCATTCTTATTTAAAAAAAATTAAGTTGTACTAAAATCAACAATTTCATGCTATTTTCAGGTATCCCACTAACAACACCAGCATTTGAAAAATTCAAATGATGTAGAAAATAGATAAAATATAAATATCAGTTTGTAATTATCATATTGTTTGATTTAAAGATGAATGTAGTATATAAATTAATATATGTTATCATAACAGTAGTACTGATAACATTAATCACTGGAAATTAGAAAATCTAGTTCTTATCAGGTTTTTTTTCTACTTGTTTGAATCACAATGAATGTAAGTACCTGTGATGATGAACTTTTATTCTTGCAAATTAGGAAACAAATCATGATTTTTCTAAGGATCCGATAATGCTTTTGTATAGTTAAAATATCACATGCAAGTTTATTAAAATAAAACTTTGAAATTTGACACAGTTGTCAAAAGCAAAGAAATTCATAAAATTCGATTTGTTTGATATTATATCAAAAGAGGTAGATAATGTGATTACATCTAAGTTGCATTGATTCTAATTACAACATAAATTTATTGATAAAAATTTTGCAAAAATAGCAAATAACTGCAAATCGATCATCTCATCAATCATTATTCTATAGTTCTTGCCCGAATAAAAATAATATCATAAAATTTTCACACAAATAAATGTGCTAAAATGTGAAAGATAAAATTAATTAGAAATTTTTTGTATCCCATCAAGAGTAGACGTTGTATTCATACGAATTACTGAAAGTGTTAAAGATATGAGAGATCTATTATAAAAACTCAGAAATTCTAAAGAAATTAGAATTAATAAAAGCACAATATTCAGTAAAAAGATTTGCTTAATAGAGCAAACTGTGCATAAAAAAAAAAAAAACTTAGAAAGATTGAAGATCAGAGAAGGAAATAAGAACTGAATAACTAAATTAATTAATTTCTCACAAAGGTAGCACAGAAGGCAATGTTGAAAATGAGTGAATGAATTTTAGACTTCTTCAATGAAAATTCATGATGTCCTTCCCTATCATGGTTCTAGTAAGAACATACTCAGAATACTAATAATTAGTATAGAATAAATATCAAAGGAAAAACTTTCATGAAATGATGGAAAATTTCAGGTACTCATAAAACAATTCATTCAACTGTACAGGAGGCGTGCAGACAAAAAACAATGAGTGCAATAAAGATAACAATGATCATAAAATTCGAAATGCCCATAACATTATTGATAATATAATTCAAAATTAAAACCATCATGTATCTCGTAATCTTGCAGTGTTATATGATCCTTATAAATTGTATACCATTTCTTTAGCACTATTTTTTCATATCTGAAAAATTAATCTATAGAATAAGTACTTTAAAACAATTAATTGCTTCTTAAATTAGTCAATTTTAATTATAAATAAAAGAAAAATAGAATTTCTCACCGTGTACCAGTTTGTGCAGCGATAAGTTTCTTTAAATCACCAATTGTATCGTTTGGATTGCATTTAATTCTAACTTTTTTTCCCAATCGATCATTCACCGTAATCTCAATCATTTTTTATATGCCTAGAAATTATTATAAATAGTATCTTCCCTGCTTTAAAATATTCCTAAACGGCGATTCTCATTTTTTACAGTTGCTTGTTGCCCTCAATTAATCCACTTAATGAATCCAATAGTGGTAACAATTTAGAGAACTAAAAATCGGAATTCCAAATTCCTATATTTGTTTTGAAAAATATGCAAAGATGGAACTAATAGACTTTAGTGAGTCTTTTTTTTTTTTTTTTTTTTGTAAGCAAAAATCACTTCAAAAATTTATTAAAAGAAAGCAATATACTATGAGTACAGCATCAAAATGAAAAAAATATAAGAATTTAAACTCTACGAAGACAATTGCGTCCCATCAATTTTAAAATGTGATGTATATCACTACCACAAATAGTAGAAAGTACTATATCTTTACATTATATGAAACATTCTTCCGACTTTAAATGACTTTAAAGTCAGACACTTTTCCCCCTTGGTGTTTTTTAATAAAATTAATAAAACGATCCATAAGTTTCCATATTCCTATCTTTCATGCGAAGCATTTTTAAATATTTGCAAAGTAGTTAAATTTTTGAAAAAACCACATTCACATTCAAACGAATCTGCAAAATAATTTTATTTAATCTAAAATTATCAGTGTCAAATGTTTCGCATAATACAGGAGATATACAAAAGAATACAGGAAGAATAAACTGATACAACAACTATTTAATCAGTAATTTTAAGAAGTGAATTTATGCGCTTTTTCCAACTCAACAAAGGAATGAAGGTATCAGTGAATGGAAATAAAAACCATTGAATCGGAAGCTTTACTATAAAATCTAAAGATGTGCTCCATGAAGTTTCTTCTGAATTTGAAGATTCATATGCAATTCCGGTTGAATATCACAGACTAGCTGTAGCAAACGTACGATTACCTGGAATATATGAAATTTTAAACAGGTTGGTGTCAAAATTTGTCATTGTCTTATTAAACTTCAAATGATCCACTTGATTACGTTGTTTTTTAAATTTGTATAGTGGATTTTAGCTTGGTATGCAGCCTTACAATTATTAATTTATTCAGTAAAAATTTTACTGAATCGAAAAATTCACTTTACAGATAACAGACCTGCTGCTTATTCTTTGCGACAGATTTTTCCATCTGTTTGATGCTTTCTTCAGTTTCTTGTTTGATTTTCATTTCGATATCTTCCTTCTTACCGAGATATTTATGCTCATATTCTTTGAATTGACGTTCTCGTTCCTACAGAAATACAAATATTAGGTACTCTCTATCGGGTATTCTAAAATGGTTACGAAATGCAGTGATCCTTACCAAAATGTTGAAACATAAAGTGTGAAATGATTATAATTATATAGTAATTAAAAATAACGGATGCTGATAAAGTTAATCTAGACCAATCTCCTACAACTTAAGGTTACTAAATTATCCATATAAACTAATTGAATGATCTCATAATTCTATTATTCATTGATTTATCAATTTTTTGAACTTTAATATTGCTGCAGTATTCAATCAGATGAAAATATATAAAAGACTCTATCCCAAAAAATTTTGCTATATCAGATTAAATTGCAGTATATTTTAAGAAAAAAAAATTATTTAAAAAATTGCAAAGCAACCAAAAAGAAACTGAGCCGAAAGAGAAACACTAAAAGCACTTCTTACCGTTCTATACTTTTCAATCTCAGCTTGTGCTTCTTGCTTCGCTTGCTTTAGACGTTGAGCTTTACGTTTCCGTGCTTCATTAATCTTTTCCGCAGCTCGTTTTTCTGCCGCTAAAAGCTGCTGTATGCCATGTGTTTGGGATGCCATCATAAATCGCTCAACCGAAATGGATCAGATTAATAATTTAAGAATACCACTGCAAAAGTTTAATCTTACAATTAGCACTTTACTTCCCATAAGTTTTACAAACTAATTTTATGAACCAGATTCACTTACATTCTCTCAGTACTAGTGTAAAGTTCCTATTTCAATAGATAGGAAGAAAAAAATGATCTCATAAAATTTAAACTATAATTCCTCTTTTTTTTTTTTTTTTCAGAAAAACAAAATATAGCGCACCGAAAAGGGCAGAATGTAGCAATCGAAAAAGCTCGTTTAGAAAACGGTAATATTTATATTTTTCAATTCAAATTTATGCTAAAAAAAAATTGAACCAATTCTATTCAATTCTGATCGGAACTATTCTCCAAGTTCTCAAAAAGAAGAGTGGTTAAAATCCTAAAAGACACAAAATTTTTGTTTTTCTTGTTAAGTTTCCATGAAAAAAAAAAAAAAAAGAAAAACGAAAAAAAAGCAAACAGCTTATATTCTTTTGAGTTATATCTGAAATTACTCATTACTACTAACTATTATTCATCTACAAATACATAAATACCACAGTGATGAACGAGCATGAATTAGAAAAGAAGTAACATATACGACAGAACGTATGGTAAACAAAATGGCTTATAAAATAAAATTCTTTTATCCATATTTCACACTCTTTCGAGGAGTGAAAAACATAACATTATTTCCAAATTTCTTTTAAAAACAATTTTCGAAAGTTTAAAATAAGTACAGACCTAGAGCAGAAACTATTGTGCACCGAAGGAATCTTGGCTTCTCCTTTCTTGCCTTCTTCAATAAAATAAAAGTAAAAATTCAGAGTTGGGAACTTGATCTAAGAAGCAGTTAAAATACACTAAATCACTTCATCTTAATGTATTCCATCTTTAAGCTCCGCATTCGGTAATTCTAATTATACAGAAAATTATTGAAAAACAATGAAAACAATGTTCCATATCCATAACCCAACATGATAATTGGCTAGCATTTTTTTTTTAAAAAAAAAAAAAAGAATAAAATATCGCTAATGTTAACAAGTTAAAATGCAAAAATATGACTTTTTTTAAACCCGTTGATCAATCACAGTAATATATGTCGGAGGTACATATATAGGCACTTCGGTTTCATCGCCATCGAATAAGCCAACAGCTTGAAAACGACTGATGTCGTAAATCGACGGACAGTAGACAGTGAGTCGGATATTAAAAATCTGAGTACAACCAAAAGCTATTGTTGCATGCATACGTGAACGATCAGCTATAATCAATGGTTGCAATACTAATGAGGAATGAGCATATGAACTCGATGAAGCTGTGTTTTGTGGTTGAAATCCTGGAACGTTGGTACTTCCCGAATCTACGATCTGCTTTCGAATCAGAGTGGGATCCAGAAAATGAATTGTTACTGTACAACTTCGACGATGCAGAAAATCATCATTCGTTACTGTTATCTGCACTGGTATTTGGCACGACCTGAATATTAAATAATTTCAAAAAAAAGTCATATTTTAGACAATAAATATGTAAATTTCTTGAACAATGAATACATAAATTTCATATCAGCAAAATTTACCTTTCATTGCTAAAATTGTGATACGTTATGGGTGAAGATGTCGATATATTGCAAATAAAAGCAAATAGATTTTTATCTGAAGAAATACGTTTTGTTTCCAGGAGATTTTGACTCGACTGTTCTATCGAAAATTGACGAAGAATATGATGCGTACAAAACGGCACCGAACAACCAAGCGGAAATGGGTTTGGCATAAAGTTCTCACCGAACACTAAAAAACATGATTCTTGGATTGCCTGAACAGAAACTCGTTGATTTAATACATTAAATTGACCTCACTTTTTTACTCAAAATTGTAACATGCCATCGATATTTATCAGTCTACCCAGTAACATGAAACACGATATTTGTCTTGATAAACATCCTTTCAAAAATTTTTTCAGAAATCACTGCTGTAATTGCCACTGTCACAAAAAAATGTTTTCGTTTTTTTTAAACCGTCGAACCGTTCGTCATAATACTAATAATTAATGATTAATCATAATTACTATTATTATTATTATCAATTATAATAACAGTAATAAATAATGGTAATAGCTTAATGATAAAATTTACCAGTAGAGGTAGTGCCATCGCTATTAACAACATTAGCTTTCCACAGGACTGCAAAAAACAAATCAAGTTCAGGAACTGTTGTATTCTCATCTTCTGTACATTGTTTTGATGAAGATACAGCATCGAATATTTCAGATGGACGGTCAGGAGGACTAGACCATTCCGGAATATCAGCAATTTCATCGCAAAACCATAACGATACTGCTCCTTCATGTCCATTGATCATAAATGGTATACTGTCTGTTTGTTCACTTTCCAGTTCCACTAAATGTTGAGTTAAAATTACATTTCCAAGAAATTTCACATTTGAGTAAATAAACAAAACATCTATAATTCTGTAATTGCCAAAAACTTATTTGTTCTTATTTGTCTAATTTTTCCTATCATTTCTGTCTTATACTACTACATATACTTCCTAATAGAAGCAATCTATTTACCTCGACGCCTTTGCAACGGATGCAGAAAAATCTGCGGTAAAGAATTTTGGCATGTTTTCGAAGTGAGATTTATCTTGGAATGAGCAATCAACAACCGTATTTTAATTAGTTCAATTTTGGCGAGTAAAGAACTACGACTTGGTATAAGATTACGGAGCTGCAAAACGCATGCACCAGTGGCACGATCAACAAGCCTAAAAGCAGAAACAATTACAAAGTTAGATCTATTTGTCAACAAAATAGTTAACAGTATAGACATTTAAGAAATTACCTTAATGAAGTTTCTAAAATTACACGAGCATCAATCATGATTACATGTCGCTGTTCTCTGACCATACAATTATCACCGCGATAATAGCAAATCAATAATATGTTAAGTCCAAGAGACTCCGTAGTAGGAGCTCGAACTGCTAACTGTAATCTGAAATTGACAGAAATGACAAAAACAATAGCTTTTTTTTGGCACCGTATAATAATAAGTGAGCAATTTTTATTGACAACTATATTTAACCTTAATGTAACAAAACGAAAAACTAGAGGATTCCAAACTTTCCCAAAAAATTGAAAGTTTTCTGCATTTTCTCAGAAAAGCAAAATCAAAAACTGCATATATAATAAGACGATGTCCAGCTAACTTAACTAAAAAAAAAGAACAAAATTATAAATGTTCAAAAGACGTAAGAATTTTAACCTTTTCTTTTGACCTGTAGCAATAGCGCCATGCTTTAAGTTAAAAACACCAACTGCAACGTCTATAGCAGATGCAGTACATTTCACAGATCGAAATGTACTACTTTCTGGACATTCTTCTTCATAAACTGAAATCAATTCCGGATGATCAGTAACTATGCAAAAAGCTTCCACAGGTACTACACCTATATTGCTCACGTCACAATTAAATCGACAAATTTGGCCACAGAATGCCATTAATCGTCGTTTTAGTGGCAAATCAATTTCAACCAATGGCCACTGCTCTTTTGTTACTTCTGCAGTTAAGCGGTAATCCTCTCCGTATAAGAGTGATGTTTTCTGGAAAAGAATTTATCCTACATTATGTATTCTTAATGTTCTTTTCTTTCAGTATTAATCATATTTACATCCGTGATTTCCTTCACCAAATTATCATAAAATATTGGAACTTCAAGTCTACAAGTCTACAAAAGAATTTTTGTTCTCAAATTTTATTACTGTCTAATAGATAGTTTCTAAATTAATGTCTTAGAAAAAAAAAATCAACACAAACTTTTCGAAAGTTAAAGTATCACTCTGGAAATTTAACCTCTTTCTTGGAGTTATTCATTCGCGGTCCACGAATATTAAGTGGAGTCGAGTATGTAACATTGATTTCGTCAACTACGAGATTAAAAGACAAACTGTGTACTCGCATCCTATCAATATCTTTTTTAGGAACAACAGATAATTCAAGAGGAATCCAATCACACTTCGGTTCTAAAGTAATCTGAAAAGAATTGATTAGCTTAGATTAAGGCAAAGGGTGGCATTTTTGAAATTTCGAATAAAAGTTCGAAAAGTACAGGTGTTGACAAAGAAGCTAAATTTATGATACTTCGATGCACTTTACAGATATTCTAGTTTCACGTCTGTTAAAATGCAGGATAAAAATACATAAGCAAAAACGATGAACAAAGGATAAATTGCAACTAACTTTGTCAGTAAAAGTTTGCAAATACATCGTCGGTTCAGCTAATACTTCCAAATGAATATTTTCCAAAATCAAGGGAATATCCAAAGGATTTTTTAACGAGAGTATTATTCGCATTCTTTCCAAAGGTGGAGCAAAAGGTATCTAAATTATAAATGTATGATTTATAACAAAATCCTAAACAAACCTAACAAAAATATTGTAAAAGAAGTTAATTTAAATGATTAAAATGGGGAAAATGAGTTTTACTGCCAACATTATGTTACAACGAACAAAACTTGAACCTTAGAATTATCTGTAGAAGCTGTACGAACAGTCCCTGTTTCTCGAAAACCAGCAAAAGAACCTGTTATTGCGAAATACGCAGCTTTTGACAAATTTACCCATACGTCCTTATTATTCTTCTGAAAAAGAGTGAAAAAATTCATAGCTGTAGATGAGAAAGTTTTTTACAAGCATATGACTACAAGATGAGAAGAAAGGAAATGAACGAACCAAAGTTTCCATATTTGTGATCAATTCAGGTATTAATTCAATCGGACGTTCTCCGTAAATGACAACAATATTTTGAATATCTACTAGAGGTACTACCATCACCTCATGAGTTCGAGTACTGTTACAGTGTTTCAGAAGTTGCAAGTAATGTTTGAGAAAAAGTTGTTGCTGATCAGGGTGTTGCACTGATTGAGATTTTATCAAAGGAAAGCACCACGACAAGGCTTCTTCTTTCTGATCACTTTCATTAGCTAATGTATAAAGAATATGATCCTAAAATATCATATTATTTAATCAAATCAATACTAATGCTTAACATAGCTATACCTCTACACTACTGTTGGGATTGTGACAATCAATACACGCTTGTATTTCGTGAAATTCTCCTTAACTCTTACAGAAATAATAGTAAGAAGAAATGCTTCTTATAAATTCAGATAATCCTTAGTTTTCTAGATAAAATCAGAATTTTTTACCAATCAATCATTTTAAAACGCTGACATGCCCCTCACTATTATTTACTAGCATTATCTGGAATACTCTGCAGGTTGATGTGGATTTCATAAGCATAAATTCCTTCAAACTGGAATTCAGGCACTTACTTCTGCAAAAACCCAACGTTTGGAAAGATACTCAGGAAGAGCACGTTTATAGCATTCCATGGATAATTGTTTCTGACCAGCCTTAGACATCCGATGTCCAGCTAATACGTAATGGAAAGCCATTTTTCGACGCATCTTGGCATTTCCGAAATAAACACTCGCCCTTTCCAGCAAAACACCACTGAATAAGTCATCATCCTGTCAAAGAAATAATCATTTTTTTCGTAACTAATTCTTCTATAGTTTATGCTACATAGTTTAAAAAAAAAAACACTTCTGCTCCAATTCAAAACTCAACATTAGCAGAAAAAAAAATGAACTAACCGAATTCGTTAGTTTCAGAAGTTGAGTGCATGCTTCGACATATAATTCCATTGTTGAGAGTATTAATGCACTTAAAATAGCAGCTCGCATTGTTAAGACTGGTTTTCTGGAAAAATATTGGACTCATCAATTTAAAGAAAATGTTACATGACAATTCTTGAAAACTTTATGTTTAAGTTCATCATGTTCATTTTTGACCCCTTCCTCTTCCTCTACCTTGTTTATTTTTTTTTTTTCTTCTTCCATCCCTCATTCATTTTCCCGTAAATAACTTCTGAAGTGTTGAATGTAAAAAAATGAAAGAAAATAAGAGATTGGTTTTGTCAGTGTCTGAAAATTTTTAACAGTTACAGGCTAACTGTTGTATAAAAGTTGATCGCATCGTCCATGTAATGTTGTGGATATTGCTTCGCAGTAATATGAGATGTACTTAAAAATAAACTTAATGCTGCCATTTCCTGAAATAGAAACGATATTCAATTCTCTCGCGAAAATTTGTAATCCTTTACTATCGAAAGTATCGAAATTATGACCCCATTTCTAATTTAATTCAAAATCTTCTTAAAAAAAGGCAATTGATACTCACAAGTGCTCCAGCATTGTACAGCCAAGCCTGATCCACAGCAAATTCTTTCCTAACCGTCTGGTAAAGTTGATATGCATAAGAGTAAAGCCCAAAAATAAAACAAAGATCGGCTAGTAGTCTAACTTGCATTTCGCCACTATCTCGTGCATAACTAAAATTAAAACTGCTTGTATTTTCTATTTAAAATAAAACTTTGACTCATGCATTATCTATGTGAAAGAAATTTTTAAAAGTTTAGCCTATTAGGAAGAAAATAAATTATGAAAGAAAAAGCTTTGTAAAGGAACTTCGATACTGAATAAAAGAAGCTAACACTGAAACAAAAAAGAATAACAAAACTAAAAGAACCAAAATCACAATCAATAATGAAAAATTGCAATCAAAATGTAAAAAGTTTTCATACGTTATTGATGTAGCCTGTTGAGTTGCTGCTGTTCCAAACCACTTCCGTACCCCGGTAGTTAACGATTTACTTATTCCTCGACGCGCAATGGCCTGTTCATTAAGAGTGCGCATTTGCCGCTCTACCCATGGTAATAGAGCATTGTGAATCATATATTCCATCATTTTTGTAACACTTTCACGATCATCATAGCTGAGATACTGTCCATGAAGTCCATTGGAAACAGAGTCAAAACTGGCAAAGCTATCATTATTCTGCTCTGTTACAGATGAATCATTTGATGAGATCTGAAAAAAAAAAAAAAAAAGCCGTTTTAAAATGAAAGTGAAAACTACAAAAAATTTCGAATTCTATTAGTAGATGAAACTTATGCATTTCTATAAATATATATCCATATAAACTTACATAAGTAACTTAACTATCTAAAACAAACATCTACTATAGAAAACCAGAACAATTCTGAAAATAAAAAATGTTCTATAAGACCAAAAATTCTGTGAGCAAATTCGTATATGCTTCATGTGCATTTTCACTGAAAGGGAATCTTGATTGCTTATTGGTCTGGTAGTTCTCAGAGCAAAGATAATAAATTTCAAAATTGCTAAATCAATAAGCAAACAAAGTTCCTCTGAAATACAAATAAGTCGATTTCGTATGAAACGGTACTAATTCGTTAGCAAAAACGAGAACATACCAAGCCATCAGTTAATCCCACTGTTTTTGAAAGAACTTTATATTTAGCAAGTTGTAATCCTTTTTTCAATCCACGATATTTCGATTCCAAATGTGCACGCCACGGATCCGTTAATTCATCATCATATTTTGAATTCATTTTGAGCAAGTAACAATTCTGAATACCGAACTGCGTAGTAATTGCTGAAAACACTGAAGACGACCTAAAAAGATGAAAATACATTTCCTTATTGGAATTTATGATCCTGGCACTAACTGTTTCTTGAAGGACTAAGAAAAAAAAACCAAAGGTGCTAATGATAGCTACTGGTTTCTATTACAAACTTGCTCAATTCAGTAATGCATTCTCAGGTTGGACCAAGAAGTTATGCAAAGTGACTCCTAATAAAAACAAACTTCAGGAATGGAAAGACAACCGATCACCTCGACGATCCATTTCCTGACGATTCGTCGTCTAGAATTAAGAAATATTTGAAAATATTTGGAAGCATCCATCTGGGCATTGCACAGTACGCCGGCCCAATAGCAAAGGCATTCTGTCCACACTGCAACATAAATTACGTTAAAAATGTTGAAAATCTATGTTAAAAATCTCTAAATCTATGTAAATTCTCAACTCCAAGAATAAGACCTAGATTTAGAAACAGCATTCTGCTGTTTCCTTCTTAATCTTATCTTTAACTGAGATTTTATAACAGATAAAGAGATACGAAGCGATTAACGAGAGAGTCAAAAATGAAATGATGACAAAAAGTGCAGAAAAAATGGTAAGGGAGGTAACACTATAAAATACATGCCAATTGAGTGTTTTAAATAGAAACTTTAAATATTTCAAATATAAATTCGCAGCCTAATTATACGAGTGTCTCCTTTTATCATCAAACTATACGATCTAACTTTCCATCAAGGTGTTCATAATATTCAGTTATTCACTATTTTTAATGCAATCAATGCTTCGTCCACTTTCGACTTGCTTTAAGAAGGTCAAAAATTTCAGCTTGCATATTTTATTATCAAAAACTATTTATATGACGCACAGATATCTTAGAATATCTCTTATGAATTGTGAAGTAAATTTTTTGATTCATTTCAGAATGTAATATGATACTGTTGAAAAAACAAATCAGTAGTTCCACATTTACATCTCATAAACAATAAACCTAAATGTACACACATATATGCACACTGCAGGCAGACAGCACACATATACCCATAAAACATCAATTTAACTGGTCGATTGAAAAAAGGGGAAGAATCGATCGAATCATGATTATTGGACTATTGATTTTATCTTCACTTTGTCTTTTCATCGTTTACAGTGACTGAACTGTGTATACAATCCAAATATAATCTGATAATGTAATAGTGAATCATTCAGGAAATTACTGTTTACTAATGTTAAAATACCAATGAAATTAAACGTAGTACTTCCTGTGCTTTACAGGAAGTGAATATTTATGAATTGGTTAGTATATAATAAAATTCCTACAAATTAACACAATTATTTAATATTTTCTCTCCAATTATTAAATATTGATTGAACAAATCAGAAAAACTTTTTTCAAAAAATCAGAAAAACTACAAATAACTCTGTTAACTTAATAAATATATACTATTTATTAACCAGCATTTATTTCCCCCAAAAATATTCACTTTCTTTCTGGCAAAACCATTTTATTTCATTTACATTCATGCAGTGCAAAACGTCAAAAGGATCCATTCATATAGACATTGGTTAATGATGCTACCGAATCGTACCATCTTTTTTTTTCACGAAAAAGAAAATATCTACTTCTAAACTGAAAATGTTAAGGCTTATCAGCAATCAAAATGTAATTTCTGGAAAGTAATAAAATATAATAAGCATAAATTCAATATGGCTAAATAAAATAACTTCAAAACCTCAAAAATGCTATTAAAATCGCCCCTTTAACATGATGAAACAAAAAAATTAAGGTGCAACATTATCTCAAGATCCACCGCTTCCAACAAATAAACATCTAACGGCAACACTTTTACTCATGTCTGTGAATGAGACCAACATAAAAGTGAATGTAATGAAGTGAATCTAATCAAGCAAAAAACGTCACTTAATTACAATGAGAAACAGTTGACCTTTGTCAGTATAAAAATTTGTTTTTGGAATCAGAACTAGATGAACAAGTTAACTAAACCACAGACGTGACAACAACATCAATACAATTTTTCTTCGGTAAAACTAGATCATATTTTAATTCAGAAACTTGTTGAAAACATTTAGTAACGGCTGTGATTTCGGAAATCGTGTTTGACACGCACTAGGCTTCTATCAGCGCAGATTAATAATATGTAGTCTATGTTCTCTTCATTCTTCAAATAAACATCAAAATAACAGTTCTTACCTGTTGCTGATGCTGAATATTAATCAATTTCGATAATTCTTCTACTGGATCCTCATCATCGGTAGAAACGACAAATAAGCAACCAAGGTAAGTTCGAAGGAATTCGTGCTCTGCCGGCTCGGACCATTTCAGCAAAGTTTCACTGTAAAATATACTTAAATTAAATCTACTAATCTAGTAAAAATTTTGTTCAATAATCTGTTAGATGAGCTACAAAAATATGACAATTCAATTATTCGCATTTTAAGGTCCAATGCGAAATAACACAATCCTGCAATAAAACACGCCTGAAAGCAATGGAAGCAAATCCAGGATCGGAATCTGATGTGGATGCAACCGATGATGTAGCTTCATGTAATACAGAAGGTAGAACAGTTAAACTTAGAAGGAATCCATCTCGCCGAAGATCTCGAAAATCAAAGAATATACGCGATGTTACCGAGGAGCCTGACGGATCCTAAAATTCAAATTTGAAATGAAGACGTGATATTTGAGAAAAGTGAAAAATCTTTCTCTTATAGATATTACTTCTAATCGAACACATCACCAAGAAAATTTCGAAAAACTATTCATGGATAAAGTTAGCTTAAACTAATGAAGATTTAATGTTCTACTGCTTCCAATTATAAACAATTAAAGGTGCTGCAACAGCTATTTCGAACAAACCAGAATCATCGTTTTCCAGATAAAAGCATTTTTCTAATTGTGGAGAACTTTGACATTAAAGATAAAAGATTAGTTCTCTTTTAACCGCAACATTTTCATCCTGTTTAACTTCAAGTTTATTTAATCCATATAAAAATACTATGAACTTTTTTGCTTTACCTATGATCACTATATATTGTAAGATTCCACCTCACAGTTAATTCATCTATCAACTATATTTCCATATTTTATTTATTAATTTAACTTTTTCAAAACTTATTCCATAATGTCTTATAGTGCAGGTCAACACTTGAATATCTACCAAGTCATTGATAAATATACGATTTTTGTTGTCCTACATGTGAGAAAGATGGGGAAGAACAATGAGACGCAGTAATTTAGTGCTAAATTTTGTTGTAAGCTATTCAGATCACTGATTATTAACAGTTTCTGATTTTAATTCATCTTTATTGTCTGTCCCATTCAATTTTTATAATCCAGGAATTTCAACTTATATTTTGTCTTAATTTATTGAAAGCATGATTAAAAACTAACCTTTACTGTGCAATTGACAGTTGCAAATGGCAAAAGTAAGTCGGTAAAGCTAAGATTATTCTTAATAGCGATACGTTCCACAGCATCAGATGTTAGAACAGCTAATAGGGGACTGAATCCTTGACGAATCTGCTCTCCTAACATCGATTTTCAACAGAACACCGTGAGGAACTTCAATAGAACACCCTACCGCTTAAGAAAAAACTTACGAAAACTCCTGAAAAATAAGAAATGAATTAAACTACTATCCACGAAATGCGATGAAAGTGATTTTCGGTTCCTCTGCTAAATGCTTTATTCATCTATTAGCGAATATACGAATGAGTTAATGTTTAGAAAATAAAAGCAAAAAAAAAAAAAACGATCGAAAGTGTCCTCATAATGCTATTTCTATCTATTGGAATTAGAAAATATATTCCCTCACACATATACATCAAACACAAAATCGATCCATACGAAGTATACATTCTTCCTTAACCGATTAGACAAACATCGGAATGAAAAAGGATGAAAATTGCAAGGAATTTAAAGTAATAAATTTAACATTAAAAGTGTAAAAACATGCAATCAGACAAATATAGAAAATCATGAGTGACATAAATAATAACGTACATTAGAAATAGAAGAAATAAATTTGTTAAAAATCTTTTTAAGCAAATTAGTTTTATCTTGAAAAATTAACTGTTAACACTAATTATATAAATGGTATAATTTCCTCTGTATAAAATGAATTACCATAAATTTTTTAATTTAACCAATTTAACAGCTATCGTTGTCGCTTAACGCGTCATCTCAGTGAATCAATGTGATGCAAAACATTTGCGTAACTCTGACGGTAACGTTACTCTTCTTCTTTTGTCTCATCGTTATTGGAAATTTTTTTATGTGATACAATTGTAAAAGCATAGTGAAGAGAAAGTACCAGGCGTAGAAAATTTGATTAAATTTGATATGTAACTTTTCTTCATAAAAGAATACACCAATCTTTATTCAGAAAAATTAAAAAATTTTGAAGTCCTACCAGAGTAAGATTTGCATGTTTCCCAAACTTAAATTAAATAAGGATGACATGTAGTACGTAATAATGATGATTTTTCTTAGCGTGAAAAAAAACTGAAAGAACACGTGTACGTATATAACCTTACTTTTATTAACAGTAATTATCATTTTAGCATGGAAAAAATGACATATTCGATATGATATCAGTAATCTTTAATAATGGTTGTGATAATAGCGGTTGAATATATCAAACCTTTGACATCAGTAATCAATAATGTTTTGTTTATCAACTAATATATACAATATAAATCGGAGAAAATAGTCCTTCATGCAGAAGAAGAGTGTACGGTTTGTGTCTTTTCGATGATTCGTTGTAATAACTCGTTGCCATCGTCAGAGGGTTTTCACCTGGCTAATGCCATAATAAGATTCTCTCTCACCTGGTTAAATGCTACAATAAGGTTCTCTCTTACCTGGTTAAATGCTACAATAAGGTTCTCTCTCACCTGGTTGAATACCACAATAAGGTTCTCTTTCATCTGGTTGAATATCATAATAAAGTTCTCTCTCACCTGGTTAAATATCAATATTTCTCTGTGCTTCCGATCTATTTTTGCCCGTACATATTAATATCATTAATGTCTCATTTATCATATCAGAGGTTTGGACATCTTCATAAATATTTGTCAGTGTACACAAAGTTATAATCTATTTGTATACCTCACTGTCTCCTTATGAAATTTGCTATGATTAGAAATTAAAATTTGAAATTATTTTTGAAAGATTCAAGCAAAATGTACAATTTGATAAATTTTACAAAAAAGCACAGTATTTATTATCAAGTTTTTTTTTTTTTTTTTTTTTTTCATCACAAGAAATAAAAAATGATGATAACTTTACGAGAATTTTGTAATAATTTGTATATATAATTGAATGAACAACAAACATTTTATATTATTCCGAAGAAATGGAATTTTTCTTTGAATCATAAAATTTATTTTAAATTTAATCAAAATATAATTTTAAAATATAATAGACATAATCAATATATGCTTGTATAGGTAAATTCATCACTTTGCTTAATTACAATGATTCAATAACATTAGAAAATTCATAATTGTTGGTAAAAAAGCAAAATGCTATTGATTACTTCGATAAACAATTTTGTTTTCTCACTTAATTTATTTTTTTTCCACTGAAAACTATTGATTTTATATAATAAATATTTCAAAATCTCTCTTCAATCATTCTGGAAAATTCATTTCAAAAACTTTTCTCTCTTATCGATAACAATTTTAGTTAGAAATAATTTTGCATAGTAGAAGTGAATAACGTCTCCTTACATTGTTCAATTTATGATCATTTTCGATTTTTCTAACTTTTTTTTTCCTCTTTCTCTCTTTTTCTATTTCTAATTATATTTTCCGAATTATAATAGCAATAGAAACGAACATGTTTGAGGGGAATGTTTGAATTCTTTTAGTTATCAGTTTGTTTGTGATAATTTTTACACCGCCTTTAGAATCTAAATGTCTCTTTAGATCTTTTTTTTTTTTTTTTTTTGATTTTTTTTCAGAGAAAAATATCAGGTTAATAGTTGCAATTTGCAATAAAATTTGAGAATTTTTTCGAAAAATTATTGATTGGAATTTTGAAATTGAATTGTCGAAGAATTTTCATTGCACATACAAACAATAATGCAATTTCATTCCTACTTTTTTTCAATACTAACCAACCATATAGCATTACAATTTCATGTTTATTTCAAGCTAATTTATATCTTTTCATATTTCAAGCTAATCACTCCTATTTTCTTTATGATAAACTTTTATTATAAATTTTCTATGTAATAAATAAAATTAGTGAATGAATAAAGCTTTTATCATAAATTCTTCTATGCAAATTTCAATTGCAAAATAATAATTTTTTAACTAATGTTTTTTTTTTTTGCATCAAAAATTTTTTCCAACTTTATTCTTTTGTCTTTTTTCTTACTCTTTGATTTGTATTTATACTAATCTATGACATTTTCTCTTCCTCTCTCTTCCATTTCAAATTATTATATCAAAATCTTGAAAGAAAAAAAAAAAAAAAAGAAAAGAAAAGAAAGAAAACAAAGTTAAGAGTAATCATTTGCTATCTTTTACAAACATTGTAAATGTATCATCTTGTTACATAAATATCACAAATAATTCAATCCCTTCCTTCTATTTATCGTCATAAATTACATCGCAAACATTTACATATCGTTAGTTATCTTTTCTTTCCGTCTTACTCTTCTCAATATCATATCATATCATATCAATGCCATATCATTCATCCATCCTTTGAGCTCTCATGTCTTATGCATCATAAAATATTTTAAATGATTGAATTTTATATTTTTATTTGTGGACAGTTTCTGTGAAATGAATTTACTTCATCCATACGAGAACTTTTCATTTTGAATGAATAATTTTTCATGAAATAATCACATTTTAACAGATAGATTCTTATTTTTTAAATATATTATTAAAATTCCTATTTTTTGATCTTATTATTATTTTTTTTTTTAAATATATGATTAAATTTTCATATTCATCACTTCTAAGATGACTTATTCACATATGTCATATACCTAAATGGCATTATTTGAATGTTACTCCTTCTCTCTCTCTCAAACTACTTTATTCATTTTGAAATGACATTCTAATTGTTGAAGTTTAAAGAGTTCCGAAAATAGAGTAATACCCTCGAAGTCATAAAGAATTGAAATTTTAATTATCTCTCTAAAAATGACTGTTTATGGGCAAAAAAAAAAAAAAAAGAAATTAATTGCGATTATTATGTAGTAATTTATAAGTGTTCCGTAATTGTTGTACACTTTAAATATTTTGTACAATAGCAATATTTTATTCATTTCTGTGACCGTAATATAATTTAGTATTTCCTTTTCGAGAATATAATATGGAAATTAAAAAAAAAAAAACCAAATTCTTTTTTGTATATTTCAAATTAAATCTGAATTTTTACACAGTGCTACACTTAGTAACATTATAAAAAGTCAAAAATCTACAGATAAGAATGTAAGCCTTTTATAAAGTTTATTTGATATAATACTTGTTTCTCCAATTTTTTTATCAGTGAAATATATTAATTTATTATATGTAAGTAATATTATACTTTGTAATATTATACTTTAGTTATTTCAATAATGATTCATGCTTACTTAATCATTTATTAAATAAAATATTGTCATATTTATTCTTTGCAAAGTGATCAACATCTACCATTTAAAGATTGTTTTCTCATAATTCTGAAAAAAAAAGAAAAAATTTTTTTTTTGTCTTTAAATTATTACCCTTTAAAGTATATAATCACTTTCACTTCTACTTTACACAGTTTTTATTGTGATCATCAAGACAACAACTTTAACACAAATTGATTGATTCGTGAAAATTTCATAACTTGTTTAAATGCATTTTTTTTTATTAGTGCTTTTTGTATGAGCTTTTGTATTTTGCTTATATCATTTGGGTCGATAGCTGTTAGATTGATGACACATTGCTGCACACAATGCTTGTTTTCATCACTTCTTTCAAAAATCATAGTAGAATTCAATTTTCATTTCAAAACGAATACCCTCCCCCTCTCCCCTCCCCCTCCCCTCCTCCTCTTTTAATCGTTTTATCTTTTATGTCCTCATTGTATATATTATACATGTTTGCTTATCTGTTAAAACGCATTAATGTATTTTGTATATGTTTAAAAGTTAACAAAAGCATTATTTTGTATTTAAAAATAGCCTAGAAAGTTTTGTTTAATGATGATGATGATGATGATAATAGTTTTGAAAAATTATGACGAGTTAATTTATAATGATGATTTAAAGAACGATTCGATGATGATGATGATAATTTTGAAAAATAATGAAAGCTAGTTTATAACGATGATTTGAAGAACGATTTTTGAGATCGATTTTATATGTATGCTTCATTTGTTTATGTTTTTGTTTGAAAAATGAAAAAGACAGGAAAGTGGAACATTTTTATGCTTCTCTCTCTCTCTCTCTCTCTCTCTCCCTCTCTCTCTCTCACTCTCATTTTTTGTAATCAAAACTTGAAAGTTTTGAGTCAATCATAAAATGAACGCATTATTTCTTCCTA